TATTTCAAAATTTTAAACGCTTCAGTTCTTAATAAAATCATCGAAGGTTACTATTATAAACAAAATGAAAAGATCTAAATGGAGATGTAGTAATTTATTGCCAAAATTAGAAATCACCTTCACCAAAAATATAAATTGGACCAACAACTTTTACCTTAAAAGCTTTTTTATAACCGATTTATAAGATAATTGAGGTTTCATATTTTTCAAAGCCTTTCTTTTCACACAAAAAATAGAAATCAATGATTCCTTTGAAATTAATAATAATTTAAATAATAAGTACTAATTTATTTTATTAATAATAATTTTGAAATAAAAAATAGTTATAATTCCACACATAGCGCACGTTAGATATCTTATAAATTAAAATTCCACCGGAAATATTACGTTTATACATTAATTTACAAACTAAGCATATTTAAACAGCTTGATAAACCGACGTAAAGATAACTAATTGCCTGTTACGACCTGTAATTTAACATATTATGTAAAAAATTAAAATTAACATGATATTTTTCCATATTAATCATTTACATCTAAAGGCTGTATTTGACTTGTGCCTGCTGCGGAAACAATGTTTATAGTATCTAATGATGTTATTTCATTAATAACTTCGGTACTGGGTTCACTAAAAGTATGATCATTAACAGTTCTCCATGTATTGTAAAGTTCTTCTGGTCACTGTAATCTAGGTTTAACACCTTTCTTGTTACAAGATAATGTACGGAGTCAACAAACAGAGAGTAATTAGTTAACAGAGAACGCTGATGATCAACTTTATGCAACTGAGTTTCCATCATTCCTATAAAGCATGGGATGACGTTTAATCCCGTCGTGGCTTATATAAGTTGACTTATGGAAGAGACGTGGAGAAGACATTGCAAAAACTGACAGATAGAGGAACACGCCAAGTTGAACTAGGATGAACCAGGCTGAGACACAGTTGGAGCAGTCGTGATAAACGTTTCTCCACGCCAACTCCTTTGACACCATCTTATGAATTGCTACAAAGTTGAATTAATGCTGATGGAGGACACACAACCCAGAACAACAAAATGGGATGGGATTCCATCATCTCATTCAGTAGAGCATGCCTCGCAGAGTTAGACAGTGTATAAACAATCGTGGGGATGTAACATTTTATTGACATATTCTATTTTCAATTGTTATGATTTACTACTGATCTTGTAAACAATTCAGCTCTGTGACGCAGCTCTTTCGAGGTATTGCTATTTTTTGGCACGTTGTTTAGTACGACTTCCACCAAAAACATCTAGATTTCTCTCAGTAGTATTAGGTCTTCTACCAGCAATGTTTAATCTTCTGCCAACAAGGCCTAGTCGTCTATAAAAAAGATCTAGTCTTCCATTAATAATTTGGCTTATACCAGAAGTATCTAGATTTTTGTCAATAGTATTAGGTCTTCTGTCAGCAAAGTCCAGTCTTCTATAAGAAAAATATCGTAATATATCGTCTTTCCTCTGAAGTACCTAAATTAACACTTGATAGGTGTCAACTAAGTATATACATTCTTGAAGCTACCATTGGAACATTTGGTCAAAGTATTTCTCCAAGTCTTCAATTCAAAATGTTCGTACGAATAAATGGAAAGAATGTGCGAAAACCATTAAAGTTGTTAGCTGTATTAGATTCTTGCAAAATTAAAAAAGAACGTGTTCCGATTGTTGCTTCATATACACATAAAGAACACCTTATTATTGTGGCAAGGATAGAAACTTGTTCCGTAAGCGAATAAGTCTTATAGTCAGAAATTTTGTATCTATAGTACACATTTTTTTAGGTTCATATATGGATATTGGAAAGTGTCGCTATGGATGATACATTGCATTAATGAGATGGTGTTACCAAGAAAAGGCGAGTTCTAAAACAAATACGTGCAAGGATACTAACGAAGTAATAAGGAAGATAAAGACTTTTTAGGTCATTCTGCATATAGAAGAAAAGAATGGTGGAATACAGAATAGAAATAGGCGAAATTCTAGGAAATTGTGCATAGATGATTTTGTCTAAAAGACACATATTATTATTGTGCGAATGGACATAGATACCTGGAAGCATCTGGTTGTTGATTATATCCATAAGATGAAGTGTACGAGAAGAGCGAAGGTATGAAAAAAAATTAAAGAAAAAGTTAATATTGTATCAAATTCTGGATTAATGTGATATACGCAATAAAATCAAAAAGTTGTTATTGCTTTTTAAAAACTTCCGAAATAACTGAAAATGATTCTGATAAAATGTGCCTTCGAGATGTGGGTCTACCGTAGGATGGTGAGAATATCATGGAGAGAACACAAAGGTTCTGAGAAGAATGAAGAAGAACGCGGAGAGTTTGTAAGAAGTGAAAAAAAGGAAACTGTAATATCACGTCTACATTATGAAAGGTCTTAAGTACGAGCTTCTGCACCTCATAATAAGAAGATCGTTTGGAAGGAGAAGAACGTAGAAACCTGCGAATATGGTTTAATGTTACGTCGTCTGACCTATTCAGGGCTGCAGCGTCGAAATGATGATAGCCAACCTCTGAAATTGAGACGGTACATGAAAAAGAAAAAAACTTACGTCGTATCTGACTATATCCAAAGCTTGAATTTGCTTGATATTTTACCCCATTGAAGTGGGCAAAGAAGCAATGCGAGATGAGTGTCGAGAGTTGATTTCCGTTTATGTCATTATCTGAAAATGTCATTGCTTAGTGCCTAAATTGAAATTACCAGCAAAAATACGATGACACTGAATCCAATACATTTTGCCCATAAAAACACTTTATCATTATTTGTTTTTTTTTATGAACTCAATACAGAAGTCAAAATATAGAAATTCAGGCAGCATTTACAGTATTTTTTATGTTATTTGTCATTATTTGACGATGATATCGACCAAAAGACCAAAGTAATATGGTTGCCAATTTAACAAAGAAAATATATGACTCCATGATAAACATTCCATCTTATCCGAGGATATAGTTTGTTGCTTATTATATGTATAGTTAGTTTTATAAGTAAATATAGAAGGTGATCAATCATCGATGACTTCATTTCAGTCAAAAGCAAGTCCTTGTTTGAACTTCTGTAAAACGAATATCCTACTTTGTCAAATAACACTTCTTTTTAACAACCCAGAAAGGAGGTTTCAATAATTGGGGTTGTGGTTGATTCAGCTGCATGAGCGGTCAAGTTAATGAAACGTTTTTACGGTATACTTTCATGAAATACTTGATTACTGTCATAATATCTATTTCTGTATTTTTTCTTTGAACCTCACGAACCACATCAGCGCTCTTCCTTCGATAAGTAAGTAGCGATTAGTTTAAGCTTGAAGTGAGATTAAGCCCCACTAAATATTTGACGAATGAAATAATCATACACGATGATTATGGTTGCATCGATTTAGACGATGTAGGTTTGGTTATTGCGGTATAGTACACATTCAAAGAAAAGTTGTTGTTTTTGGTAGAAGCTATTGAAGAATTCTGTAGTAAATCATGAAACTATCTAATAAGAGATACTACAAACAACTACAAGAAGCAGCACCTTGTATATATTCTCAATCCAGCCCAACTCATAGTTTCCAATCCAATGCTGCTCCAATCATTCGTTTACATTATTCCATCATTGAAAAGCTGTTGAATCGGTAACACTATAATGACAATGATTTCAAGAAAAGAGTTCAAAAATTGTTTTAAATGTGTTCAATTACTACTATTAGAAGAAGCAACTAATTTAGTGGAAGAAGAACTAAAAAAAGAAAATCGGATTTGGTTGAGAAATTGAATATGCGAAAGAAATATAAAGGGAGGTTCGATGCTTTTGCGACAATTAAAGTCAGAAGATTCATCTGAAGACAGCTTGGAAATGAGAATGACTGCAGAAAATTTTGAGGAGTTGTATATATAACCTACTTTGTCTCGAAGTCAAAACTTTATGTAGGAGGAAAAATTATTACTTTATGTAGTTCAATATCGTTTAATCCTGCAGAAAATTTTCACAACAGCTCAAATCACGAACAATCTCCAATCTAATCCTGAAATTAATTTCAAGGATCAATCCTTCCTTCACGATATTTTTGCAAAGATAAATCATGGACTTACAGTGTCTTACATCAGCAATTTTTAAAATATCTTTGTAACTTCTTCCATTTCCGTACTAACGATTTAAAAAAAAAAAACTATAACACTCGTGTTGCCGTTTTGCAAGATCACGTAGATAATTACGCTTCTTGCGCTTGTATTTCTAAATCATTACACGCCGCGGATTAATTAGGCCATATTAGACGTTGCGAGAAAATGGGATAATAAACACCAGGTGCTCGTTGCAACACATCTTTAAAAAAAGAAAAATAAATTACTTGTCGTTAAATTATTTTCGCACACAAGAAATTTCTTTTCTTTGCGCGGGTTTCTAACGTTTTTGTTGTCGATTCCCTTTTAATACCAATTTAATGATAATCGCAAATCTTTTGAAGCCGTTGACAAGTTCTTGCCTTTAAAAGAAAGTCGTTTTCGAATCAAGTTCAATGGCGATTAAGGTCATTGGCGGTAGGTGACATAAAAAATTGAATCTTCTTTTTCTAGAAATTATAAGGATTCAATAAATATACATTTTAATCATCATAATTTAAATTCATTTAGTTTTTAAAGCTTAAGAATGCATTTTTTGTTCTCCTTCTACGTTAAGCGTTAGACACAAAAGAATAACGAAACGAAGGATGGAAGGAGTTAAATCGGGTGAATGGCCGCAAAAATCTTTCTCCACGCTGTCGGTGTTGGAGAATGTACTATCTCCTAGAGTCCGTTTCCTTCCGGTTTTTACAACAGCTATCTTTATCAGACTTAAGAAAAATGTATTTATGACAAACAAAGAACAACCGAATCAACCAGGCGTTCAACCACGTCCAGATCAACCCGAAGAAAGTGAAATGTTTCATCTGGAAGTTTAGCTTCCCGTCTATATAAAGTCATGTAGTCGAAGTGGATAATCAGTGTAACAAAGCTTCAATCCTTCTAGTGTTCTTTACTTTAAGAAAACACTCAGGAAACCATGAATTTTTATGTGAGTTGTTAAAAACTTATTTTTCAAATGAAAATTTAATAATTTTTTAATTTGTTTTAGGTTTGCGTTTTTGCAATTTGCTACGTTGCAGTAGCACAGGCAAAACCAGGACAGTTCGATTTCGTCTCTTCCGGCGGCGGAGGTGATGGTTCTTCCGGAGGTGGCAGCGATTACGGCGCCTCATCTGGTTCCCAGCAACCGCAAAACTTTCAATTAGTTGCAGTGCCGGATGACTTCTCGTTGAACCTTCCATCGTTTGATATTCAAGAGTTGGGATCGTCGCAACATGGAAATGTTGGAGGTGAATCAGTTAAAGTCACCAAAGTCATCACCGTCAAAGAACCACAACCTTATCCGGTTCACATCCCACAACCAATTCCCGTCCCTGTTCATGTACCAAAACCAGTACCCGTTCCTGTAACCAAAATTGTTCAAGTACCTAAACCATATCCAGTTGAAATTGAAAAGAAAGTTCCAGTACCAATTGAGGTACCAAAACCTTACCCAGTTTCTAGCAGCGGAGGAGGTAATAATTATTGTTTAGAAATATTGTTTTGGTTGTTTTTAATGGTTGAAATTATTTTAATAAACTAAAATGACTTTTTTATTTGTAGGAAGTGGTGGTGGATACGGTGTTCATGATCAAAGCGGTGGCTATTCCAACAATCAACCATTGTACCAACCAAGCTCGAGTGACGAGAGGAAGTGATAACAACGCCATTTCTTGTTGTAAATAGTATAGAAAAAATTGTTGAATCTTTTTAATTTTTTGTTGTTACCTTGACTGCTGTTCTGTCTGTTGTTGTGTTATCGTCCTTTTTTATTTTTTAATACTGTGTTACTACATGAGTAAATATACATAAGAAAAAAAGAAATTTTTCATTTTATTTTCCATATTTAGTATTCCATAAGTATTCTATCTGGTTCTAACTAGCCCAAGAAAGTTCTTAACAAATTTTGCGGATGCTTAATTATTGAATGATTAAAAATTTTTTTATGAGTCTCTAAATTAGTACATTTTATGTTAAATATTAATGTCCCGGAAATAGTTAATGCGCAGTGAAAGAGATTTTAGGCCAACAATGCTTGTGAAATGTTGTGAACAACTTTTACTATATACCATAGACAAAAATTGAAAATTTTCTATTAGAAATTTTTAGAGCATAAAAAGTTACTGCTCCAATTATTACTTATTGTATTAACATTTTCATTCGGGCATTTTTTACTACAAACTTATTACTATGATACCTTAGATGTTATGGTGTACGATGTGTTAAAAAGAATATTAAATATGTAAATGATTTTAAAGAAAGTTTTAGTGTTCCTAGTGTGGATGTGTCTATTTTGTTGCCAACGATTTACTATATGACTGATAATCAGAAATTTAATGTAACAAAATATAAGTGGTGATAATGGATATACTGTACTAAAAAGTCACTAAGCCAATCTATAATGTTTGGAAAAATCAAGGATATGAAGTCAGAACATAAGTTAATCTGTTATTAATTCTTTGGAAACTTTTCAATAAAATTTGAATTTACAGTTTGATTGAAAAGTCAGTTGTATAGAAAGATTTCGACAATCTGCACAACCGTTCCAGTGAGATCGCAATAGCCAACTATAAAGAAGTACAAATGATTATAAATTTGAATGATTACTAGGTTTCAACCTTCGCAAATGACGATGTATCTATTAAAGTCTGAAAAAAATTTAATTGAGGATTATGTTTCGGCTTTGGCAGAACCCAATGATGATCGACGATTAAGCAGTGAACAGAGAAGCCCGCATTTGCAGAAGATAATTTGTTGGAACTATACTGGGTACGTGGAGAAAACGTAATCTGAACAGGAAAGAATCTCTGAAACCTGGTTGGTAATGTATTAAACATATTATATGCTTACTAGTAAACTAGGTGAGTTTACAAACTCACATTTCTTCAGCAAAAGAACGAATTGATCTCGCCTCTATCCAGGCGAATCATGGCTGTTCAATACTGAAGGTTGATTTCAGAGTTGATTTCAGAGAGACAAAACATTGCATAGGGCAGAATCGACAATGTCAGAGATATCTACTTATTGGATGAAAGATGTGTTATTAATAACGTGGGTGATGAACTATTGCTGTCAGAAATAAATCAGATGTTTTAGACATAACGGTCAGCTCAATTTTATTAAGCATAACAATATTTTCATGGAAGATTTCTTCTGAACACTTGTAATAAGACCATAACACATTCAATTTGTAATTCAACCACTCAATAGAATTAGTTTTAGTGTTAATTTATTGATAACCTGTCTGATGTTGTCACTACAATTTGAGGTTCTGATCAGATTGTGATCTTAAGCAAATTTTTTAGCAATGCGTTTGGCTTATCACAAAAGCAATTCATTATATGAAAGGAATGTTTAATAAAAAAAAAAATAAAAAATGTTTGATGACTTTTTAACCAAGCTAAAACATTGGGAAAATAGGCACTATGTATACCGGTTTTGCCGAATTATAACATGAACATTCGTAGGATTAAATGGAATTCTTAGATGAGTAGTGATAGAATTCACAGCACGATGAAAGTTTTACGGACTCATGCAAAGCCAGAATGGAATGTTTAATGCCTTTTTTCTGAACACCTGAAGTCGGAAGATAATGTTGCTATAATCGCAGATTTCAAGCACAACAAAACGTCTCTTACAAATAAATTGGTACATGGATAGAAAAGTTATCTGCGTTCATTCTCGTTCCCAATACATTCCTAGTCATTACTTTTTGAAATCGTTTTTGCAAATTTTTGAGAAAGTGTTGGAACGGTATATCTGATTAAGGACAGTTCGATGAGGCCCAATCTTTACATTGTGAAGAGATGGTATATTTCAAACAAGAGACCATTCTTTCTCTTGTCTCTATTGGATGACGACCAGATTGTCTTCAGTGTGCAAACGCTTGCACAGACTATAATGATTGTCATTATGATCAGAAGAACGTGTATGTTGAGGATACAGAAAGTCTTAATTGAATAAATTTTAGATGTTATTTGCAAAATGTACTAAGAGTAAAACTTCTCCATCAATCCGAAAAAAAGTTTACTCTGATCAGACGGCGTGGTTGGTAATAAGGCTTTCGATGAACTTCCTAGAACTGGTAGTAAAATCAGAAATCAGTCTGCTTTGACCCAATTCTCCTGGCATGAGATATACTAAGAGGGTTATTGCCATCTCAACATTTCAACCTTGGAAATATTACAACTTGATTAATCTAGTAGCAAGATTTATGCAATGATGTACATTGACTATGTTTAGAGAACGAGGAGATAATATGGCATGTTTTATGACACTGAGGATCCAAACGTTGATTTATCATGATCATAAGGCTGTAGGGGTGAAATGTAATGTTATTTATGGATGTACATGTGAATAATTCGCTGTAACGAACATTTTGCCACTACATCTAGGAAGCTCTTAAGAAAACTCCATAACATGTCTTTCATTACAACATTAATCGTTCTAATACATTATAATTGAGATGTTGAGTATGTCACATAGAACAACATCTGCATATCGCCAGAATTTCTGAACACTATGACAATTCCGTCACAATTTCATTCTTGTATTTAACGAATTTGATTTGGTCCCAAACCTCGTAGTTTATATCATTTCAATTACAATTCAGAATTCAGTAGGAATATCCAAAAATGTCTATAATTTTATTTTCTCTAACATTACATTATATGATTTAATATTAACTCTTAACACATTAACTCTCATTAATTATTTAAATGCAAAAACAAAACTTCATTTGGAACGAATTGCTTTCATCTACAATATAATTTTGAATTCTCTACGCTTCTTTTTTATATCAAAAAGCAAACCTTGACTTCTTTTATTAACCATTTTAGTGTCATTATCATTGATAATTTCAAATTAGCATATACTTAATTAACTTATACTTAAACAATAACAAAAAATCTCAATTATAGAAGGATTTATTGTGACATTTCCTTATTTAGTAATCCAACATTAACGTTCATGTTTTAAACGTAATCGTATTTATTTTTTGCAAAAAATATGTTTAATGTAAAATGTGTGAGTTAGAAATTAAAGTTATAAGCCTAAACTAAATTTGTACCTTTCGAAATAATATAACATTAAATAAAATGTATATTCTTAAAAGTAATTAACAAGTTTGAACGGTTACATGATTATCTACTTAAAGTTTGAACCGTAAACTGTTTTATGTTCTTCGTTGGTAGTTTTATTTTATCTCGCAACGACTCGGTTTTATAAATGTTTCTTATACAGGTTGGAGTTTTTTTAATTGGGGATAAAAACTTAAAGTGAGGGGATTGTTGCATAAGAATCCCACGAGTTATTTTTTCTTTTCTATTTCTCGTCCGCTTTTCCAGGTTATTCGGTTATGTAAGAGATAATCTCCCAGTTCCTCTCGCACTTTACCTTTTAACAATCAATCAATTTTATACTGCGTGGGATTTCAATGGAATATAAATTTGTTTAAAACGGGTTTGTAACAAGATCTCTAAATAATTTTAGGTTTTAACTTAATTTATTTATAAATACATTTTACACAAAAAATATTTACAAAATAATCATTATTGAGTACAGCGAGATACTAAAATACTGATGACAAGCTCGAGATAATCAAAATTTTTTCTTAATGATGATATCCTCCAAAATCACCTCCAAAACTATGGCCACCATCGAAACCACCTCCATATCCACCTAATTCAAGACCTCCTCCGTAGTGACCACCGAATCCTCCTCCAAAACCACCTCCTAAATCATCACCATGTCCATGGGCTTTAATGTAAACTGGTACGGGTTTCTTAACATAGATGGTTTCTTTGATTGGTACTGGAATTGGTTTATGAACTGGATAAGGTACAGGATGAGGAACATGGACTGGTACCTTTACTGGAACAGGTACTTTAACTGGCACACTTACAGGTACTTTAACAGTTTTTTCAACTGGTACTGGATAAGGTTTATCAATATGAACTGGGTATGGCTTAGGTACATGTACTGGATATGGTTTATCAACTGGTACTTTAACGGTGTATGGTACAGCAACGGGTACTTTCTTAATTACTGGAACAGGTACTGGGTGTGGTACTGGAACGTGGATTGTTTTATGGAGGGTTATATGTTTGATGTGGCCGTGTCCATCTCCACCATAACCTCCACCAAATCCTCCGCCAAATCCTCCACCATGTCCTCCTAAAGCCAAACCTCCTCCGTGGCCACCAAGATCTAATCCACCCAAATCTAAACCATGTCCTGACAATTCTAAACCACCTCCAAAATCATGTCCACCCCCATATCCCAAATCGTAAAGACCTCTTTTATCTTGTTTTTTGTCTTCGACCTTTTTCGCTTCTTCTTTTTTAGCTAAACCGACCCCAAAAAGGGCCACTAACAGTACAATCTATAAAAAGAAAGTTATTACAATTACAAAAATTTTAAAAAATTAATTAAATTACTTTAATTTTCATTGTTAATATTAGACCCAGACCGCAATTGACCAAACTGTTGTCAAATTGCAGTTGGAATTTCTGTATTTATATGAGTCGGCCAGCTAGTGTCAAAATGGCTTTCTAACCCTTCCACTTCTTACGTGGACTATAGTAGTTGGGAAGGTGCGTGAGACCTCATGTGGCCGGTTTCGTAAAAACACGGTTCGGGGCGCGTGCAAATACCCGCTCACCTAATAATAACACAATAATTATCCATCGCGAATTCCTACATGATACATATGCATCATTATTTCAATAAAAAATCGAAAATCTGCAAATGAAATCGAAATTAAAAGATGACCTTGAACATATCTTTTTTGTTTGAAAGAACGTGGTGATACAAAGAGTCAGGAAGCGTGTGAAAATGTTAATATATACGACACAATTCTCAACGGAAGGACATTAAAAGTAACGTAACAATACAGGGTTACGTAAATCGAGCGAAACACCTCAAAAAAAAAAAAAAGAAAATAAAAAGAGAAAAAGGGAAGTCGTTCTCTAAAATATGAATTTTAATGTTGCCATTACAAGACATTCTTGTTTATCAAAATGAAATAATTAGTTAAGAACGTGGAGAAACCGTATTTTGTAACTTGCAATTAGTTGACTTTTTTGTTGCGACAAACTTAATTATGCGTTTTATTTTGAAGAACTCCACTAATGAGCTTAATGTAAAGTTATTAAATTATTTTAAAGTAAAAACATTTAAATATTACCATTCGAAAATCAAGGAATTCTAAATTACTTCATAGGGAATTAAATTATATATAAAAATGAAAAAAAGAATTTAGACAGGATTTTTTTCTTTATAGTTTGACCCAATGCTTAAGTGTTGATAAAAAACAACAAAAGACTTCTATCTACGTGATGGAGCATAAGAACATTTTAGAGATTTTTGCTTCTAATTCACTTACAAATTACTTTGACCAACTCAAATATGACGACTTTTTTATCTAATTGTTGTTTTGATCGTCTCTGTATAAACAATTTCTGCTTGGGTATGTACACCTCAAGTGCCTGTTCTTTCATGAATTTTGCCAACTAAGTCATAGGTTAACATCAAGTCCATCTCAACATTAACTATCATGTGGGAAAGTAACCAAGAATCTACAGACTGTTTGCTTGCTTTGTCCAGAAATATCTTGCTGTATATAGCTGTACGCAGTCAGGCGTATTCCGTATCATAGCCCGAACTACATCTCTGTTCTATATCTCAACAACCAAATTAGATATCGAGATGAGGGTTGTATGTATTTAAATACGATAATCATTATGATTAAGTCAATAAACGTATTTTCTAAAAAAATCGTATCAATAACTACATGAGATAGGTATAGCGATGATTGAAGGAAATTTTCTAATTATTTTATGTATGGACGGCCATTTTTTCAAATCTCCTTATTTCGACTTTAGGATTTATCATGTCGTTAATCATGGCGATTAGGTTTACAACATCAATTTTAAAAAAATCTTATCTCCATAACCAAATGACAAATCGCAATGAAGTAAGAAGCATATTAAAATAAATTTCATAGGTATTTGATATGATGAAAGCCATTTTTTCAAATCTTAAAGATTTCGTCATAAGGATTTTTTGATTTTATCTATGCATGTCAATAATGTAATTATACACTTCAATTTTAAAAAAATTATATCGTAACGACCAAATGTGATATCACGATGAAATAAGAAGCATTTTAGAAGGGCTAGAAATGTAATAATACTTCATTATCACATATTACCTCACACTACTCACATATTATTGCCTGCCATTATGGAACCAATATTCGCATTCATTGATTAGGAACTACAATTGTAAATGAGCACCAATATCTTTCCATAGCCCTGCCAGCTTCCATGTTTGTTGTTGGTTGTGACCAATATTGGGATGCTATGGAATGCAATGGATGATACTTCTTACCAATTATATTCACTTTGTCTTCCAATTTCCCTTCATAAATGGTTCATTCTTCTTCATAACTTAGTAACCGTCCTGAATTAGCTTGGAATCTAAATTCCAGTTGAAATCTTCCGAAACTATCTGGAATTAATATGATATATATTTGATACATTCTGAAATAAAGGTAATAAATTGGAAACCCAAATAAAACTTTTTGAAAGAAAAAGATTGACTTGATAAAGTTTGATATATTTTCAGGTCATAGTCAACATATACAAAAAAACTCCGAATTAAGATACAAAGTTAAAGGTTTGATTTAAATATAACCCAAAAAGGCATTTACATTGTATCAATAAAAAAAGCAGACCGTGTTGTTGTATGTTATACCTATTCATATTGAAAGTATTACTATGTGACACCTTCTACTGAAAGGTTTCCAAAACGATTGCCTACTTTGGTACCAAAGAAATAACCTTGGAATGATTAACATCAGTGTACTGAATATCCAGGAATAAGAATAAGTAACAACATTATAAATAATTCATAAAGCATATGGTTGCTAGGTTTACTAGATTTCCTTGCAATGATAGGTTGAGTTAAAAATAAAGCTCCAAATGTTCTTTGAGACTGAAGTTGTCTTCCGACAACTATCGATAGAGTTTCTAATTAAAACTATTCAAAACTCGTCATGAAGAATATTTTAACAAGTTCATATAGTAGTAAAGCTAACGGCCTCCGAAAAAGCCGTATGACAATACCATCTTTCTAAATATTAGTGGAACCTTTAATAAGATATCGCATATGAGTCGAAAATATAAGGAGAAGAATTAATGTCTTATATTCCTTCCTTCAAGTACTGAACTCATCCATCTTAGAACTATAGTGTCTCGTTAAGTAACTAACTTTATGGAGATGCACCCTATAATGTCAATGGTAATGTAATGTCACAGTAAATTTGCTGAAGTATATAGACGAAATTGAATGCTTGCTAAATCAATGGGAATTTGAAAGTAAATCGTTATCCAAATCTAGTGACATGAACATCTAAGATTATATTTAGATAAAAAGCTAACATGGCAGAAACATATCTTCACTGAACAAAATCAGTTACGTGGAATGTATAATCCGATTCTAAGAATATCACTTATAAACATAGCTCCAGGTCAGATCAAAAGTGTACTGAGATGTCTCCCCTATTTTCTTTCCCAACCCAACAAAACCCAATGGGGATGTCTCCCCTATTTTCTTATGGAACACTATAGGTTACGAGTTAAAAATTAAATGCTTCAACATATTCGACTTCTCCCACTTATGATTCTGGTTTTTATGGTACTTCTTCAAAGACATTTTTTGTTAATACCTTGATCTAATGATATCTCCCCATCTTTTTGTACTATTAAACCCAAGTTTTATTAGGTGATGTTACTTCTTGTACAACGGAAGATTCAACAGATATTTCAATCGATATGTCAACATTTTCTTGAACACTGCAATCTTTCTGAACATCTTTTTATTTGCTTTTATCTCTCGAAGAGTCTTGTAATTCTTCAACAATTGCTGTTATTTCAGCAGATTCAACAGATTTGATCTCTGACATTACTTTAACATCATCATAATGTGTTACTTCAACTTCAGGTTCTATATCTAACGTTGCTTTTTCTGATGCCAGAATTCCGATTCTTTTATTTTAGCATCTGCAGATAATTCATCATCTTTGGTTACTTCAACTTGAGGTTTTAATTCTGAAATAATTTGTTCTAGCACAACTTTTACTTCATCTCCTGTTTTAACATCAACTATATCTTCATCGCCACAAACTTTCTCATAATCTTTCTGTTTGCTGTTCGATTTCTTCCTCTTCGGAGATTCAATGTTTTTCGTGTAATTTTGCCTCAACACATTCTAAATATTTGGCAACTTCAGCTTTTAATTCTGAAAACAGAACTCAGAATATATCTAAGTAGTGAGGATATATAAAGTGCTGTGGATTTATCCACCTAACATGCTGTTAATACGATAATGTCAAAAACGGCTTTATTTTCTAGTTGAGCGAAATATTAGCATGATTGTTATTATCCTATGTTTGCCATCATGATTTGGACAGAGATTCTTGTGCATCGGTTAATAGTTCCTTGGATTTGCAATGGGAAACTAAAAGAAAAATATATTGATTCCTTACAAATTGATTTTGCGCACCTTTGGCGAGATATCCCAGTAATAACAAGATTTATGTAGTTTAAGCACGAAGTACAATATTTAAGTACCTGATATTTTTAACAAATTATAATCTGAAAGGTAACTAAGACGTAGAGGTTCAGTTACATTTAAAGGATTTGGATACAGACTAAATGCAGTAACATTTGAAATCTGGAAAAAGTGTTATCAGATATAAAATAGTGGTACAAAAAAATGCTAAATGTTGTATGAAAGTAACAATTTTTTCTTCGCGTTTCCTACTAATGTGCTGTATCGACTCCTTCACATTTCAGCACATCTTATATGTCACCTTGTCTGTTATCTTATATGTTATTTGAAAACAGCATCTAATTCTCATTACTGTCTAGTCTTCTGCCAGCTGCTAGCAACTTTTTATGAAGGGAATCCCATCTTACATTGTTAGCATCTTGTCTTCTCTATCTATTACTTTGCCAACAGTATAAAATTTTCTGGAAGGAGTAAGTAGAGTAAACATACTTATTCTTAGGGAATCTGAGATTTAATACTACCTTAAATTAGTCGTGGAGCGTATATCACTGAGCATCGGAAACCGTAATATCGCTCAAAAAAACAGCATTAGTTGTGGACTGATATGGTTAATAGTTAATAAGATATATGATTGGGAATCTAAAATCGTTTTTCTGCCAGATATTTGAACATCGATTTTTCTTTTTACCTCAAAATCTCTTCACCATAGATCATTACGTACAATATCGCCAGCATAAGCTAGAATATGCTAATACACTCTCAGAATTCTCTAAACCCCAGAAAGTTTACCAGATACTTCAACAAAAAATAAAGATATATTAAAAATATTTTTAAGATTTTTTAGAACCTTTGGTTATTTGCTATAACAACTGTTTTTGATCGATATTAATATTGGTGTCGAGGGTATGGTGTAACTTGTGTAATCATTTATTTAATTAACACTGTACAAGGTAAGATTTAATCGTTTTGTCGCAACATAATACAGAAAGTAATATTTCATATTATATAGGAAAAGATAAAGGATTATTTATTAAAATAGTTGATTATTTATTTTCTCTCTGTTGTATAATGTCGAGGAAGAAAACCAACGGGTTTACGTGATTTTATGAACCGATGATAAAATTAATTATTATGCCCATCCCCGTTTACGATCCGCTTTCATGCAACAACCACACCAAAGGAACATCCGCAAGCACCAATTTCTTATTATATAACTCAAATCATTTTTAACTAAATAAATCGAGACATTTAAATCGATTTTATTTCAGTTAAAAATTAAATTTTAATCATTTAATTTTAATACTTTCTTAGAGGTTAGTGTAAAGAATTGCAATGTCAAGGTGAGATCATCATCTCGTTACACAACGACGAAGAAGAGAATGTGCTCAATGAAATTGCATAGTAACAGTCGAGTATTGTACGGTTCGAGTTAACGAACGCCCGTTTCATTCATTAAATCTTAAACTCGACTTTTTTTAAGAAATAACCGAGTAATTAACTCACTTATTTTAAATTAAAACCGCACCGGAATTTATTACAAAGAAAAAGACATATAAACATATTCGTTATACAATTTATTAATTATTTACACAGGTAAGAACTTTTGGATGGTACAATTAACATAATCACCAGACTGAAAAATTAATAAAAAACAACGATTTTAAAAAGGTTTTTATATTTTTTATTCCTCTAATCAATAATATTAAAAAATCAACAAATAAAAAAATAACAAAAATATATAAGTAACAACAAGAAGTGAAGAACCAAACCTCTTACATATTTTTTTGCTTGAAAAAACTGTTTTAAATGTGAATGTGATGCATTATACAACGAGATCCTTCTGGCTAACAAATAACGTAGGGTCCCAATGCAAAGAGCAATAAAACACCACCTGAAACACGAAAAAGAATCCACCACTATATAGGAAGTTCAATTGATCGGATTACTTAACCGTTTCGGTCGCTTAAAGATTAAGATCGAACAGAAACCGAGTCACGGTTGACTAAATTACAAAGTCCACATTACCTCCGATAATTAAAGCTACCGTGATCGAAGGAAAGAGGCGCGGTCTAAAGATTTTTTTTTGGATTGTGCTTGTTCGAAACCACCGCTTACTTTCGACTTAGGAGTGAGCGGTCGATGATTCAAAAGAAATCGTAAATTCTCGAGAGTACGGAAGCAATTATTATTTTCCTGTTCACATTGAAGATTATTGTTTAGTCGTGTATCCTAGTTTATATCGGCAAAATTGATTTTTCGAAAAAAAATTAGAGAAAATTGGCTTTTTTTTGAAAGTAATTACTGTTGTAAAAGTGATTTGCATAGAAAGTTATAACAACTTGTAATTATTAAACTTGACAATTTCCTATCCCTTTACAAGGACATCATCTTTTACACGAAATTGTTGCTTAACACGCACTCTAAACTTTCACGTAATTTTCTTAGTTGCTTACCTTTTAGAATTTGTGTGACCCAAAGTCATCATCAAATCCACCTCCGTGTCCACCAATAAAAACTGGTACTTTTGTAATAATTGGTACGGTATTTTCAACGTAAACTGGATAAGGTTGTGGAATAGAGATGGTTTTTTCCAATTCAATTGGGTATGGTTTTGGTACACTAACTGGGTATGGATGGGGTACTGGGATATGAACTGGTACCTTTACTGGTACTGGAACTGGTCGATCAACTGGAACGTTAACTCTGACTTGTTTTGTTACTTGAACTGGATACGGTTGAGGTATTGGTACTGTTACGGTTTTTGTGACTGGATACGGAACTGGAACCTTCACTGGGAATGGTACTTTGCTGACTACAGGATAAGGGACCTTCTTGTAAACCGGATAAGGGATCTTTTGTGTGATTACTTGTACACCATGAACTCCACGTTTTTCCCTCTGCAACTCTTGAGCTAGGGTTAAACCCAACACGAAGAATAAAGGTACCTAAAAATAAAAAAAATAAAAACAATCAAAATTAAATTAAATTAAACAAATAAAATCTTACTAAGAATTTCATGGTGATTTGTGTGTGAATGTTAATACTTAATCGGGATTCTGCTCCTAGAGGAATAATGGCAACCATTTATTAAAGGATTGCTTATATACCTCAGGAATCCAACGTATACTTTCGCTTTCCTTTTTTTTCCGAAATAAGGCCACTTTTTTCTTTCCCCGTGATCACGGTGATAGGAAGAAAGGCTCCAGAAATATAATAGTTTGCTTTCGTTTCCGGACCGCTGGGCGCAAACATTCAAAACGAAGCACCCACCGTAATGTAGGTGAGAAAAAGGCGAGAAATGCCGGCAGCAATTTGAGCACATTACCGCAAATCTTCAAGCGCCATCATTAGCAGAACGATGTCTGACGAGATGACGAGAAGACCGTCTAAACATCCACACGAAAGGTCTATGACATTTAGATTCAGTGTTAAGGTGACCAGAATCTCAGTAACATTCACTTTTAAAACACATACGTAAAGAGTCAATCTTGATTTCACACATGTAGGTATTAATGCTATATTTTAATTTAAGACTAATATCAGTGCATATTTTTAGGTTCAAAAATTTACGATTACAAAATGATTAGAAAATGTAGGAAATACTAGGTGTAGATAGAAATATTAGATGTAGATTACATCAGAAATTCATTTGCATATTGATTATTAAAAAAAACTCGTTGTGAAAATCAAAAAAATGTTAAACAAACATTTTTTTTAGTCGTTTCATTTCAAGTTTTTGTCTACTAATGTGGTAAGCGTAAAGTTAATATATTTGAAATAAAGTATTTATTTTTAGAACTTTCAATCGTTAACGTACTTTGTTTCGTTCCGGATCAGTCCGTAAACTTTTAAAAAAACAAGCAATTCAAACGTATTCATTTAAGACTAAAAGTTTAATTGTTACGTTGTCCATGTCAGCTTTAATTTGTTGTAACATGTAACATCGGCTCCTTGCTCACTTTCGAAGAATAATGGCCCAATGATGCCACCATGCCAAAATCTGTACCAAGTAGTCACTCGTTTTAGGTGCATCGGCTTCTCAATGATGACGTTTGGTTTCTGAAAAAAAAGGTTTCTGAACCCTAAATGCGACAATTTTGCTTATTGACAAGACCTCCGATGTGGAAATGGACTTCATCTCCAACCCATTGGTAGAACCAAAAACGCATCGCATGGTCATGAGGCTTCAATTCTTGGGGTAATTGAACTTTGTAAACCTTCATAGTGAGGTCTTTATGCAAATTTTTCTTGAGAAAAGTGCGAGAAATATTCATTTCCTGAAAACGTTGACTAGTTGATGTTGATGGATGTTCATGTACACTTTAGGGAATAGCATCAATATTTTCGGCTGAGCGTTACCATAAAAAACAATAAATAAATAAATAAAATAATTATCAAGTCTAAACCAGTCTAAACATACAAATTAATGCTGTTAATTTTTCCTGTATTTAGTATTCCCAGGTGAATTTTTCTTAAGTTTTCACAGTTCAATTGATACGTCTCCACTCCTGATCAATTTACGAAATCATTTTACAAATTTGAGACCAACCATGATGCGTCATCATTTCCTTAATAAACCTTTTTTACATAAAGATTTAGAGAAATCAGATTTTGTTTTTGAACGGATAGGAGGCAAAAAATGTTCTCTCTCTGCAAGGTATGAAGGGAGATTTTAAATTATTAAAAAATTCCCTAAAACTTTTTGCATTTTAAAAGAAAATCGAGAACTATTCATTAGTGTTGACAGACTGAAACCTGCTTTTCTTTTAAATAACTCATACATAGAACAAGTTAAAAGAAAAAACAATTTAAATGAATAGTAATTTTTCTATGGAGAGGGGAATATTTGTGGCGTTATTTTCGAATTTAAATATTATCAAGTTTTCTTGTTATATACGACAAAATATATTTTCCCGTTACCATAAAAAGCAATAAATAAATAAAATGATTATCAAGTCTAAACCAGTCTAAACATACAAATTAATGCTGTTAATTTTTCTACGTGAAAAAACTTTAGGACAAAAGTTGTAGCAAATTTTATTCATTACAATATTGTTCTGTTTTATTTTTGCTCTCAGATCCGTAAATAATAATCGAAGTTTTGAAAATCAGCAGACTGTTAATTATATCATCTATTGATATAGACTACTGATAAATCGGAAGGGTTGGCAACGCTGGGTATCATACACAAATTTTGAGATTTTCATAAAGTTTTGTGTGATGAGAGACATCACCAGAAAAGGAGATAAGAACTTCCTTTCAAAAATTCTATGATCAGATTAATCCTAAGAAAGGTATTGTATAACATGTGGTACCAACATGAAAGGACTCCTTTTCCAAAACTCCATTGATTTTGGAGTTTTTCATACCACTTAAATAACCCGACTTAAATCATAGTGACTCTTATTTATGGGGTCACTTGAAGCTACTACGAAATAAATGATCCTTATTCCAGAGGATTTGAGTCGTTGCCAGTTGTGTGCGCAAAAAAAGAAAAATTTGAAAGAAAATAGCATGATAGAAAATTAGCATCTGTCATATTATTAATTTTAGACATTTTATTATCTGTAAAAGTTCGGTGTTAATAAAATAAAATATTTGAAATAAATCAATCTTTATTCAAAAACAAAATCCATTTAGCTATGTAATACTGTATCATAAAGAAATTCTAAGTAACAACAAAAAAACTAGTAAAATACAATTATACTGTGGTAACAGAGTTCAGTCGAGTGGAAATTCTTTCACCTATAATTAGAATGAAAGCTATCCACAATTTGAGATTCTTATTAAGATTATATCACAAGTGTCATGGTCGATTTCTTCTTAGTGGTATCCGCCTCCGCTGCTGCTGAATCCACCAGAGCTACCGCCGTACGAAGAAGAACCTCCAAAACCTCCTCCATGGCCACCTCCGAAACTTCCTCCACTAGAACCTCCAAAGCTTCCTCCATGGCCACCTCCAACAGATCCCCCGTAACCGCCTCCAATACTTCCACCATGGCCTCCTCCAATCGATCCGCCAAAACCTCCTCCATGGCCACCTCCAAAGCTTCCTCCACTAGATCCTCCGATAGAACCTCCAAAGCCTCCTCCATGACCGCCACCAATCGATCCCCCAAAGCTCCCTCCATGTCCTCCGCCGTAACCGCCTCCGAATCCACCTCCAAAACCACCTCCGAATCCTCCAGATCCTCCACCACCTCCATGTCCTAATTGAACGATTACTGGTACTGGTTTTTTAACATAGACGGTTTCGTGGATTGGAACAGCAACGGGTTTCGAGACTTTTACAGGGAATGGTTTTGGAACTGGAATGGCAACTTTTACGGGAACGGGAATTTTGACTGGCACATTGACTGGTACTTTAATGGTTTTTTCAACTGGGAAAGGTACTGGTTTCTCGATGAGAACTTTGTATGGTTTAGCGACATGAACCGGAACTGGTTTGTCTACTTTAATAGCCACTGGAACTTTTACGATGTAAGGTACTTTCTTTTCAATTGGAATTGGAATCGGGACAGCAGTGTGAACTGGAACTTCTCTATGAAGAGTGACATGATTAACTCTTCCGTTGTCTTCAACAGAAACAATTTGACCATCTCCTCCACCGCCTCCTCCACCTCCAGCTCCAAATCCTCCTCCAAAACCTCCTCCAAATCCACCCCCGTATCCTCCTCCATATCCTCCTCCAGATCCTCCCCCGTATCCCCCTCCAGATCCACCCCCAAATCCTCCTCCAATATCTCCACCTCCATGACCACTGCTTCCAATATCTATAGAACCACCATCATATCCACCTCCGGACGATCCATATGAACTTCCTCCACCCGACGATCCATAAGATCCACCACCTCCACTTGATCCATAACCAGAATCAATGCCTCGTTTTTTTGGTTGAGTAGCTATTGCCACGAAGGCAAGAGACATCATTATGATCTAATTATAAAAAATCCATTACTATATACCCAAAAAGAATCCTACGAAAAAATGTTCTTACCAGAACCTTCATCTTCTCTGTACTTGCGATAGATGTCAAGATCGAACTCTGTATGATTCATCCATCGTTCACGGTCTCGTATATATACCTGAAGATGGTACAGTGATTACCGTGTTTGGAGAGAGTGCTACTTTCTAACGGGATTATGATAAAGGCATTATAATTAAAGCATACGGACTTGAGGATGTGTAACGAGAACGAAACATCGAGATCGTAAAAGATTAGCAAAGGATCGAAAACTCTCGGAAGCCGGAACTTTAATGATGCTTTAATGATGGTGGTTAACACACCGTGAACCACATGTGAAATTGCATAGGAAGCTGCATAATTAGGATTTTATAAATGGAATTTGGATCAAAGCGAAAAATTCCAACATGTAGCTAATAAAATTAGGTAGATCTTGATAACTATAATTAACAAAAAACAATTTAATCGATCGAAAAGAAACGTTATGATCATAAAAATTCTTCATCCATTTTACGTTCACATAGATCGACAAATCTATTTCCTCTAAAATTTTCACTTTCATTCCGCACATTCGCCAAATTAATGCCACATCGCTACGACTCCGTAACGTAATCGTAGGTGTGTTACAGCTGAGTTCGAACAACAACAAAACAGAGACGACGACGACGGTAAAAGTCGTCTTTCCTTTGACTACGTGCTCTCCAAAGCTCTCGAGTGGGTTGACTGCAAATAATTTTCAATTCGTTACTATTGTTCTGGCGATGCAATACGTAACCGCAAAACCGTCAACCGTTACCCATTAAAGTTCAGAGAGGTATCTCTTTATTCGAGAGACTTACAACTACGGTGTCTTTATGTAATAATTTTCTTTATAGGTGATTGTCAGATTAATGTTTTAGATATGGAATTATTTAAAGAAAAATCACAGTGTGTTTGATTTCATAAAATTAATGGATACGTATACGATTTAGATTTTCATATTTTTCGGTATATTTACTCTGAATGGTCTTTTCAGAAAACAAGGTCAGAGAAAATTCTCGTTCATTAGGAAAGTAATGTTAAAATAATTTTTTAAGCAAGCATTCATTATTTATGGATTTATGTTTAAATGAATATTTTTCTAAACCTTCTTGCTAAATCCGAATATTTCTAGTTCTAGGTCTAGTGTTAGTACTAGTGCTAGTGTTAGCTCTAGTTTTAGTTGCTATTCAGCTACTAACACTAGAAATAAAACTAGAAACATTCAGGTTTAGCCGTACGTCTCTTAAGACGACTAAACCCGAATATTTCTAGTTCTAGGTCAAGTATTAGTTATAATGCTAGTGTTAGTTCTAGTTTTAATTGTTATTCAGAGTATATTTTTATTGAACTAAAAGTGGAACTAACACTAGACCTAGAACTAGAAACATTCGGGTTTAGCCGTACGTTTCTTAAAACGGCTAAAGCCGAATGATTCTAGTTCTAGATCTAGTGTTAGTTCTAATGCTAGTGTCTAATTCAGCGTTAGATGGTTGTATATATTTATTGTGGGTTAGATATCTAAAGTTATCGTTTTCGTGGAATTGATTAATTATAAAGGATGTGAGATTAATAACATTTTCAAAACCACACTTTCACTCTGTTTTTCAATTTATTGTCACTTATGCATCAACAAAGATTTCAAATCAGCATAATTATAAAGTTTCACTTTGCATTATAAATACGTTTATGGGATTAATTTGAATTTTAGCAAATGCCCCTCTTGCTCAATGGTTTAAATCAAGTAACCAGAATTAATGTTGTAATTGCATATTTATAGAAATCTCCCAAATTTAATAAAAATCACCTTAACAAAGGATTGTAAATTTATTGTTGTTAGTTGAGTAACAACATGATTTATTTCATTACTTATTTTATTGTTTTATGAAAGAAATCTTGCAAATCTTAAGTAATCATTAACTTTTACTTTTAACGTGTTCGGGTTTTAGGTTGTGATTGGAAAGATTTTTTTAATACAAAACACAATATTTTGGTATTTTTCATTTATATTTTAATGTATAAAAGAGTTGTTCACAACAAAAAAATTGAGCCTAGAGACGGTAACGAGGAAATCGCGAATAAAATACAAAAAAATCGAAAAAAAAATATCGGAAAGATTTTAAGAATTCGCGCTACCTCCACCGTAAAAGTAAAATAAATTAGAGTGCACAGTCGCCGCGTTTGGTTTCTGGCAGGACAATCTCAAATTCTTGATATGCAAGAAATTTTGAGCTATCCATGCCCAGCATCCTTAGTATTTTCCGCCGTAGGAGCTGCCTCCGAAAGAGCTACCACCGAAGGAGCTGCCTCCGAAATCATGTCCACCGCTGGATCCACCTCCAAATCCACCGTGTCCACCTCCGAAACCTCCTCCGATTCCACCACCGAATCCACCATGTCCTCCACCGAATCCTCCTCCAAGTCCACCTCCAAAACCACCATCATCGCCATGTCCTCCAGTGTGGATGATGACTGGTACTGGTTTTTTGACGTAGACGGTTTCGTGAACTGGAACTGGGACTGGTTTGTGTACTTTAACTGGGTAAGGTTGTGGAACATGAACTGGTACTTTTACTGGGACTGGGATTTTAACTGGTACACTAACTGGTACTTTGATGGTTTTTTCAACTGGGTATGGTACTGGTTTATCAATGTGAACTGGGTATGGTTTAGGTACATGAACTGGGTATGGTTTGTCAACATGAACTGCTACTGGAACTTTAACTGGGACTTTGATTGTTTTTTCAACTGGTACAGGTACTGGTACTGGGGTGTGAATTGGGATTTGTTTATGAAGAGTGATGTGGGTGATTTTTCCATGTCCATCATCTCCACCACCGATTCCTCCTCCAATTCCTCCGCCATATCCTCCTCCAAAACCTCCTCCCAATCCACCTCCAAAGTCGTGTCCTCCTCCAAATCCTCCACCTAAATCACCACCTCCAAATCCACCACCATGTCCTCCAAAATCACCACCGCCAAGTGAAAGGTCCAACCCTCTTTTATCGTTCTTCTTCTCCTCTTTGGCATCTTTAGCATACGCCGAAGAAGCGGCTACTAAGAATACAGCGCAAACCTAAAAAACGGAACAAGAAAAAAAGGGATAATCCATCTTTTTTTTCTTTCATTTGCCTATCTTACCAGAAACTTCATGTTGCTGCTTTTGATAGAACCAAGCAACTGTGCTTGCCTTCCATCTTCTACGGCGCCTTTATATACCCAACTCTTGCGCCCCCATGTATGAAGACCATCTACTTTCTATTCAATTATGATAAAAGATGCGCGCGCTGATTTTTTCGACCACAACGACGGGCCAAGCTTGTTCTTCAACGTTGCACACGAAAAGTTACGCACCATTCATCGATATAGTTGATACACAATCCAAAATCTGGGACGAATATTATTTCGGGTACTCCAACTCACTCTCTCACCAACACGAACAACTCTTTCTCGCACCATCATTATTACTCATTTTTTTCTTTTCAAAAGGAAGAAATCGAAAATAAAAACGAGAACGGACGCTTTTACGTCTATCGCTTTTACGTCTATCGTTTTTACGTAACCATAACATCGAGTGTATTTTAGAAGAAAAAAAACGAAGAAAGAAATTAGGTAGGTAACGCTTTAGTTAGATTGCCACTAAGATGTAGACACATTATCTTCAAAACGACAGATGGTAGTCAGTGCTTATGAATAATCACTTCAACTAGGTATAGTAAATTTCAGTACGTAATACCACAAGTTTCTTTATGAGATTATCTTACTTAATTTCCTCTTTAAATTTTCTCTTTAACAATTGTTCTTAAAGAAGTTAAATTAATTAACATCATTAATATTGATTAATCAAATTTTTTTGTTTATTCATTACGATCAATCAAAATATTTATGGGATTATATTGGTTAGAATTCGTTTTGGTGTTCTGTTTGATAATTTCGAAGAGTGAATGTACATTAATTAGATTTATTTTTACAACCGATTCAAATCCTAACTATTATTGACCTTATGAAAGGAAAGCTTTCACATAATTTTTTAATTGAATTCCACAAGTTGCAAGTCTTCATTAATTGGGGGAATAATTTAATTTTTAATGTAATTCGGTAGCACGAGTTATGGATAATCTTATACATACAGACAAAATGCTAGATTATTAAGTACGATTACGTTTTCGAATACAGTAATTGACGACCTATCGAAAGCGATGACACGATCTTCGTGTAATCTTTAAGTCTACTTCAACTGCCAATACTTTCATTTCCTGGAAATTGTATACAAGCAAGACTATAAGAGATTGTTTTAGTGGTTTAGGAGGTAAAGTTGAGTATATCAATTTTTTAGAAGGTCATACACTTAAATGATTGTAAAATAAGAACTATGAAGAAGAGTTTAATTTTTAATTAATACAACTTCAATTTTTTTTCAACACATGACAAAGTGAAACCAATTTTTTCAATTCATTTCAATTCATTATTGGCCTACAAATTCTAGCATTTTTTCGAAATTTTGTATTATTAATTAAGTTATGATCACATAACTAAAAACACCTCTGTCAGTTTTTGCCACTTGATTTGTATGTTGCAATTATTAATAGTTGGACATAATGCAGTCAAACTTTTCTTGACATAAATCATAAGGTGGTCAACAGTTGGTGTAAGTGGCCCTTGGCAGAACTTGAGGGACGATTCCTTTCGTCGCAATACGCATTGATAGAGAGAGTGCAAAAAGTTGTCATATATTGAACAGAAGCTTGGAAGCAAAAGCTTAACTCATCTTCCTCACCCGGACTTTTTCACCGATGCACCTTCATTTCTATCTAAATGTTATTGAACGTATTGTGCAGTGTGATGATCTACAATGAAGATTTTCACATATTTTTTTGGACAACAAGTACTGGAGTTTGGACTATTTTGGTGATATACTGCTTGGTAAATCTGAAACACCATTGACTTATACTTATCTGGCAAGACAATATGTTCTAAGCTTGATATGGTATGACATAGATTAAAGGCTTTGAAACTTTATATTATATTTTGAGATCTTATCATTGTTAATCTACTCCTCTAAGGTCTGAGAAGAATGAATTCTCTACAGCGATTGATTTCGAGCATCTTCTCACGAGACGCTTTCCCCTCTCTTCGTCTCCATCGGTAACTGGTTTATTCACGTTATCATTGAAGAAAAAGGATCATTGCTGTCATCCTCTCTTCTCCCTTCCTTCTATCACTTCCATAGCTTATACCAAGGTGTATTAGTCTTTGTAGACTTGTGGTCCCTCCCAAAGATTCCCGATTCCTCCTCACATCGTTGCAGGTGGTTAAAACAGCGGTTTTCTGTTAAGTTATGCTCAGGTTTTTGTAGTAAATTCAGCCGTTCCATGTTTTCTTGTAGATTTCTGGTTATTTCCACGGCTGCTTCCAGCGCGGTCTGTAATATGATCACTATTTCGAGCCTCTCCTTTGCTTTATTTTGTCAGCCAGTCGAAGGTGGTGTTTGATGATACAGAGTATCTAGCTTCCAAGTTGTTTCTCTATGACTTTACGTTAATAACGGTCTGCTTGGCTTTTATGTGTTTTTTAGAATTTGGATTTCCAGATGACTCTCTGTAACTCGCCGTTCAGTGAATACAGTGGTTGTATCCTATCTCCTGTTGTCCAATTAAACGAGCTGAGCTTTGCATCTTTCTCGTCGATAGATCTATATGAGAATTATTGTATAGAATTTTTGAGTCCATGGTAAGATATTTACTGAATTGAGGGACTTATTAAAGTCTTAAAATACGTAACATCATGTAATGCTGCTGTAGTCATTTTATTTTGTTGGCAACTCCGAGGAAATCGTTACCTTGATGTCCCTCATCATATTCTGTCTCGTTGCTTCCAGTAACCGAAGATGAACTAATATCAGCTGTGTCTAAATTTTCCAACAAATTCACTACTGGCAGTCACCATATATCCTCCTTCATGGCATAGGGTTGCCTTAATTATTTATCTACTTCTTTTAAGCAAAACACTTTTCTCAGATTACAATATTCTCTTGAAAATACTAAAAATGAAGTATCACATTCTATCATGTTTTCAAGTCTACCAGTATATAGCCACGGTTGAAATGCTTTGTAAGTCTAAATTTGTTTTGCCCTTGCTGCCTTTACAAAGTAATAGTTTGTAATCTTAGAATCTAATGACACCAATTAAAACTGCCAATAAATGGAGAGGAGAGCAATGTCGAAGTGGCATCCATTGGTTTCTCTCTCTGGTGTTGATCACTATCACTTAATTGATCTTCCTATGATTCTCATTGTTATCTTTTAGTTTTCACTGCGATATGGCAGACATAAAAGTTTACGAACCATCATTTTTGCACCATCATTGTTATTATAGTGAGAAACATTCTCGCCCACTTAATGTTTTGCATGTTTATGCTAACGAAGAACCACGACTTTACCTTGTTAACTTTTAGACCAGTGCGCCGTATACTACTCCAGGTTCGAATAGGAACATGGCAGATCTCTTGGCATGGGGTTGCAGTATCTATTTTGTCGCTTGAAAAGCTTACTCCAGAGATATTTAGTACTGCGATATGTGCCGAAATAAACTTTGTACTGAAGCTCGACAAGTTAAATATCTTCCTTCCAAAATCATTTCCACAAATTAGCCTTATTTTTTATAAAAACAGTAGAAAGTGTTTCCAATCAACACTCACACTCATGATAAGTCCATGTTAGGACGTTCAATCGATGACTGGTTTTGCCAGAGTGGTAACACTGTTTGCTACGACATAAACTAGGCTTCTTTTTTCAGAACATAATAGTTTTGCTGTGAGCAACTCCCACCCTGGCCATACAAAACGTGTTTAACTCACCATCTCTCAACCGTTGCATCACGGATCTTTGAAGAATATTACAAAACGAGAAAATAAACAGGTTTCTTACATATTGGAACGAGATGATAAAACACACATGAAGATGTGAAATCTAATTAAAGTCTAAAACGGATTGTTTGTGTACAATGCTCATCTTAAATTAAACCAACCTAATACTTGAAACAAATCCATCAAACTAATTTCAGAAATGTAGAGGTTAATCTCACTCCAAATATCTTTATGGATGAGTTCATAATTTTCCTACGACCTCCAATCTCGGTTACTGGAACGTCGAGGAGAGATCATTGCCTAACAGGCGATTAGTTGCTATAAAACTTGCCGCAGATATTATTATTCTAATGCGTAATTATAAGATAATAATTAACGGATTGGTACAGACTTAGCAGAGAGATTTCATAGTGTTAGCGTTAAATAGAGTAATTATTACATTTTTTCAAACTAAACATTTGAATAGATCAGATTTAGATTCAGAATCACTCTTTAAAAGTTTATAGCTTGGTGATTGTAATCAAAATTAAATCAACCGATTGTAATAAATAAAATAAAAATAAAAAAACAACGCGTTTATATTCGTTACTACATCGACAATTTCTTGCAAGAAATATTTTATATTATAACACCTTAGTTCAGTTTCCATTCTTACTTACCATTCTCTTTAGTTGCCTACAACTAATTTTATATATTTTTATATTAAAAAGTTTATTTTGTATATTATAACTCCTAAGAGAAATGCTATAACACATACATATCTGCGTTTCGTGTAGTCTAAACTGGATTAAATCAGGAAATTTTTAAATCCATCAATGATATAAAAAGAATTATGTTTAATTCTTATAAAAAACGCAATTAAAAAAGAGAACGTACTTTCTTCTCCTGCTTAAACTTTCGATATACTATCATTTAAATTGATCCAATAAAACTTCTTTTTATAAAGACTAACAATTACCGACCTTAATTTGAGAATTAGATAACACCACTTAAGCTTCCCAACTATCTCCAACACTTTGATTATTACCCACGTTAAACTCTCTCATATAGGAAATAGGCTACATCGACGATTTACTTAAGTGATTGCTGAAGTTACCTTAACCTTTCGTTTTCTTCGAATCGAAGAATCGTGAAGAATTTCACCGTTTGTTTTATTTTCACTTCGAGGTAATGTATTGAAAGGTTATAGGGTGATAAGGTCAAGGGTTATTATAGATCGGTTATAGATAGAATTACAAATTATATGATGAATCATAAAATTTATAATGTAATAAAAATGTTTACTTACTTGAAGATGTGATTGTAAATATTTAAATATAAAAATGCACTACATAGCACTCTATATCTTCACTGAAAAATCTGAAATAAATTGTGATTTCGATGATGGATTTATTTAAGGACTTTGGGGATGTTAAATTGAGTTTACGTAGTTTAAATTTTTTTAAGTAGGGTTAATTTTTTGTTAAATGTTTTATTTTAAAAAGAAAAATTATGTTTTCATTTGAAAAATATTTATTCTTTTCTATTCATACAAGTTATAAAAAAATTTTGCAGAAGGTTGTTTTTTTTACTATTAAACAAATTCACGTTCAACCCGGCCTCTAAAAACTAAAATACGACAAAGCTTTATTTGGTTGTATCCGGTTGATAGATGAAGTTATCCAACAGTGAGTAATAGCGTCTTCGTGCGGAAGTTGGCAATCTGCGATTTACGCAGCTACCTTCCTCCTTTGTCCGCGATGCATGACTTAAATTGGTAACTTATAAAGGAAATATATCACATTTTTAATGGTGGCTGATGTGGACTCCGTAGCTAGATCCGGATCCATGTCCACCGCCAGCTCCGAAACCTCCATGTCCTCCTCCCAATCCACCTCCAAGTCCTCCTCCTAATCCACCATGACCTCCTCCTAATCCGCCTCCTAATCCACCACCAAATCCTCCTCCTAATCCTCCTCCAAATCCACCTCCAGCTCCTCCTCCAAATCCACCACCAGCTCCTCCGCCAAATCCACCTCCAACTCCACCTCCAAATCCACCACCAGCTCCAGCACCACCTCCTCCAACAATAACTGGAACTGGTTGTCTAACAATAACGGTTTCTGGTACTGGAACAGGTACTGGACGAGGTACTTGAACAGGGTAAGGTTGTGGAACATGAACTGGGACTTGTACTGGGACTGGGACTTGAACTGGATGTGGTACAGGTACTTGTACGGTTCTGTGTACTGGGACTGGTACTGGACGATCAACATGAACTGGGTATGGTTGAGGTACTTGAACTGGGTACGGTCTATCTACCGGAACTTGAACTGGAACTTGAACTGGTACTGGGATACGACGTTCAACTGGAACTGGGACTGGGACTGGTTGAGGAATTTCAATTTGTCTGGTTAAGGTGATGTGAGTAATTCTTCCACCACCGCCTCCTCCTCCTGCTCCTCCGCCAATTCCACCCGCTCCTCCGCCAATTCCTCCAGCTCCTCCCCCAAATCCTCCCCCAATACCACCCCCAATTCCTCCTCCAATTCCTCCACCAATTCCACCTCCGAAACCACCCCCTAATCCTCCGCCAACTCCTCCAAATCCACCTCCGAGTCCTCCATGACCACCACCAATTCCTCCTCCAAGTCCACCGCCATATCCCCCTCCAAAACCGCCTCCATGAATCACCCCACGTTTTTGTTTAGGGGCTGCTTCCTCGGCGAAGACGGATGTTACCAACAAAAGACACGCCTGATCATAAAAAGATTTTTTTTATTATTAATGAATGTTGATTAGAAAACTTTTTTGTTTTCTATTAATGATACTCGCCAAATACTTCATGTTGCTGCTCTTTGGTGGAAACCGGACGATGCAGTGTGGATGGTCAACTCCACCCGTTGTCTTATATACAGATGGTACGCCCCACGTCGGTCTCTATTCGCAATAGGAGACGGTACTTTCATCGTTTTGTGACGTTATTTTGTGTATACTGTACTTTGTAGTACAAACGATGTGAAGAGTGAGATGAGATTATCTCACAATGAGTATGTGTGATGTGAATAGAATGATTTTTGTGACTAATTTTATTTGGTTACTATTTTACATATTACACTTTAGGCTTTTTAAAGGGTAATTATGAATGAAGATAAAAATTGTAATATAATTGATATAGATCTCCCTAGAATACCTTTTATTCGCCAAAAATAACGGGTCTTTTAATTTCAATAGAAATCTTAATTCATCATAATACGGTTTCTATTTGAACAATTACTTCCTGCCAAAATTTGGCGAATTACTTTTTTTTATAACAAAGAGCTTCTCAAAGAACTTAATCTCATTCGACCATCGAACCTAACCACCCGTGAAGAATTATACTGCTCAAGAAAAGATGTTGCAAGTTGGTTACGTCGTTATAACTTATAATTTATAAATATGCAAGGAAATCACTTTTTTTCTTGATTTTTTTCGAGATGTAGAAGATAAAAGAAGCTACACGGTTTTTTAGTTCCGCAACGTTCTATTTACCGGGTGTAATTGGAGATCAACACACAAGAAAGCAAGAAACATTGAAATATTAAATTTCGCAAACTCCTTGTAAATTCGTGTATATTAAATATCCGATTTGCGTGTTGAGTTTCAAAGAAAATTTAATCCCTCTGCAAAGATATGATTAGAAAGGAAGTAATATTTTTCATCTGAGTGTGGTCAATAATTACGGTTTCTTAGGTTTTGATTGGTTTTATCTATTTATTTCTAAAATTCCGAGATTTAGATGTACTAAATGAAGATTGAACGATTTTGTAATAATCATAAGATTTTCTAAATTGCATAACTTTTTCTGAAACAACTTTATAAAACATCAATTATCGGTGTGTATAAGAAACTAACCAATGACAAACTGGCCGCTTTCTGGTCGATTATCGGAGAAATAAAATCTCTAGAATGAAGAAAACAATCCACCATCAGAGCTCCTAGCGGCATATTTGAACTAACTGTCCATATAGCGAATGTTGCAATATTTCCTCGATGTTACTAACTACGCCACGCCTTCGCTGCCGTTCTTTAATATCACTTTACCGGTCTACCAACGAATCTTGGGCTATATTATGTAATATTTTAGTTGAACTTTACTTGTGAACCATATCGGTTTAGAAAACGGTTATTAAATCGTAAAATACTTGGTTATGTTTTGGAAACCTTTTCCTGAAACCGCTAATTATTTCCAACAAAAAAATACAAAATAAGTAGAAAAATATATTTTCAAACAAACAAATTCGAAATATTCAAAACCTATATATATTTATTGTATTTTTTAATAAAATTATTTAATGGGGCTTTATCACTTTCTTTTTATTTTTCTGTCTTCTTTCTATCTATTTATAATCTCATTTGCTTGATACACGTTAGGAATAATAATAATTATACAACAACAATCAATCTTGTAATTTACAGGTGTTAACTTCGACAGCGTTATTTAATAATTTCAGATAGATACAACTTCCTAGTTAGGGTGAGTTACTTTAATTTTCATTTAATTTTATTATTTTGAAAACAGAACTTATCAGGATTTTTGGACTTACAATAGATGCGAATGATAAATAGTTTTCAATCTTTCAGATCTTCAATCTTTTCAGAACAAGGAAGAAAAATTACTCTGCGTGAAAAGTGTTTGAAAACCATTATTTCCGTAGATATCTATATCTTTCTGTAGAAAACATTGGAGACAGTCAATAAAAATCCCGTGACAATAACTGCTTTCTTAGATATAAATGATATAAAAACTGCTGGCTCTGACCCCACAAACGCTTTATCGTTGCCCTGTCGTGCTAGCTCATCTGCCGCTTCATTCCTAGCAACCCCAGAGTCACCTGGGACCCAGATCAGAGAAACTCTGTTATTAAGTTAACAGTCGACACCGTTTTCACGGCCTGCAGAACCTGTAGAGCGGCTTGACTGTCTGAGAAAAATCGTACTGTCATGTTCTTCACCCATCCCTCAAGAAGGATTTTATCAATAGCAAATACTTCCGCCTAGAATACAGTACAGTACGTAACCAGACTGTAAGCTTGCTTAATCCCAAGTGTCTGGCAGTGTACTTAAGAACACGACCCCTTCTGGCGTTTTTGATCCATCTGTGATCATGCAAATATATTGCATCTTCGTTTCCCAACCAGGACTACCGTTCAGGCTGTACAATGATATCGAGCATTAATCACTGGTAGTGATCCCGTCAAATCAGACGACATTGGTAGCACAATATCAATGATTATAGTATCTTTCGCAGCCCATTGTTCTTTCTCTATATGCAAATGCAAAGGAGATAAGCCAAGCAGAACATCAATTGCTAGAGTTGGCATTGTGCTTATCGCGCAGCTATTATAACTGAAGTCGGGCTTTCCTATACCAGGTTAAACCATCATAGGTCTAACCAGAATCACATAAAGCCAGTACATACAACCTTTCAGGGGTGAGACCCCAATTTTTTCCACAAAGATGTAAAGGCTGTAACAAAAATTTTAAATTTTGATTGTTGTGAAGAACAAACTTCTTGATTACTCAAGTTGATAATATAGTACATCTCCATGAAATGGTGCCTTTCGGAATAAGCAGACTCACTCCTCTCTGACTGTATCATTAACAATGATGTAGGTTAGTCTCGATGTTTGCAAATGTTGTTTGGAATTTCAAGTTGAAAGTTGGTACGGCTGTTATTGTAGCCTTAAAATCTACTTTATATGTCATAAATCAAAGTTACTGCAAAATTCCTTGGGAATGATAAAAAACACTATATATTTAAGCCAATAAGTATTGGCTCAAAATAATTTGAAAGACAAATTTTTTAATTGCACAAGAATTGCACATCCACAATTGCAATGAGTTTTAATGAGAAGTAAAAATAAATCATAGGTTGCCTGTATTTATTGGCTTGGTATTGTTGTTACGGAATAGTTTTTAACACTAATTAATATCAACAATGAAGATAACTAACATAGACTAATATTTGTTTGTTTGAACAACGATTTTTAATTAAACAAGTATCGCACAGCTCAAATTGCAAATTTTAATGAGAAGTAAATAGAAATCATAGTTAAACCTAATAACAATTTTAACAATAAACGTGAATAACAAATAACTTATCTTATCTGCCTTATAATTTCAGTAATTGGAACTTACACTGAAAAAAAAAACAGAAATTCTACTACAACACACCACGTCTTGATTAGATGACCTCTTGATGAAGACATCTAAGAAAAGCATTATTATCGGAAGCTGAAAGCGTTAAATTTGGCTTTTGTCTTGCTCAATCAATCTTGTTTTTGCACATTTTGGTTGTTTCTTAAGATTTTGTCTTATAATTACTTATCTCGTATTTGCTACACTTCAAATCTGTTTTGCCATGATATTATGATGCTATTTTAAGAAAAAAGTCAAAGTTATGTTAGCGAATATAAAAATGTTACGAAACAAAAGTCTTTCGTCTTTCAGCGGAAGATAACTTAATCTAATTACATAACAATTCATGGTTGGAAACGTTATTGTTTGGCACTTAGCTTTATCACAGTTGTCCAAGCAGTTGACAAATGTTTTAGGAGCGGTGAGCTGATAGGAAATAATGAGAATATGTAGGATAGTGTTTTACAAGGCAAAGGTCTTCACCCATATCATCTCCAAAGACTACACAACCTCTGACATCATAGAATATATGATGACAACTGTGGCAAAATGTAAAGGTAAAAAAGACACCTATCCAATTTGTGATCATGAAGATTATGATGTTACAGCAAAAAATGTTTACATTCATTTAGTTCCGAGTTTCGTACATTATCTTATGAATGTCAAAGGAGTTACTTAATAAACTGCATCACTCTGGTAAATATATAAATGGGAAAATACAAGAAACATAAAAAAGCGAGTGAGAGACAAATGTCGACTCTAAAAAAGTTTACCTTGAAAATATTTACCTTTCAAGTTTGAAACAAACCTTTAGAAAATTCCACACCCATAAATTGGACAAAAAATTATATTATTTGTACCGTTATGATTATTAACATTAATTTCATGAATAATTATTTAAACAGGAAATCATAAAAAACACAAATAAAATTTCTTTCAATTAAAATTTATTTTTAAATAAAATATAAAAAAACTAAAAACCCTTATTTATTTAATGATGAACTACGTGTCCATATTGGTGAAAAGATCCAAACCCATGGTTATCGAATCCGTGGTGATCAATACCATGAAATCCTTTAAATCCAAATCCGTCAAACCTTGAATCTCCATTAATTAAAATGGGAACAGGTTTTTTTACAATAACTGGTTCCTGAATATGAACAGGAACCGGATGTGGCACATGTACAGGATAAGGCGTTTGAATTGGAACGGGTACTTTAATTGGAACAGGTACTTTATATGGTATATTAATATGAATCGGGACAGTTTTTTCAACTTTATAAGGAATTGGTTTATCAATATGTACAGGATATGGTTGCGGTACATGAACCGGATAAGGTTGATCAACTTTTATTGGTACTGGTACTTGAATTGGAACAGGAACGGGATGATCTATAGGTACAGGAACTGAGTAAGGTGTTGGGATGCGTATTGTGTTATGAGCACCATGAAGATTACCAAAGTTTGTGTGAACATCAATGTTATGATTAAGTTTATGGTTTAAAATTGAATTGAAATGATCGTCAAAGTTATTATTATTGATATGATGGTGAGTATTGAAGTGATGGTTATTAAAATGATTATTCAAATTGTTAAGGTGATGATTAAAATTGTCAATGTGATTATTGAATTGGGAACTTCCAAAATGATCCATAAAATTATGACCATAACGATGGTCTTTAGCGTAATGAAGATGGTTTCCGTGTAAATTTCCAAAATGTTGAACTGAATGCCCTTGCATGCCAAATCCTTGATGTTGGTTAAAATTAGATAAATGCCCTGTTCCATATGCACCATATGTTCCATAAGTGGGGTAAGAAGTTACATAATTCTTGCTGTTATGATGATTAACAATAATTCCATGAGTAATTGGAAGTAATAGTAATAATATAACCTGAACCAATTATATTTTATTATCTCAACTCAAAATAAAACTAATATCAACTTACAAAGTTTTTGGATGATTTCATTTTTGATGTACCCAAACAAGATTACAACTTAAAACTGAATCAAATCTATTCACGAACCTCGTTTTATATAAACTTACATATACATTTCATAACAAAACACAAAGATTCTTGCACCAATCGAGTAAACAGAAAAAAAATAATAATGCATCTCATCTCATCTAAAGTAATCCATTGTGTGCAAAATGTTTTTGTATCGAACGAAATCGCATGTGTGGGAAGTATCGACTTTGAAGTTCACACTGCCATTTCAACCACACGAACAAAAGCTTCAATCGAAGTGCACTTTTGTTCAATAACTAAACCATGTAATATTTTTGTTTTGTTTTTACAGAATTAGTGCAACTTAGATAATTTATTATGTGAGCGGTATTGTTCTTCAATGCTTTTATTTTTTTTTTGTTTAAAGTAAGAGTTGTGTTTAAATAATTTTTAACGTAAGTTATTGTATGAAATTAAAAGGTAACTAATAATTAATGAATTTATAAGAAATCTTTTTTTTTAAACTAGATTAGTTATTGAAATCGAGGCCAAGGAAGTGACGGTTACAGTCAAAGCGTGAACGTTACGAAAATTACGTTTTAGATCGTTGTGGACGCATTTTTTAATGCAATTTATGTTTGTACTGCAATTTTCTTCACCCGATAATTATAAGCTGGCACGATTTTGAATATGTAATGAAATGTGTTAGCGTATGTTTATCTCTTGCATTACACTGAAGAGATTGATGAATAAAAAGATATGTATAAATGAAGTAATCTATTTTTATTATGTACACTTTTTATAATAACCAAATATCACAATTCAATTTAATCCAAATGATCTTAATCTACAAACGAAGAAAAGATAAAAATAAAGGGAAAGAATTTTTTAGAGACAGTCTTCTTGTAAATTTTCTTAATGATGACCTCCATATCCGCCACCTCCACCACCTCCTCCACTACTGAATCCACCACCACCACCTCCACTGCTGAATCCACCACCTCCTCCTCCACTGCTGAATCCACCACCTCCTCCACTACTAAATCCACCACCTCCTCCGCTACTGAATCCACCACCTCCACCACTTCCTCCAAATCCTCCATTTCCACCACCACCACCTCCTCCTTTAATAAAAACTGGTACCGGTTTTTTCACATAAATATTTTCGGGAATTTTAACAGGAATAGGCTTTGTAACATGAACAGGATAAGGCTTTGGAACAGGAATGGGCACTTGCACTGGAATTGGTACTTTAACAGGAACTGTAACATGAACAGGAATTGTCTTTTCAACTTTGTAAGGAACGGGTTTGTCAATTTTAACAGGATATGGTTTGGGAATCGGAACTGGGTAAGGTTTATCCACTTTTATGGTAACCGGAACTTTAACTGGATAAGGAACTTTCTGTTCAACCGGAACTGGGACGTTATAAGGTTGAGGAATTTGAATTTGACGGGTTAAAGTGATGTGGGTGATATCTCCACCTCCTCCACCACCACCTCCACCTCCTCCTCCTCCTCCTCCCCCGCCTCCAAATCCTCCACCACCTCCAAATCCACCGCCGCCACCAAATCCACCTCCACCACCGCCTCCAAATCCACCTCCACCTCCAAATCCATTTCCATCCCCTCCAAATCCACCTCCTCCACCGCCATGACCTCCAAATCCTCCACCTCCACTTAAACCACCTCCACCACCACCTCCATAATCGCCTCCTCCACCACCACCACCCCCACTAGATTCAAATCCACGTTTGATTCTAGTGATGTTCTTGCAATATGTAAAATTAGTGTAGGTAGCGATCAAAAAGAAGGAAACCTAAAAAAAATTTTTTAAATCGTTTTAATCTCACTTATAGGTTACTTGATTTACCCAAAGATACATCTTGAATAATATTTAAGATGAAACTGTATCGATCTTTGAAAATATTTCGTATTTATACATTCGTTTTAAATCGACTTTCTATCTTTAAAGAATACAATTGTTACGCAAATCCAAAGAGGTGACAAATGTTGACAATAGGCAATAAGAAGCACGTCGATTTTAGTTCAAAAAATGTAGACGAATAGTAATTAGAATAGCTGTTAGAATAACTATTGCCTGTCATCTATTTAGCTTCCACAATTTCTTCAAACGTGTTTGAATAGGGATTGAATTAAAGAGAAATGTAAGTTGTTAATCAACATAAACGAGTTACTAAAGGCATCAAATTTAATTGTGTGGTAATTTATTTTAGCTCTCGTTAAATTAAGCTCGGAGCGTATTCTGACATTATCCATCAGAAGAGATTTTAACAAAACAGGAATTTTGTAAAACAATAACCGTAAAGTTGAATTTTGTTAAATTTGCTTCTAGCGTTATTACAACATGGAATCGATCGAATGTTTTGATATCAATCTCGAGTGAGTTTCTTTGCCAATTAGACCACATTTCCTTCTTATTGTTAAACAATCTCTTATATGAAATTTAAATATTTTAATAACCAGGATGCACAATTTCTTAATTTTTAACACGGTTATGCTCCAAAGGAACATCATGATTAAGTTGTCGATATCGAAGTAATTTTCATATTTTAATTTGTTAAGAAAGCACTGAAGCGTTAAAAATTATTTTAATAACGAATAGAATTTGTAGTTCCATCTAGTGAAAATTCTTAGTAACTGAGTTTATGAGTTTTAAATTTGTGAAAGTTACCTGGAGTTGAAGATTGAATTCTTCGCGGTTTAAGTAAAGATAAAGTTGGGTTAATCGTTGAAAGATGGCGTGAAAATAGTAAAATAATTAAATTTAAAGAATTTTATAGAAGAAATTTAACGAAAAATGTATGCGAGAAGAAATATCGGCAAAATGTTTCAAAATCATTGTTGTTCAGGTGTCAATACTCTACTAAGATAAAGAAATCACTTTGATTTTATGACGTAGTGTCTCAAGATTATTTGAATGAGTTACATCAAAGTGCAGCTGATTATAATTGTGCAATCAACCTTGTTTATGAGAAATATTTTGAAATGCTGAGCAGGACGGTACAACTAGTTGCATTTTACTCCCTCATAATCTTGTCCATTAATATATCAAAATCAACATGCTGTATATTGTGAAGAAGCTTATTCACTTTTCCAGTTCTCAAGTTGTATCTCATACCTTACTCTTTTCTGATGCTGCTTCACAAAGTTTGTTTGAAAGACACTATTGATATATTTTGGTACTTTGCTTGTTGACTCACTCTACAACATGGTACCAATTAATTTTGCCGCAATTCAGCTGTAATCGTGAAAATCTTCGTTCTCTACTGTAGAAGTAAGCGACATTCACAAGATTACTGTACCCTTGCTTATTACTGACCATTAGCTCAGTTGTGAGAGATTCATAACATGGTAAAATGCAACAAACATAACCAGTATTTGAGTCAGCTTTCAGTCACTTTTTATTATAGTCGACTCGTCCACACATATTTGCTTGCCCGGTATAAAATAATACAAGAATTTTAAATTTGTATGATCTAAAAGGTAAGAATGGTTATCAAATAAAACATCCAGAATTTTTGACTGAACCTAAATATAAATGTTTCTGGATAGATTGGAATATAACGGAAATTGCTCATAAACCAATATTCAATTTTTCAAATTACAAATTGACCAAAGGCTTTGTGCCCATATTGATTACAACTGCAATAAATACCCAGAATTCTGAATTCTCCACGTACGATTAGGTAAATACACCGGTTTTGTGGCATACCAGCTGAGATTGTTAGGTTGCTTAATCTGATATATTATGCAGTCCATACTTGTTATGGGAACGCCATTACTATACGTTGAATGTCTAAATGCTTCCATAACGATATCTACAGGTTATGACATGCAGAAAGAGTTCTCATAATTTATCTTGCGTGACTGCAAGCCCCTTCAGAATCCTAGAGGCATCATATTTGAAGGTAGTAGATCTACTAAAGAGTAAATAGAACCTGTCCAATCATTTTTCTTGCACACCAACTTATATATCATCAATTTATATTAATACATAAAAAATAGCTGGTTTTTCATCTTAAATTTACTAAAATATTTGAAATCATAAAACTTCCTAGTTTTGATAAGAGAAATTTAAATGAAATGAATTGAAATTTGGTCAGCTTTCTACAAAAAAAAAAATAATAAAAACAGTTTCCTAGGCAAATTATTTAAAAATATAGAACATTTTCATAAAGAGGACCCCTGCCTAACCTAACAAATTTAGGTATCCAGATAATGTCTAAGTTGCAGATTATTATTTTATATATAACAAAATAATTAATAGGTTCTTGTTTAATAGTTATAATCAGAAATGGGAAACTGTAAAATACAGATCATGAGGATCACAGGCTTAAGCCTACGTGAGAAGCGTAAGTGGTCAGATGGACAAGGTCGAGGAGAAGATACCAGATGACTTCCAAGAAAACTGCATAAACGCTGGCACGAGAGTTGTACGTCGTCATCACAAGGTAACAACCCATAGGAACGGAATTGGGAAAAGAAAAGAGTAGAGAGAGTCCCTAAAGTAAAAAGAATAAGTTTTTTTTGTTTTCTTAGTATAAATCTATTTAATTATTAAAACGCAAAAATTCTTATAAAAATACGTCTTTATTTGAATAATACGATATGTTACAAATATTATCTATAAAAAAAAATAATACAAAAACACTCCATTTCAGACTAGTTCTTTTTTTCTATTTTTGAATCATTCAAAATCAATCCAATAGCCGTTCCAAATTCATCGTCTCAATCACAGTTTGTACTTCTTTACCATCCCTTTCCATAGCCACCATACGAACCACCATATGAGCCACCATAACTTCCATAAGAACCATGGCTTTCAAGTCCTCCGAAAGAGGCTCCATGTCCGAAAGAAGATCCGATTGATCCAAGAGACAAACCATGACCGCCTCCTAGATAACCACCAGCGCTGATTCCGCCTGAAAATCCACCATAATGTCCTCCACCGACTACGACTGGTACTGGTTTTTTGATAAGAATTGGTTCATGGACTGGAACTGGAATTGGTTTGTGTACTGGAACAGGCACTGGATGTGGCACAGCTACTGGGTAGGGTTGTGGTACTGCAACCTTTACTGGTACACTAACTGGAACTGGTACTGGCTTCTCAACTGGTACCGGAATATTTTTAACTACTGGAACTGGGTATGGTTTTGGAACATGAACAGGATAAGGACGATCTACTGGTACTGGCACTGCATGAGGTACTGGTACTGGAACATTCCTTGTTACTGTAACTGGGTAAGGTTGAGGAATTGGGATTCCAACTCTATTGGTAACTGTATGATGGGTATGAACAGATGTTCCCAAATTTACTGCTTGGCCAATAGCTCCTCCTCCAATTCCGCCTCCTCCAATACCACCTCCTCCAATACCACCTCCTCCAATTCCAACACCACCAAATCCTCCTCCAATTCCTCCTCCATATCCTCCTCCATATCCTCCTCCATATCCTCCCAATCCTCCAGAAGAGATAACATCGGCTCCTCCCAAACCAATGCCACCATGACCAAGCCCTAACGATGAACTTCCTAAACTAATTGCTCCACCATGTCCTCCTCCATAACCACCATAACTACCGCCTCCAAGAGCAATACCTTCTCCAAAGACACCACGTTTCGCAGTTTTCTTCACGGTATTCTCAGCAAGGACTGCTGTAGCTAAAAGTAATATGGCAATCTGCAAACACAATAATAGAATATTAATATGTTGTTTGTAAATTCTTAAAATATTTATCAAGGACGAAAAGAAGACACATTTTCTTACCGTCGACTTCATACTGCTTTAAGAGTAGATCTTTGTAAAACACGAAGCAGATGAACTGTGATACCCGAAGTGTTCGAAATCGGCTTTTATACGTCCTCCGAAACCCCATATCGCCCTCTGTCCGACACAAAAAGAGGGGACACCCAACAGACCTCTGGATCTCCGCGCAACAGAGAAACTCCTTTCTACGAGACATCGTTGGTCTCCACCTGGTCAAGCTCCTCGCCTGAAAGATGATCCACTTTCGGACGAAGCCACTTCAGTTGCGCAATACAAGAACCGAAAATTCAAGTGAAAAAGAAATGGGAGGTCGCCATGTAATAATTAATCTACCTGGCAGAGGAAGAAAGATATAAAAAAAGAAAAAGAAGAAAGTGGGTTTTTATTATTTATTTTTTTTGTAAGCGGCATTTTAAAGGAGCGATTTTATAACAAACCAGACAATGGCGAAATCTTCACGACATTTGGCACGTGTTTGTTTCTACATTTCTTGTCTTCTCAGGTAGCAGGTGGTTATTGTTTAAAAATTTTACGTCTCTTTTCGTGTTACAGAATATATGTACAATGGGGGTTCATTGTATGAAAACATTTTGAGTAACCCGTTTTCTAAAGTGAAAATGTACAATGAAAAGTCTATCTTGTTTTATAGTTTTTTGAGTCCTTGGGTAATTCTCTTTTTTTTTGAATATCTAATTTAGAAAAGATCGAGAGTGTTACACATCATTCCGTTGTGCAATAGACGAGGCTGGGCCTTAAAATAGGAAACTGAACGGGTTATATAACGTTATAGACGAGTGGCAAAACAGTTCAGGTTAAGGCGTAGTACGCGGTAATAGCCGCGTAAACTGTCTGAGGAACGCAGGCGCTGAAAACTGAAATGGAATATATCTTGTTGCATTGCAAATCGGTTGCAAACGATCGTCTAAAGTTGGTTTCGCATACCAAATTTAACTTTACAAGCAAAAAAAAAAGAAAAACCAGAACACAAAAAAAGCAACGTTTTAAACTAGCCTCGTTTATTGTATAATTTTTGTAATCTGTTCTGTATAAAGTTAACCCAACGATTTAATTTTCTTTTTTTGCTTCGTCAACATTCATTGCGTAAGGAAACATATAGGTAGAGAGCTTTTGCGATCTAAATCAAAGTGTCGCAATGATAACGTTTTAACGTCCGATTTGTTCTCTTGCACAATAACACCATGTGAGAGGGGGATTAAAAAATAAGGAAAAGAAAGTTCTTTTTGGGAGACGAATTTGTGTAGGTAAGGCCAGGGATCGTGATATATCAACTGTTATGGACTCGTCGTCATTTACATGCAAAATCCATTTCGTTGTAAATCAAGGAAAAGCTCGTTTTTTATCATATTTAAATTTCGATGTGTTGTATAAGGTTTATACTTTGCTATTCATATTATTAGGAGCCATAAAAAAAGAAGATAAAGATTTATGTAAAAAGGATAGGAAATTTTTTAATTTTAAAACCAGGTGTTTTTATAAATAGATTAAAACCTCGGTATAACGGACAAAATAGATTATATTTTAGCCGTACGTCTCTTAAGACGGCTAAACCCGATTTTTTTAGTTCTAGGTATTGTATTAATTCTAATGCTAGTGTTAATTCTAATGCTAATGTTAATTCTAGTTTTAATTGTTATCCTGCGTATATTTTTATTGAACTAAAAGTGGAACTAACACTAAACCTACAACTAGAATCATCCTTTAAAAAATTAATTCTATAGCGAATTTTGAAAATTATCGACAAAAATTGCAACATCGAAACTTTTATCAAAACTACAAATATTGTTTTCTCAAAAACTAAAAGTTATTTTTCAAAACGGGTTAGTTCATTGGAAAGAGGACACTTTTATTGACACTTTGGAAAATTTTCATACTCATATTCCAAGAACTGGATTTTATACGAATTTTTAAAACTTAATCGGCGAAACTTGCAAAATTCGAAAAAATTGTCGATCATTTCAAAAATTTATTTCTCAAGAACTAAAAATGATTTTTTAAAATGGCTTGTTGCATTAAAAATAGGATACTTTAATTAATAATTGGTGATATTTTCACAAGGATCCTTCGAGAAATTAATTTTGTAGCGAATTTTCAAAATTATTGAGGAAAATTGTAACATCGAAAATTTTATCATAACTTCAAATATTGTTTTCTCAAAAACTAAAGGGTATTTTTCAAAACGGGTTGATTCATTGGAAAGAGGACACTGTTATTAATATTTTGGGAAATTTTCATATGCATATTCCAAGAAATCGATTTTATACGATATATTAAAATTTAATCGACGAAAATTGTAAAATTTGAAAATACTGTCGATTATTTCAAAAATTTATTTCTCAAGAACTAAATGTGATTTTTCATAACGGCTTGTTGCATTAAAAAGAGGATACTTTAATTAATAATTGGTGATATTTCCACAAGGCTCCTTCCAGAAATTAATTTTATAGCGATATTTGAAAATTATCGATGAAAATTACAACATCGAAAATTTTATCAAAACTTCAAATATTGTTTTCTCCAAAACTAAAAGTTATTTTTCAAAACGGGTTGGTTCATTGGAAAGAGGACACTTTTATTAACACTTTGGGAAATTGTCATACTCATATTCCAAGAACTGANCATTGGAAAGAGGACACTTTTATTAACATTGTGGGAAATTTTCATATGCATATTCCAAAAAATCGATTTTATTCTAGTTAGCTCTAGTTTTAGTAATTATTCAGCGCTAGATTGTTCTATATTTTTATTAAAGTAGAACTAACTAATAAAGAACTTCACCGTATTGATCCGTTATATCAAAATTTTACAGAACAAATTTATTACTAAAATTTAAAAGAATTTAAATGTTAATTCTCACATTTAAATGTGTCAAGTTAAATTCGTTTAAGATTAATTAACACTGAAAATTATGTCAGTAATATGTTTTATGATCACTAAATCAATACAGATGTTATTACAAGATAAACGGCTTCTTAAATGAACCAAAAAGCACAGTTAATTGATTTTAAGCGCGTTTAACGCTTTACGCTCTATTGAGTTTAATATTCAAACCACCTGTCGTTTAATATTTTTTCTTTATTTTCTATCAACACGTTTTTCAATGCCAATACCATAATAAATTTATAATACAATCACAACTCTCTTAGTTATTATTAATATTACAATGTTTTTTTTTTTCTTAAAATAATTTACATTTAACATTAAATAAATCACTTTTATTTTGGACTTTGTACCGGACTTGCTCCGTAACCCAAAGAGCCCGATCCCAAAGCGAATTGTCCATTACTTAGTTTCGTTATTCCTAAACTCCCGGATCCTGGAGTCACAATTCCTCGACTAAATCCGTTGATGTCGGTTGAAGTCATCGAAACAGCTCTCGTTTGTACCGTTGGATTGGGTGATTTAGCTTCGTTTTGAGGTTGATAAAAAAATTGTGGTTGAATTTGATTTAAATTCGAAATATGATTAAGTTCTTGTCTTTGGGATTGATAAAAAGGTTGAGGTTGAAATTGATTTAAATTAAGATTCGATGTTTTACTAGGATAATACTGAAATGGTTTTGAAGAAAAATCAATTTGAGTATGTTTTTTTCCTCCATAATCAAGGTTATAATTATTTATAGGGCGAAGTTTATATCTTTGCGAAGTTTGATGGCTTGGTTCGTAAAAATCAAAAAAATAATTTGGGTTATAATCATTAGTTCTCCATAAATTTCGATAATGCTCATTCAACCATGATAAATCAGGGATATGTTGTAAATAACCGGAAATTAATTGAGGCAAAACCAAAAAAATTAATGCAAGTACCTACAAGAAAGTATTCTTAATAACTTTTCGATATTAAATAAATCATAAATTACCGTTTTCATTTTGTTGGTCCAAAAACTGTCTCACTACTTATACAAATTACGCGCTGATACCAAATAGATGAAAAAACCGGACGTTCATTCGTATTTATAAAGCCCCTTCACCTCAAAAACCCAAGACCCAATTATAAACGTGGACCACACCACGAGACATTACATATAAGTTTGCGATTGTCGTCTAAAATCTCTCTGTTCAAATCGTTGTTGGTCTCTTTCGCGAAAGAAAGTGGGATAGATTCGGGGTTTTTTCACTTTCGCCACGACTCCGCCTTTATTTAAAATGTAAAATACAAAAAGTCCTCCCAACCAAATAAGTCGAATCGCAAAATAACCAAATTTAGAGTTTATTATTTATTCACTTCCTGCTTGATATGTTACCTAACTTTGTTATTTATTTTTTTCTCATTAAAATCGGTAATATATTATTCAAAGTCAAGGAAATGGGTTTCTAAGATTTCGATTAAGGAGTGGTTCTAGGTTTCTCTTATTCTATAAGAAGATGGAATCTTTTAATAATTATTTTTATAGTAATTTTATTTTAAAAGTACAGTAAAATCTCGATATAACGGATTAATACGGAGAAGAGGGTGTCCGTTATATAAAAAAAAATTTAACTTGCACTTTAAACTGTTTGAATGAATAATTTTAATGAACAGAAATTCGAATAACTATCCACACCGCTGTGTTGAGTCCGCCTGGCTTGAAGGCCAGGTGTAACAGGTGCATAGCTCGAAGGCCCGGTAAGCAAATGACTGTTTAGTGTTACTTCTACTTCTACTAACACGAGCATTAGAACTAACACTACACGTTAACCTTGCCTGTAAGCAACCTCGGCGGTTTGACAGTTAAAATCTTCTTATAAGAGACTCTGTGCTTTTATCAAAATAAATAAGGAACGGTTTCGGCTCAAATCTCCGAGGTCACTTACGAGCGAGGCGCTACAATCCGCCAAAATTGATAATTTAGTGTTGTTGTATTAATTCCAGCGCCACGTCCGCAAGCGACCTCGACGATTTTAGATGATCGCTTCATTTCATGTCTTGGAAAATTAACCAAACGCGCAATATTTGTATAGGAAGTCATTTATCTTCAAATCGCCGAGGTCGCTTGTGAGCGAGGCGCTACAATCTTCCCAAGCTGAAGATTTTGTGTTGATTTTGTGTGACATCGTTCATTTTTTGTCTTAGAAATTGCACCAAACGTACAACGCTTGAATAAAAAATCGTTTATTCTCATATCGCCGAAGTCGCTTGCGGGCGAGGCACTGGAATGCTCCAAAACTGACGATTTTGTGTTGATATATCAAATCCAATACTTCGTCGGCAAGCTACTCGGCGATTTTACAGAACATGATGTCTTAGGACGTAAACCAAGCGTACAACATTTGAATGAGAAATCGTTTATCTTCACTTCGCCGAGGTCGCTTGCGGGCGAGGCGCTAGATTTGATATATCAACATAAAATCGTCAGTTTTGGAGCATTCCAGTGCCTCACCCGCAAGCGACCTTGGCGAAGTGATGATAAACGATGTCTCAATCAAATGTTGCACGCTTGGTTTATGTCCTAAGACATCAAATGAACAATTTCACCTAACACCACCAAGGTCGCTTGAGGGCGAGGCGCTAGATTTGATATATCAACACAAAATCGTCAGATTTGGATCATTCCAGCGCCTCGCCCGCAATCGACCTCGGCGAAGTGAAGATAAACGATTTCTCATTCAAATGTTGTACGCTTGGTTTACGACCTAAGACATCAAATGAACAATTTCATCTAACACCGCCGAGGTCGCTTGCGGGCGAGGCGCTAGATTTGATATATCAACACAAAATCGACAGTTTTGGAGCATTCCAGTGCCTCGCCCGCAAGCGACCTCGGCGAAGTGAAGATAAACGATTTGTCATTCAAATGTTATAGATTTGGTTTAACAAATGAACAATTTCATCTATTATCGCCGAGGTCACTTGCTGCTGAGGCGCTGGAACCGAGCGTTTATACCAACTATACGGTGATATAATTTTAACGGGGTCCATTATATCGAGGTTTTACTGTCTTTAAAACATTTTACATAACATACAAAAAAATTTACCTTTTCAATTGAATTTCTCTTAATCAAGAAGTTAAAAAGTTTCACGTAACTCTCCTTTAAATAATAATAATTTTTTTAAGGGAACCTTTAATGATCTTGATTGCTGAAAATTGCTCTCGATGAACGGTTACTTTTACCAGACGGCGACGTTTCGAATGTCGAAGGTCGCTCTCATCCACATAAAGCGAAAAGAAGTTAAAAATGAAAGTCGTCCACGACCGGACATGGTTCTCCTCGTTTCTCGATGGAATTTCCTGCAAAAATGTGTCTCAAAGCGATCATATTACGTAATCTAACGTGTAAAGAATCCATAATTAATTAGTTTTTTTAATCGTTTCGGTTTAGTTCTTGGGAATTCCAGCTTCATCATTTCAACACGTTTTAATTAACACAAAAAAGAAGCAGAGTAAATTTGTTATGTTAAATTTCTTAAATTTAATTCGAAATTATTGTTGACAAGGAAAAATACCATCGTACAATGAAGTACTTTATCAACGTCTTCACCAACGGCCCACTTTTCCATTACTAAATACTTAATCTTTTGAAATTGAATTCGACGACGAGAAAAATGACCCTTAATTTCATCAGTGTAAATCGATTTTTTAAACGCGTGTTTGGGTTCTTGGTATAATGAAAAAACGGGTTTGAAGATTACCATTGTTTGAGATGTAATGGAGCCGAGAAAAGTGAAAAAAAAACCTGGTTCTTGTTACTTTTCCTTTTTGAAAAACGGGATATATTGGTTGTTCCTTAAACGGGAGCGGCTTAACAGTATTATTTAGTTACGTTGACCCGAATGAAATGAAAATACGTGGCATTGCAATTTCGTTTCCTTATCGATACGTGTCTTTAAAGATAGAAGAGAACTGGATGAAAAAAAACTAGTCTTGATTTACTACCGTAATTCCGTAATTTCTAGATGGAAGCCATAGATAGACGGAAGTTGAGTTGTTATGAGTTTTAAGAAATCTTTCACTTTTAAATGAAATTAAGTTTATTAAAGTTTATATACAATCATTTTTCATAAATTAAAAATAATAATAATAAATACAAGTTATGCTTTTTTTTTAAATAATTTTATGCAACATTATTTTTTTCATCCTCAACCAACGGAATATCTTCTACACCAGTGTTAGGAATCGTGCTAATTTCTTCAGTTACCACTATTTTTTCTGTTGTTGAAATAACTTTCTTTTCTTCACAATTTTTTCCTGACGTTCCAACTGGGCAAAGACACTCGTATTGATTTTTACCCAAAGAGAGGCATTTTCCATCGTTTTCGCAAATTTTAGGGTTATCTTCGCAGAAATTCAACTCTAAAATAATTTGTCGTGAGAATAAAATATAATTGAATTGAAATGATTTTACCTTCATCGCAAAGCATTCCACCCCACCCTGGTAAACAATTACATTCCCATGGTCTTGTACAATTTCCATTTACACATCCTGGATATGGGTAACAGGTATCGCAATCTTTTCCCCACCAACCAACTCGACATCTACGAAATAAATAATATAAATAATAACATAAATAATTTACAAAAAATCAATAAGTGAAGATGTTTTAAAACTTACCTACATTCACCTGGTTTCTTGCAATATCCTCGCTCTTTGTGACAAGTTTTTGAACAAATCGCTAATTAAAAATAATTCAAGTTTAAATTATATAAACAATGTTACTTAAGTAAATGTACAGGTTGAGGAATACTTTGCATTCAATATAATAGAAAGAATCAGCTATTGAAAACGCGATCCCAACCTAACCACCAATATCAAAAAGTACCATTTCGCTCGATGGTATCGCTGTTGTAATTATAGATGCAGACATTGTACTTTCAAATATCAAAGTTTAATTTTTTTGCTAGTAATACTTTTTAATTATCTTGATGATCACAACATAGAACACCAGAATATTGTTATAAACACCTTTATTTGGCACTGTTGGAGACGTTGGTGTTGATAATTTCTTTACCAATCACAAAAAAGAATTGGGATAATTGGTGAAAATCTGGTGGCATTGGGTATAGAAATTTTGAAACTCCCTCTAGAACCTTAACAGTTGTGGTAACTCATGTCCATTAGCATGAATAGATCAATCATAGCCTTTGAATATAGTGTTCGTAGAACAAAATAAAATTTCTTGTAGTGCATCTGTCATCTGTATTTCTGTAGAATATTGTTTTTCTTACTTCTTGTATCCTAATTGCTCACCTAAACATGCTTGAGTGATTATATTGATACCCCAACGCCCATCTTGTTGACATTGTTAATTATCTTTTCATAATACAAGATGTTCAATGGAGAATTGTTGAATTGGCAAGTTCTTAAATCTTCCAATTCTTTTTTCAATTCCTGATACACCATGAAACTCTGAATGGGAGTATACCTGCCATAAGAACGATGACTGAATCTAAGGAGTTGTCTTTTTGATTCGAATCAATATGAAGATAATTCATCAATTTTCTTACAACCTTATATTTCGCCGTTTATTTATTTTTTTTATGTATATCAATATTGCCACACTGACTTCCGCTACATTATTTATATAGCTCAAACTGTTTGTTCAAACGATACTCATTGCTTTCAAGTGCCTCTCTTGTCGCTGTAAAATTCGATAATATCCACTGATGATTGCAAATCACTCTACCACGCAATTTGAGTGAAATTGATTTTTGATTGTGGAATGCTGATTTCCCCGTACTTTACATCCATTACAGGGTTAATCTTCACAGCAACATTTTTTACAGATAGGTACAGTCCCAACATTCTAAAATTTTGTCCACGGTGGAAATGTTAAAATATTAAAGGAGATGTACAAGGATTTGCCAATAAAGATAAGGAAATCCTCTGAGCCACAACGTTCTGCGGGGAAAAAGTATCCGATTTGTAAAGTAAATTTAATGATGTACTTATATAAAAGGTTGGGCATTGGATTCCCTAAATATTATTTTAATAATTAGCTTGGAAAGGTTTCAGTTTGTCTTGAACAACTGGAGCATGATTCAAAACTCAAAAATTTAAATTTATCGGTTTTCATGATCGGTCTGCCTTGCTGAAACTTCTCTTAATCCTTTAGCCGCCGACGGCGAATTAGATTAAATTAGATTTTCTTTCACGCTCTGGCTACCATCTCGAGCTTTCACAGTACGTGTAAAATTTATTTCAGTATCGTTATTATTTCTAGTTTGATAATTGTGTTTATTGCTCACTTAACGATATGAGTTTGGATTATTTTTAATGATTTGTAGACATTCTAGAACATACATACACGGAACAGCATATCAGTTCAGAATATTCAGTTCAAAGAGTGTGGTTCTGCAACATTTGGCAAAGCGCAAAGCGCAAACCAGTCATGCCTGGCGTAGGACACTTGTGGGTAGAAGTATCCGTAATAAGTGACAATCAAAGTGTTAAATGTTGCTATATTTATCAGATTTCTAATTGCAAAAATACACTTATTTAATTTCAGTACATGAGCCTTCCACGTTAGCTTGGAATCAAGTAGCCGTTCCAGATATTTAACCGTAGTGAGTGAGATTTGGAGGAATTTCCCGTAAAGCAAACGTCAATGACTCAGTCTGAGATGCGTTCACCGCAAGATTATAAGATTCAAACCAAGATAGAAGTCTTCGGGTAGAACTAGACAAAGAATGATCAAGAGTATTGAAATTAGGGCGGGTATTTATGAAATATAGTTGCTGTATCTCCGCATAAAGTACAACCTCCTAGCTCTGTGACAGGCATCTAGGCATGTCATCAATAAATATCAAAAACAGCAACGGACCCAGTACAGATCCTTGTGGGACTCCGTATTTAACTGTAATTTTATCAGAAGTTTGGTTGCTGAAAGAAACATACTGAGTGCGCTCCGAAAGATAAGACTTAAGCAACAAACACTTGTAGTCAACGCAGTCGGAGGTCTTGATCAGATCAAAAAGAGATATCTCAGACAGCAGGTTGTTTTCAAAGCCATTTCGTATCCATTGAGTTAAGAGTGGCGTTCATATGTTGCTAACATTGAGTATCAAATCAGATATGGATTACATATGTGTGAGTACTGGGTACGTGATCTTATGACGTAAGCCTGGAACCATCAATAGCGTCTATCCACGTTTTGAAAATCATAAACTTCTAGATCTTATTATTAATAACTGTCTCTCTATTCAGGAGTTTAAATCGCGTTGAGATACTTTCGTGGGCCAAGAAAATTACCATTAAGATTCTTGAGTACGTTCCGTACTTCTGGAAATGAACACGGTTAGTGTTTTTATAACCGGTGAATTATATGGGTCTAGTGTTTAAAGGGAAATATTTAATTTGGTACTCTGCTTCTTCGATGAAAGCAATTAAAGAAAAGTTCAGAATCCATCTCAGATGAAATATACTATACGGAATAAGGGATGACTACTAAAACTTTCTTAATTTTATATAAATGTACCAAAACTCTGATAAAGTTGTAACTAATTAAATACCCAGATCTATTATGGTATTATGTCGAAAATAGGAAAGGTTTTCCACATTTTTCTCAATGGTTTTATTCAGTCTTCATTGACGGTACCTTATTGATCCTCGATGTGCTCTTAGGTTAAGCACACAGTCGATTTTTAGTCGGCACACAACTGCAGATCAACTCGATTTTTATATTTAACTTAATATGTTTATGTCCATCGACTAAACTATATGTCGACTGAAAATCGACAGTGTGTGTCTAGTCTTAGTGAGGTTGATCCAATGACTATGATAGGTTTAGCAAAACCACTCTTTCTTATATTCCACATTTTAGTGAGCTCAAGTTGCTTACCATAGATGAAGTTGCTGTACTTCGTCCAAAATGGTGTCAACGCATCAAGTCAGTTAGATGCAATCTTTTTAATGTGGCTGAGTTGTCACCTGGCTAATCATTGTTAGCAACGCGAATTGGAAATTTTGTGTCTTCTTTTCGTCGGGCTACTTCTGACGTTTCCCATGGTAGTAATTCATCCTCTTATTGGTATACACTAATGACATAACCTCAGATAACTTATTTTGAACAGTTTAAAATTTATGGTGAAGAGTGTAATTTATGATGGATGAACCAGTTCCACAAATATTGTATATTTGTATATTCTTCGTGCATTTGTTACCCCTTTAATTGTTCTTATAAACTGGAAATTCATACTTATGCAGAATGTATGACGTAGAAGAAGAGTCTTCGAAAGAAATTTATGGTACTGCAGTTCTTTTCAAAAGCTCAGGGACCCATCTTGAAGGTAGTGAGCATAGCCTTTGCACCACTTACCCCGAATTCAGAATCAGAGCTGTAGGTGATAGAGCTCTATTATATGTTAATATGCTTAAATCAGTGATGACAGTTTGTGTCGATTACCTTCCTCGTATAAAAAGTAATTTTAATGTTAGATACGATGATGTTGAAAGAGTCTTTTAGCTTATATCACTTGAATTTCAATTAGTTTTGTTTAAGAGTGTCAATCATTCTGGCGAAGAATGTTGAGTAAGATTGGTGTTGTTAACGATTGTCAATCATCCTGGGAAAAATGTTAGGAAAGGTTAGTTTTGTATACAAATTTCAATCATTCCAGATAAGAATGTTAGTTAAGGTAAATTTTTTTTCGAATATAGTTTCATGGATGCAAAGTAATCCTACCATAACGCAAATTTTACTTCCAACATTTAGCAATATAACTTTTTCTTACGTGTTTGACATAAAATTCCAGTATATCCCTCATGACATTTACATTCCAAAGGTTTCTCACAAAACCCATTTAAACACCCTGGCAAAATCTGACACTCTCTGCAAGTTTTCCCAGCCCAACCCAACCTACATTTACACTCCCCAGGATTATCACAATAACCCCGAGTTTGATGACAATCCGATCTACATGTAGCTACAAAAAAAAACAATCTTTATTTTAATTCGTTTCATCATCCTCGTTAAATTTACGTTCTGAACAAAATAACCCATCCCATCCTTCGTGGCAAATACACTCAAAACTAACGTTACAATAACCGTGTTGGCATCCGGGTAATGGAATGCACTTGTTACATTTTTCGCCGTAATAGCCGAGTTTGCAAAGACACTCTCCCGGTCGATTACAATATCCTTGAAGTGGATCACAACCTGGGCGACATTTGGGAACGTCGCATAAATCGCCATTCCAACCGGGAAGACATTTTACTTCACCGTCGTCGTCGCAAATGTAATGAGAATGAGGATTTCTCGAAGCCGGGATTTCACAAGCCTGGAATAATTAATTAACTTCGTTTCAATTTAAAGTTAAGAAAATTCTAATTTTTCCCTTCAAAAATTTTAATTAACCTGTTTTTTCCATTTTGGCACGTACTTAGCTGAATCAACCATTACAATTGGAACGATTCCGAAAATACACAATAAAAACACTTGAATCCCCATTTTAATTTTTCTTTAAACACAAAATCTTTAAATTTAATTAACTTTTTCTTGAGGACTTTAAATCATTCTAACACCAAATCGAACACTGGTTTGTCTAAACGCTCTCGGTTCTTCTTCAACGTCCTGACCATGAACTTGGTCAATCTAGTACTGAAGAGCATCTTCGCGACGAACGAGTCAATGCCCCTAACCTACTTGAGTTTGTGTTTGAGTGTGGTTTCTTTGCACATAACTGTGATACACCGTTCATTATAGAACAAAATGAGGACATCGTTTAGTTGCAATTAGAATTGGGTTGTTAATTTGAATAAAGAATATAGAGAAGGAGTAGTTTTTGAATTTTTTTATTTCGATAATTTAAATGCATACTTATTTAAACTTATTTACTATTAGGAAACGTTTGAAATAATTGTATAATTCGATCATAAGCGTATTCTTTAACGCGCCTGCCGTACACGAAGTCTAAATGATTAAAATCGCCATCGTTGATTTCTCTAATTCCATATCGAGCAATTGGTGATAAGTTATTATAAAAATTTAGTGAGTCCTATTAAAAAAAAATTAAAATAATAAAATAAATTTCACTACTATTTCAACGTACTTTTCGTCCAACAACCCAATCATTTTGGCCATACATCACATAAGTAGGTACCAAAATCTTTTTGATGTCATATTCAGGTGGTTGGAGGGTTCCATAAACCTCGGGATTCTTTTTTATGCCATAATCAAACTTTCTAAACTCTCCTTTTACTAAGGCTGAAGCTTGAGTTAATGCTTTTAAAGATGTCCCACCGGGAACTACGTTGTAATAAACAGGAACTTTTTCCTAATACAAAACAAAATGATGAAAAAATAAAAAAATAAACAGATTTTAACGTACTGATCCAACTCCTGTTATAGGTCCATAAAACAAATTATGCAATTGAGCACACAATTGTATTAAAACTGGCGATTCCAAACAAACAATTTCGCTCATCCATCTTAACGGTTGCGATTGCGATATTAATCGGATTAAATCGAAATCATTTGCGAGTTTCTAAAACTTTCAAAACTCTAAATATTTTGAATTTGATTTTATAATTCGTGTTATAATTACCAAGAAAAATGGTAAAGTGTAAGCGACTTGTTTATATGGTGAAATCATATTTGTTAATGTATAAGCAGGTGCCATAAAAACGAAAAGCTTTATATTTCTCGCGGCTTCTTCAGGAAATTCCGATGCGTACATCATCCCTATCGTCGTCCCCAAGGAATGTCCGATATAAAATAAAGATTTTCCGGTTATCGAAGTCATGTAAGACATTGCTTCCGGTGTATCATAAAGCGCCATTTCATCTATACTAAAAAATTATTATTCAAAAATTATTGAAAGAAATAAATAGTTTCGATTACTAAATAATAGAAAGTGCATAATTTGCATTAACATTTATAAGCACTAATTCATAGTTGAAAGAGAGTAATAAACTATAAAAGTGACATATCTCGGTTAAAACCTAATTACACCAAGGTCTCTACTGTTACTTTCTTGGAAGGTGGTGGGTTTTACCGAGTTTTCATGATGTCAAAGTTAAAACCTACGGAAAACCGTTTAAATTTTTTTTAAAGATATTTTACATGTTTATTACTTTTACTTTACATAAATGTAATAGCCCGTTTCGTTTCTTACCCAACTTGTACCATGTAGAAATTAACACGCAAACTTATCAAGCGTAATTAATTACGACTTATGAAATTAATTACATATACGAGAACGTAATTAATTTAATAATTTTATTTCAAATTAACATAAAAGCTCGTTTAGAATTAAACGAGAATAATAAAATGTCATATTAAAATAGTTTTAAAATGAAAAGAAACAAATAATAATTATTTTTATATTATTTTTTAAGTTAAATATTTTAAGAAAGTGTCATTTACAAAATAATAGTTTGTTTATATAATAATTTAAGCATTAACAGGTACAGAGCACCATACCACTCCTATTACTAAGATGATTTTTTTTGTATCAATACGTGGTGTTGTCCACTCTGACATTTTGTGATTAATTTGATCTAGTTATGTTTTTTTTAACAACTATTGAGAATGACCAAGCCTTAGTCCTTTACCAGTTATTCTTATCTTTGTTCGCATTTGACATCATTGACCTTTCTCCTTCATCTATCCTCATTTTGTGTGTCGTTTTTATGTGACAGAGTAACACCACCGAAGAGTCTTTCCCTTTTTACACATGTTGGATTTTTTATCGTATACACCATGATATAATTCACGTGGTTTTTTGATTATCCTTGACAACAAATTTGTCTGTATTTTCTTGATTTTGGTGTTTTTCTGATCCATTATTCAGTCACTGATGCCAAACCACCACGGCAAGTTATACGATTGAGTAACACATAGAAATGAAAAAAGTTTATTATCAAAATGAGTGCTTTTTAGGGTAACTATTGCGTGCGTTTTGCACATATTACAGCAGACGTGGTAGTTCTTCAAACTCAACTGTGCAATGTTTAATGGCTAATTACATCATCGCTGTCCGTGAAACTGTGCAGAAGAGCCCGAACCAGTTTCGAACTTTCGCAGTTGTGTACCCGTATAAGATCCAACTGACCCAGGAGCACAAAGTTAATGTCCAAAGATAACGCCGTTTGTTCGTTCCTACGTTAAGCCAGCTTCGGAGCGGGGAACGAAGAGATTTTGGTCGGTAAATCATCTTTAGCGATTTTTTGGATAATGACTATGTTAGCAAGCAAAATTGTCATATATGGGACGATGCTAACCCACACGAGGTTCACTAAGTGGCAATGAATCCACTAAAAGTTACTGTTTGGTGCGAATATGGTTCTCTCGTGAGGTGACCATATTCTCTATGGTCAATATTTAGCCAAACTGATCTGATTGTAGCACCTCAGCCCAAAGTGACTTACACTACATTAATGGTGAAGTATATAGAATCAACAAGGAATAGTTGTTGCAAATTGTGATATTGCAATTGATATTTACATACCGATAATTATTTGAACTACACATCGCAGCTACTCGACTATACTTAAGAAGTAAAAACATAAGAAAATATAAGCTCTACAATTAATAGCATACCAATCAAAAATTGGTCAAGTTATTACAGCCAATTGTACCAAGACGATGGTGTTAAGTCAAAAAGATTAAAAATTTTCTTCATCGAAAATCATTTTAACCAATCAATCTTTCTTATTATTAATCGTTTCATCTCCTTTTCCTCTTCCAACCCGAGACAACGCTCTTTCCTCTCCTCTTCTAGACCAATATCTTAGATAAGCAGGCATAACATCCAAATTCATTGTAAGCTTGCCAGCAGTATCTGCAATGCATCACTTGAAACAGTTGAGCAAACCGGTACCATTGCCAAGAGGATCATCCACTGCCCCGCAATTTCACACGAAAGTGGCTGTTACCTATTCTCACCCAGTTACTCCATATCTATACAACATAACACCCATAAACAATCAATCGTAGATTACACGGAGCGCGGGAGGCCTAAGACCTCATTCACAACGCATTACCCTGCACAACATATCCAGCAGTTTCATTAGCTCATTTTCTACACATCGCATTCCAAGATTATTCCTAGATATTTCTTTTTCTTCTTATATGCCAATGAGACTGTGCGATATCTTACTTATCAACATGTCGATGAGACAATGAATTATTACGAATACGCCTTGGTTTTGCGTTATTAAGGTTCGTCCAGCATAACAGAGTTTGTACTTATCATATTTCTTCTCGAGTCTTGTTTATAGCAACTTTGCTGGACTGCGATTTTCGGTATCCATATTGATCATCGAGATGCAGGTTGTACGCTTCCCAAGGAAGAAATAACAATGTTATAATATAGATGGTTTAACAACCTTCGATCTTCGAAAACTTAGCAATATACTCAAATAGACACCTGGCTACTCAGTAAGTAACAAATTGTGTCCATTATTTTTTGTCAAGATTGTTACATACAGTTACGAGATCTAAATCTTGTGATTTTTTGGGTTAAACGCAGGTCACACTAGGCTGCTTGCCAGCCGCGAATTGTGGAAACCGCTACTGTTAGCCATCAATCAACTTGGTGTGAGCTTGGCGCCGACAGCTGGTGAGTATTTGTCAGCGACTGGAGAAATTGAACATGTTCTATTTTGTTAGCCAGATAGCAGCGACTAGCAGGTCACGTGACTCACTAACACCCGCTGCCATCAGTGAGCAACACTGTCTGACACTCAAGCAGCACATCAGCGGCACGTATCACGTGGTCCTTTGTTTATGTTCGATGTCTGTTCTGTTAATGTTGTCTTTAATTACTAATAATTATCAGTGGTAGTCCTAACGTTGTGGTGGCAGTGATGCTCGTATTTCTAAACTAAGCACACTCACACCCCCCTTTGCGGGTAAGGTTTGGGTTACTTTAACTCTTAGCTGCTGATCAATTTGGAATGTGCATTAATTACAGCAAAATTGTGAGACAGTAGTAAATAAATATGAATCATACGTACACAATACAATAAATTTGTACAGAAAATGATATGATAACGGCGGCAACCTCGGTAGGTTTTATTAATCCCAAAAAACCAGTTGTACATATCGTGTTAAACATAAAAAAACATAAACAAGTTTCCACAATTCCTTAAGATTTCGGTGCTTCTGAATATAATAAAAATTTCATTTTAATTACATTTCTAGGACCTTTTGAATTTCCCACTCGTTTGATCCATCAAATGCATTAAAAATCTAATATCGTCAGTAAATTGTGAAAGATATGCTTTCTTTGATTTTTTATTCGCTGAGTGGAACATGATGATGAAATGATATTATAATTCAAAGAAGATAGCTTTTTGATCTATATAGTGCAAAAGGAACATTTATTATTTGGAAAATCAGAACGCATTTAGGCAGTTCAACATCCACCTCATATATGACCAAATAAAGCTCTGAAATCTAACACGATTTAGATGAATCTAATGTACGCTATCGTAAACATCGATGTTTAGCAAGTTTATACTAAAACGTCCATAACACAGTATTTTCTCAAAAATGATGGATAGACTATGAACCAAAAATTTCAAATTACTATTCAACAATGCTGGCTTTCGATCAAAGGTATTTCCACAAACACTAATGTAGTAATGTTGTTTTGAAGAGATTGCATAGAACTGTCACAATCTACATTATTACCTATATAAATAAGGAGTAAACATTTTCCAGTACTTCTCATTTCTGTATTCAAGTTTTAATTCATTACGTTGCCATTTGGTAATATACTGGTATTGCCCCAATACATTTTTTATAGGTTCTTATTAACATTCGATTCAACAGCTCTCACCGCGTCCGAATATATTCCAGTAGCAAGAATTGGCTTTCGATTGCTTCCAATACCATTCAACCTGCGTTGAACTGTTCAACATTTTTTTAACTGTTCGTCATTAATAGGAATATTTTGGAGCAATTTGGCATTATAAACATTTATTTACACACGACTGCGTTAATGCATACCACAGCATAGGATTAAGTTGTAGTAGGCTAACTCTAATACCATAAACATAATGCTACTTAATGCAACTTTAACTCAATACTATAACTCTAGCTTGTTCTAATTTTCCAAATTAGTTTATATTCATCTTATATAGGTAATTGTCCCTTTACAATTCTGAACGTTCTGAACATTACCTACAAATACACAATCTGTGGTAAACGTATTTGTACATCCGTTTTTGTGGTCAGCAAAAAGTCTTTGAAGTGTGGTTCAGATTTTCTGTTCTGGTATTATTCCATTTTCATACACTCTACTTCTTTCTAAACTTTCCAAAAACTTATCGTTAATATAGTTTATAAAATTGATTAATGTGAAATCCAGAGAAAAACTTTGATTAGAATCACATCAGCATTAACTAGTTATTTAATTTATTTTCATTGCCTAATTTCTAATCATCTTATTCAATATAACATACCTGTGGTCCCAATATTCTTTATCATAAGTTGTTAAATTGACATGTCCTTCTGAATAGTAGCTACCCCTAAAGTTGCCAATCCAAACATCGTATCCGGCATTCCAAAGAACATAAGCTACAAAAATTTTTTTTATGGTTTTTTTAATTTAAATAAATGTTTTAAACGACCCCGTTTCGATCGAATGCAATGATATGTAAAACAGTACCGGTATAGGCACGCGATTAAAAGTGATTAAAAGCACGCATATAAGTGAGAAAGTGTGTATGCGTTAAGCGTAAAGAAATACCTTTGCAAATTACCTGCTAGGCGAAATGTTAAAGTATTAAACGAACAATACCGAGATTTTAACAAGAAAAAATAAGTAACTTATTAGTCCTTGATAATTTATCGAGTTATGTTTTAAATTATAGGTTAAGAAAAGCACGCGGGATTATAATAAGAAACGTATACGGTTATAAATTCGTTATTAGTGGTTAAGACCTAATTGATTGACAAGAAAATTACTTTAAGATTTATTTTCTTCATACGTTTTCGTTCTTACCCAAAGAAACATTTCCGTGTGTAATAAAATTAGCACTATTTGATAAAATTCCGTGTTGAATAAAAACGGGTTGCCCATTTGAGTGAGGGTAATTAATGTTGGGGAGTCGAAAAATTGTTGTAATGTAACCATCGATGGCAGTTAATGTGTGTCTTTCTAAGGGATATCCAGCTCTACCTACTAATTCAGGCTAAAAGAAAATAAATTCTATTTTATTTTATGTTACTAAAAAATAAATTGGTTAAGCATGACAAAAAATGATTTTAACAACGATAAGAAAAGCCACAATCGAAACGTGGCGAATTAGAGCACGAATAAATAAGTAAAAATAAATATATAAATAAAAGTGTTTTTGAACGAACCACCTTGTTTGCGTGAACCTTTCGAAAACGATTGGAAATTTATTCGTTTCGATATCGATGTAATTGGGTGTCTGAAGTATGTTTTTCTATTTTATTTAGTATTTGCTAATATTGTAAAAGGAAAATTTAAATAAGTATCGAAATAATTATGGTCCTAAAACTATTGGAGAATAAACCAAAATTCAAAACTTCAATAATAAGAATAATTAAACAAGAAGTTTAATTCCTCCATTTATTAAATTAAAGAACTGAATGAAACTTTTTACCATAGCACAAAAAAGATAAAGATAAAGATAAACATTAACGAGATTGTTAAAATTCCTCATCGAAGTAGAACATACCAATTCAAATTCCCCCGCAGGATCATAAAAACAATTCCTACTAGTTTGAATTCTATAATAATCCTTAAACTCTCTACACACATTATTTCTACGTCCACCGTTCGGAGTCTTACGACGTTGCTGTTGAGCTATGGTAATTTCAACGAACGTTGTTAACAGAAACGCGAACATTAGGAATAAACCACAAAACTTCACGCCACCCATACTGCCGGGTTAATAATTATTAAACCGGGCCGCAATTTCTCTTTCGATTTATATATAATGCCGAAACGGCCTTGGTCCGATGCATTTCTGTGCGTAACCAGACTACTATTTTTTTTCTTCCTGGTAGCTTTATTCTATTCCTTTTCAAAACCGACGACAACGGCTAACGGCCACGTGAAATTCGCGCCACTCTACGTTTACATTTTGAGGGGATAAGTTTTTCGACCCCGTTTTCTAAACGCCAATCAATTTTCTGTTTTGGGGTACATGTTAGGCGTTCACCGTTTTAGTAATTTCTGCTCAAACGGGTTTCTTGTCGCTTTTTTTACTGAATGAATAATTGAAAATTTAATTTAAGGAAATTTAGTGAACGTAAACTTAAAGTCAGTGCCCCAACGAATTATAATTATTAAAGATATCAATCTAAATTTGAGTAATACTCATAATCATTACAATATAATTTTGTTGAATTTGAAAAATTATTTTATTTTATTGATGGATTAATAAATAGAAAGGAAGTTTGTAATTTCAAGAATTGTCTTAATTACGTAATGAAATTGACCAAGAAAGTCTGGTGAAGTTGAAGGTTAAGTGTTTAGATTTCAACGAAATCTTAAATACTTTATTTTTAGAAATTCATTTTCCTGTTTCTACATGTATGTGGGTTAGTGGCTCGATTTATAATCAATCAGCACTCTATTAGGTCATGACAGGCTCCCTATAGAGTTCATCAAGTTCAATAGATTCTTCTTTTCTACTAAAGACTTTCTTTAAGAGATAGGTATGGAGAGAAGTAAAAGTGTGAGTCTGCAAATATATGGCAGAAATCATCATTAACATAATATCAAGTCAAGAAAATTGCCTAGATAAATTGATAAGTCCTCAAAAGCTACTATCAAGGTGAAAGCAGCAAACAAAACTTAATAAAAGAATGCCCAAAAAGATGTTTGTATTTTAGAGGTATTGTTATAGAATTATCTTACACAAGTGAACGATACAACATAAGTGACAAAAGTTGTGGCGTATGCAGACGATTTGCTCTTGGTTATCAAGATGACAGTGCCATAAGGTTTTTCTGGAGATAATACAGACCTAACAAATATCTAGACCTTTACATAGGACTATACTGAACACGTACAAAATTTATGTTATGCTTGATTTACCATGCTGATAACCAAGAGGAAAACAGTACGCGACACACTGCTTTAATAAAATTAATGAGACGAACAGAACAACGTCGGCGAAAGTGTTCCGTTGAAATTGATCTGGGGTGTTACTTATGGACTTAAGAAAGCATTTTCTGGTTCAGGGATCATAATCAGAAGGCTGAGGTTAAATTGCGAGATATCGATATAGATAGCATAAAGCAGATGGTCACGTCTTGACGAATCACATTTGCTATACATATACAGACGAAAAGAAATTATAAGGTTCTTTTTGCACGGAAATTTGTGTGAGTAGATTTTGCAAGGATAAATTAATACTATTAAGTGGATATTCTATATACATATAATATAACCGGATAACCTAAACTTATGAAAAATTTAAATCAAATAAAGCAGATATAGCATAGAAACTTTGTGTTAGCGCAATTGTTTACAATGGAAACAAATTATAAACTGATTATATAGATACCAATACAGATACAGAAACAGTTATGGATAACCAACGATCGTTACACTAACAAAGTTGTGCAACAATGCAAAGAGTGATGAACCAGTCAAGTTGTCATAGCGGTAACGAAGTTTTGAGTAGTTTTGCTAAACCACGGTTTGATTGATTGATGAACCCAACCCAACACCCGCAAGGTGTTGGTGTTCACTTTCTTCAGAAGTCCGATTCCATTGTCCGTAAATATTTACTTTAACAAGATTAGCATTTGGTTTAGAGGTGGTAAAAAATAGTACATGCCAACGTAATAGCTCTCGGAAGCGCAATCTCTGCTTTTTTCTCAAACCCGAAACATAGAGAAAGTGTAGGTTATCGCTTTCCAAATCTTTGATTAACAAATATCAGAACTACTTTTCACCCAACATCCACTTTCAGATGTATATGGGCATTTCCCGGATCATCTCCAAAGATCTCAATCGTGTTTAAGTACAAATCATAGCCTTCAAGCTCCGAATAGGGACTCTGTAGAATTTTAATGTGCGGAGAAATGAACACGAGTTGATTATAGTTGTGTACTTCTCCAATCCACCTCTTACTTCTGATTATAATATTCTTGTATAATCTTTGTTGTCTTGCACATGAGGTCTAGATTTTTGATAATTTCGTATGTGCTAGTTACCCCTACCAGGAAGATTTTTTTAATCTTCAAGATTTTTCTTCTATTCTATTCTATTTGGGGAGTATTTGCAGCTTTTTTTTATTGCCGCTTCTCGCATCCCAACCGCCAACGGTCCTTATCATTCCAATCATCTTCACCCAGTCGCCTCCTCTTCATCTGTACATTGATATAATGGAACAATTTTTTCCTAGGCCTACCTCTTTTGATCTTTAGATTTTTCTTACATACTTAATATCGAGTATTAAGCACATATATCGATTGAGTTTGGGTATCCATAAAAATAAGTCCTTAGTTCGCTGCTCCCATGATAGTATGTAAGTGGATTCTATCATTCCATCTACGCTGATCAGCATTTTAATACTAATGTATTATTCCCTGTGATCCCTACATTTCAAACACATTTCACCCAGAACAAAAACAAGCGGCAAATCATGCTAGGATTCTTAACTTTGAATAAAGACTTTACCAGACCTATCTTCTACTATGCTTAAGTAGACCTTTTCTTTGCGAATTGCTGCTATAGCAGCAACTGGACTATAGTCCAGTTTTGCAAAATTTTATAATTAGTCTAGTCATCTCTCATAGTTGATTTAAATCTAATCAGTGCCTGATTTCTTAATCTCAAAGCCTTTGAAAGGGACTCCTCCACAACTGATCCACGCCATCAGATCCATGTTCCAGTAAATGGAGGAAGCGGTAAGGCTTAACGGTAAGACCTCTACCATGTTCGTCATGGAAAAGATGTTAGACTGGGAGACAGTTTATCTCCCCTGTTATTTGTAGCTATTATGGATGAAGTGGTGAAGACATGCAAGAGAAGAACAGAAACTTCGGAACATCCCCATTATATGCAGACGATGTAATCCTCAACGCAGACTCGGAAAGGAAATTGTAACATGCTGTACTCGAGTGATTAGAAACTCTAAAGGAGAAGCTCGATGTGTTTGATTATAACATCCACATCGAATGTGATGGTCAACTGCTCATCCAAATCAGCAGTTATCAAAATCTGGGCACGACAATCCACCAGACGGGTAACCTTACTGAAGAGGTCAGGAACAGAGTAGACAAGGCTAGCGAGGCTTATCATGCCCTGAGTTGGTGTGGTTTGGAAAGGATGAAGTAAACCGGAATGCGAAGAAAAGTGTTTATAAAGTATTCATTGAGCCTATACTATGGCAGTGAAAGCTGGACCGCAAATAGAAGGATCATCGGAAGGGTTAATGCGGTCCAAATTAAATACCTCCAGATCGTTGCAGGAAAGACACGATAAGATAGAGTACGGAACAGCCGAGAAGAGCTCCATATGCAGCCGGTCGAGAGGATGATTGAAGATAGATAATTGTAAGCAATTGTACCACGTAAGATGAATGTGACAAGTAATGAAACCATACATGTACATGGAGGCCAGTGCGCAGGGAGGAGACCCATAAGGAAAAAGAGAACAACATTGGAAGGGACAGTGACGCAGATTGCGACCAGCCGAGGGAAGACTATGCAGCAGCTCAAGACTCTTACTGGGGAGAAGGAAAGATTCAGAAGATGGATTCGAGGTCATCTTACAATGCCACGATAGGGATACGTTGGGGAAGAGAAAGAAGAAAAAAAGGAGAACAACCTTTATTCAGTCTAGACGTAGCGTATATCTAAAAGTATTGTAAGTTGTTAATAAAATTCTATTTGTAAATACTATCTGTGGTTCTAAAAATATATTCGGTGAGAATGTTCGGCGATTTATTTCGAATCGAATTTTGAACGGTATCTGGATTAGAGATGTGATCAGTGTTAAACAAAATAACGCCTGATTTTTCATATGTAATGATAATAATCATTTGTCCTAATAGAAAAAGTCCATTCATGTAATATTCAGCATCAGGTAGACTCTGCATTATGCAAAATTTTGTGTAAAAACTTGTCTAGGAGTGAAGGTCGATGTGGATTTTCATTCAATTCGTTGAAAAAGTGAAGAGTTTAAATGAACCTAGATTTGCTCTATCTTCAGATAACAAATCATCGGATATACCACTAATCAGGCATGTTTCAGAAACGTTCACAACATCAAATCTGTTAACGAGACTTTTAGAATATTTTCTGGGACCAAGTCATCTGTTAGTAAACTTTAGCTGAAATTGCGGAGCTAGTAAACTAACGCTGGAGACATATTTCTAACTTTAAAACTCACTTCATTACGTCAGCTTTTTCTTTTTAATTATATGTTACAATAAAATGTATTCAAGTATACCTGATGAATAAATCATGCAGGATGTATTAATATCACAAAGTCTTCCATTTTTAACCTTTCCATTTAGCTTTTTTACGTTTTTTAACGGTACTTAAAGAAAATTTTTACACATACATATTAAACCGACCATTTCTCTCCAAGTATCTACGTTAAAACGTTTTTCGGAACCAGTTGGATTTAGATTAAATTGGATTTACATTAAATTGGTGTCAATTCGTATATTTCCAAGTAACAACAATTAAAGTTGTTCTACTTCTACATCAAGCATGACTTTCTTCTTAAACGTTAACAACTGCCTTGTTACAACGTTACAAAATTTCCTCTTTAACACAACGACCAATTTTCTGATTTAATTAAAAATTGGATTTCCAATTAACACCAATTAAAATAATTCTTGGTATGCATAATAATTTTTGAATTTGAAATTTGTTATTACGAAATTTTCAAATAAAGTTCGTATTTCACACAAATATCTCTTTTAATTTTAATTTAAAAACCATATCAAACATTAAAATATACAGAAAACATTATAAAATCTAAATAACAATAACAGTAATTAACATCATTAATTACATGATCATAAACTCTATAATAATCTTAATCTGCGCCGTTTAAATTAAAAAAAGAATAAATTGCGCCATTTATCCCGAGTCCAGTGACTTTAAACGTTCTAATGATACAAATCAAAGCTTTAAATTTTTTTTATTAATAAACCACCGCCTTTCGTTGAATGTATTATAATTAATCGTGTTCTCGGCTTATAACCCAACTAATATGGTAATGATTATGAATAACTGATAAGAAAATCGACTTATAAATTAATTTAATCGCTTATATCTAGCGAAAGTTAATAAAAATTAACAGAAATTAAAAGTTCTAAGTTTTGATTGATAACTAAATTAGTAGGGTCTAAAAAGTAAATAATATTGTTAAATTATTTATCTTACTTTAATAGAGAATTCCTTAAATTCCAACGTAGGCATAAATTAACTTTAAACTGTTATTTTGCAATTTAGTGATTTATTTCAAAAACAGATAATAATGAAGACATTTACATACTTAAATTTATTTTAAATTATTCAATTAAAATTAATTAAAGCTTAATACGTATCTTTCACACATCACTCTTCAAATCAAACTGAATAACAAACAGGAAACAAACGTCTTTAATGTTAACTTCTAAAGGAAGTGGGTTTTAGCATAATGATATCAAGGATAAACTAGCATATAATTAACGATCCAAGCTTGTATCAATTGATATACCACAACGATTGTTATAAGACAAGAAATTAACTACTGAAAAAAGTAGTAGTTACTGAAAAAAAAATGAACTAAATAAACTTAATATTCAGTAGAAAGACTTGAAACTTGTTTCGAATTGGTAAAAGTTGTTTCAAAGGCTATAGTTAAAAAGGAAAAAGGAGAAATAAGAAGAAAAAAGGAAAAGTACTGTTACGTACGCTTTCTGATCGGGGTAATAAAACGATAAACGTGTAATTTTATGTTATAAACTGTAATCGTTTTATTTTGTTTCATGAACTTGGAATTGTTTTGATTTGATAATGAAAATCACAAAGACATTTCAATAAAAAGAAACTAAAAGTTCTTTTTTAAGGTTTTTTTTTTAATTAACACTCAAATTCTTTCCTTTCAATGCTGATTTAAATATGAACAACAAAATAAAATAATAAAGAAAAAGTTGTATCAACGGAATTTTACTTGAATGTAGAGAGGAATTCCAAAATATGTTTGTAAACAAGATAATAAGCATCTTTTCCCCATAAGAAATCGGTGTGAGAGAACGTTGGATGGTCAACAACGTAAATGCCTTTTTGAACATCATCAGGGAGGTAATGATATAATTCTTCAACTGCCTAAAAATAATAACTTATTAACTGCAATTTTAATATATTTAAAAAAATACCTTTTTTGTTCCTAATAAATCTCCTTTGGCCCTTATAAAATGATTAGGAACTCTAATATCATTCAAATGATATAATGGAGGAACATCTTGATGATATTCTTTTACATTACCACTATGCCCATAATCGAATTGACGAAATTTTCTTGAATGAACAATTTGGCGTTGATGAAGAACGACTTTCATTGAGATACTGTCGCGGTCTTGAGCTAAAATGATGGAGAGTGTTTCCTAAAAATGCAAAAAAAACGTTTTTTGTGCACTTGGTATTTGTTTATAATTACCGGATTAATTTGATCTTCACTAAAACCAAATCCAGATTGAATTATAGCTAAGCAAGATCTCATCTGGTGCGGATACGGTAAACAAATACTGTTTATGACATTTTTTATTACACCGTTTCGAGGAAGAAGTTCTCCATGAGAATATGCATTTACCGTTGCCTGAAAAATAATTAAGTTAATAACATTTCTAAAGTGACATCGATAAATGTAAAGCCAAATACAACATAATAACCATTCATTTCTATTGAAAGTGCAAACTTATATGAATAAGTTGGGAAATAGTTGCAAAATGCTCTGATGCATATGAAAAGCAACATATATTAGAGCTTTCTAAGTTAAGATATTTAGGTCTTAATGAATAGAGGTATGTATTTTTCTATTTCTAGATACATTTTAGAAGCAGATTATGAATGGAAATTTCAAACACAGCTACCAGCAAATGCAATGGCAGTATTGAAGAAATGAAGAGCAGCGACAGAATGTAAAATTTGCTAAAAAGTACATTGCCAGAACGTAAATTCTAGAGAAACATAGATCTTCACAAAGTGAATACAGATTATAGCAATTTGGATATCATGCTAACAGAAATAGGCGTCAACAATTCATAGAATGTTGAAAAATTTAATACTATTATGATGAAAATTTATTGATAAATTTCGGTGCAACAAAATTGTTTCGACTCGACAAATGACTCGTCGTAACAAAAATTCTTAGTAATGAAACAAAATGTTGTAAAGAAAGAGAGAAAAATTCAAAGACATAAATGTTTTTATCAAAAATTTGAAGGTACAAGTTAAATTTTGAAAGGTAGAATTTGAAAATGAATTAAAATGAAATTTCGAACGATATAATATAAATTTGAAAAGTTTCCGACCAAAAATGATATAAACAAAATGTAGCAAATCGAAAAATTATAAAATTAAAAGTTAAAAACTAATTCAAAACGATAATTAATTGGATAAGTTTAAATGAAAACGAATGGGATAACAGAACTAAAAATTTACTCAGAAGTGTAACATGCGCATGTTTTAACTGATTAAATTAAAATAAAAAGAATTTTGGGATTAAAAATTAAAATAAACGTTTATCCTTCCCATTTATCTTTCTCTCTACAACATGACGCGGTGAAGAACACACGCTTTAGGTAATCTCTCTTAATTTTTCTTTTATTTTTAGGTTTTAATTTAATTTTCATTTAGTTTTCAGAATCTTATTTGTTTTTGTAACATCATGTTATAGAAAGAAATTTAAACATTTATTTTAATTTTTAATTCCAAAATTTTTTTGGGATTAAAAAGACGGCTGTTGAAGATAAGGCTCTTCATTGGCACAGAAAAACAAATATAAAACTAAAAATCTATTGAAAATAACTTTTGGCAGAATGTAAATTCTGTTAATGAAAATAAGAGTTGATACATAGTTGGAAAAGAATCAAGAGCAATATGAAAAGCATGTCAGAACAGAATCTAACATCTAAAATTACTGTCTAATCTTCTTCCTCGATCATCTAACATTTCAGTATAGGCTAGGAAGAAACAACTGCGATTGATAATGTGTGATAGAAACTATTCAAATTTAATCATGCAACATGGATTTTACCCATTTTAAATCAAGTACTACTTCGTCATTAATCCATGGATACAGGAAAGTCTACATGAAACTGGAAATCACGAAAAATCACATTAACTTCATTAATAGTTGTATAAGATAAGGACTTACACCTAACTTTGCAAAAGTTACATGTAAGAACATCAAGCAATCTTATTTAAATGCTTTAATTGGAAAGATTTAAAAATCTGAAAAACGTAAACATTTTAAAACCTTAAATTATTGTTACGAAGAATTAACCAAAATTAATCGATGTCTTCGAGAAAGAATTCAGTTTATAGAGATTGAGGAGATCTTGGACAACATCAGAATTTATATTGAACAAGCAAAAAATGATGACAAAGAAAATAAAGCTACATGTACTGCAGCAAAGAAGCAAAGTAAAATATAATAATAAACCTAAAGAAATAATAAATGAAGATAACAATAAGAACAATGGCAATCAATTTATAAACCTTACCGATATTGTGTTTACAAATGAAGAGAATGGATTGATGAACAAGGGTTATAAGTGTTCCTTGACACCAAATATTAATTTACTTTTAATAACAATAGGCTACGACAATATCATTAAATATAATCCTGACTATAAAAATATAAAAAAAGAACTTATTCCATATATTAAAAGTGTGGAAAGAAACCTAAACACAATAATTTTTCTCAAGTCCAACAATGGAAAAATATAAAGTCTATTAAAATCAAATTGAAATAAAACAATGCAATTTATATAAAAGCAGACAAAGGAGCTGGAATCGTTATAATAAGTAAAGATGTATATATTAAAAAAACTAATGAATTCATGAAAGATAACAACTGTATAGAACTTGAGAAAAATCCCCTAGATAAAATAGTTCTTAATACAAAGAAGGTGTTAAATTTACGACTTACGTAGATAACAAAAGTAAAATAGTTTCCTCATCGTTTTTCAGCATATTATTCATTCATATGAATCCTAACATACCTAAACTATATGCTCTACCAAAATTACACAAACTAAATATGCCCATCAGGCCTATAACGTCATTTAATAACTCCCCAACACATAAACTTGCAAATTTCATGTTAAATATTTTCAAAGAATTAAAATTCAAACCTACATACTCTATATCGAATACTAACCAATTCATAAAAGAAGTTGAAAACATAGATCTTACAAATATATATTTGATTTCTTTCGATGTAGTGAATCTATATTCTAACGTTCCAACAGAATTTACTTTGATCTCACTGATAAGCTATTTAGAGATCATTTTGTGGAGAAACAAATATCAAACATTTTAAAGAAATCCTAAAACATATAGTTACACAAAACTATTGCATTTTTAATAATAAAACTTACAAAATATCAGAAGATTTACCTATATTTTTAGACTATTTTGAAAACCATCATATTATGAACACTAAAAATCTTTTCAAAAAGCATATAGTTAAATGGATAAGATATGTAGATGACGTTTTTTGTATGTGGGAAGGTAGTCTTAGTGTTTTAAACGAATTTCATAAATATCTTAACCAATTACACAACAAATTAAACTTCACCATCGAGTTAGAAAATAATAAAGATCTTAAAATAAGCAATATTGAAAACAGATAAAATTTTAATATTTATAGAAAACCTAGTTCAGCTGCTACAATAATTCCATATGATTCAAGTCATCCCTTATCTCATAAATTAACGAGCTTCAGATATTTTATCGAACGAATTTTTAATTATCCATTATCACAAGAGAATAAGATTAATGAATTTAACTATATCTTTGATCTAACAAAAAATAATAATTTTCTTATAAACGCAATTAATAATTTAATTAATAAAATTAGAATAAAACATGATCCTTTATTTTCCAAAGATAATGAAACTAAAAACTATAAACCCATTGGTTTTAACTCTATTACAGCATCTAGTAAAAGAATTTTTCAGAAATATAATATTAATCTTGCCTTTTCTAATAATACAACGTTAATACTATCTAATTATCATTTTAATGATTATAACATAAATAAAGAAAGTGGTGTCTATCAAATTAACTGCTCTGAATGTAATAACATGTACATAGGGCAAACTGCAGTAGCCAAAAATTGGGAAATAGAATAATGGTACACAAAAATAAAACCAATTTGACACGAGATTGATTATGAGAATGTAAAATTGTTGCAGAGATGTAACAATGGTTTTAAATTAGATCTCTTGGAAGCTCTAGCAATTAACAAATATACTAAAAACAAAAAATATGAACTTCTCAATGACCAGTTGGATAACTTACACCTTTGTTTAGTTATCTAAGTAAAATATAAAATCCTTTTGAGTTTCTGTGGCTTCGTTTTCTTTGTATATTTTTTGGTAAAAGGTTATTTATGTTATTTTATAACAGAGATTTTATTATAATGCAGTTTAGATCTTGCTTCGTCCAATGTATGTTCGGTTTTGGAGAGTTTTCATTTTTATAGTGTGTGTAAATTTTGATACATTATAACTTATATTTCTTAAAATATTTAATTGTGTATTTATGGAAAACGAAAGACTTCGTTACAATGATCAGGAAAAGGCAACATATTTTGTAGAACATCTAGCATTCACTCCCTTCAACAAGTGGACACCACTTCATTCCCAATACGTAAGGCAACATCTAGAGCAAAACTTATCAACTAATGAGAATTTTACTACGTCACCCAAAGAGATCCACCACATAATAAAAGAGAAAATCACCGGATCATGGTTTTATAATAAATTGTATTTTAATGAATCTCCTGCATAAATACTTTGTCTTCGTAGCAAAATGTATACTTAAAGATCGAAATATGGAAACTATTTCATATACTACCTGGTAAAATGAAATCACAATTGGAAAGCAATCAGCCTGTTATGTATCATGAAGCAAATGAACGTCGAGTTTTACCACCCTTTTTGTTCAACTTCAAATAAATCCAAAGATTGGTCGACTTAAAATGTAGAAAACGGTTGTGGATATCACGCAATATAGTTAGATGGGTATACAAGATCCTCAAATTAACCATTTCAGAAGTCCTGTTATCGTTCCACCAATTAGAGGTGTTCTCCAGGTAAACGTTCTATTTCCAATTTTCTATAATGTAAACATATGATATAGCTAGGTATCCTAACGACACAGTTTTATTTGCAAAAGATTACGAACTGACGGCAGCTATAAAATAATTGCAAGTAAATGCGAATAAGATTAATAGATGATGAAATCTATGGAACCTAAAAGAAAAATATCCAAAATGTATTGACTCTAAGATAAGTAAGAATTCTATAACAACTGGTTATAAATATCCAACTAATTGATTGGAAAATAAAAATGAAGCGGTGTCTTATTGTTAGAGTACTTGCCTTGGAAATTTCAACTAAAACATACAATCAAATTTGAATGAACTTGATTAAGAACTGATTCATCTGATTCACTTTAACTAGGAAATTTGACTGATTTAAATACTATAAGCTTCGCTATAAGTGTAATAAGATCTTACAGCTATTGATGGAAATAAAGGTCCAATAGTTCTCAAACCAGATATTGAAGTTTCTAATAACGCTGTAGGTGCCATTGAAATCATCACTTTTATTATTTGTTTAGCCCTAGTTGGATAAGTAGCTGAATAAATATGGCCTGCAATAGTTCCTAAAGAAAATCCAATATAAGCGATAGGTTTTTCAGTAATTTTGTTGATTAATTCCAATTGAGTTGAAATGTCATAAACTCCTAATTCATGTAAACTACAAAAAAAAATTAATTCATAATTACAATAATCTTTATCTAATTTTCGTTACCTGAAATCCCAATATTTGAAACTATCATCATGTAAAAATTTATGTCCTCTAGAATATCTGCTACCTCTAAAATTTCCCAACCAAACATCATATCCAGCTTCGGCAAGCACAAATGCTTAAACAAAGAAACAACATTTATGAATATTTAATTTAAGTAAACCGGAATTAAAAATAATTCGAGTTACGTTTACGTTACCTTTACCTCGATTTAAAGGTAATTTAAGATTGATTTAAGATTAATTTATGCGTGTGCTAGGCGAAGTGAACGATAAATGAAATAATTAGAGTGGAAAATAAGATTGTGTATATAGGAATTCAGTACAATGTCAAAGAGATAAAAATTAAATAATATCTAACAAAAATTGTTACCTAAAGAATGATTCCCCGCTAACACAAAACTAATTGAAGAAGAGTATAAACCATGTATTAAAAAAATCGGGGTTTTTCCAGGTTTTGGGATACGAAATACTTTTAAATAATAATGATCCTTGGTTTCTACTTGGTATTCTTCGATGGTGTAACCGCGTCTTTGAACAATTTCAGCCTAAAATTAATAAAAACAATCTAACTTAATATAATTTATATAATATTACTTACTAATTCCGAATGTTGATCTGGATTGTAATAACAATCTTTATCCGTGTAATAACCATCCCAAGAATGACAAACATTATGTTTGTGTGAAAGACTAACAACAATTTTAAGAAAAATGGCACTTAATATGACTGTTAACACTCTCCTGTCGATCATTTTGCTGTGAGCGTTCGATTAAAACTCAACAAATATACTTACCACCATGGTTGTTTGTGGTCTTGTTGCAAAACAGGCTAATAGCATTGACCCGAAAGAAAAATTATTCAAGGATATTAAGAAAGAGTTTGGAATATTACTGAGATAATTAAAGTCAATTCGTCTTTAAACCGGTGCATTTATTAAAACAAACAAAATTAACTGGTTAAAAAAATATTTATTTATTTAATATGTACAAACAAAGTCAGTTATGTTCTTTTTTTAATACTGCTTACAAACTATAATTTTTACAAACCACTAAAATAAACTTAAAAAAAATCACCAAAGGTGATGATGATGTCCATGATGATGATCATAATGGACATGTTTGGTGATAACAACCGGTTTGACAACCGGAACAGGATGCGGTACCGGAACCGGATAAGGTTTGGCTACCGGAACAGCATAAGGAGCAGGAACCGGTACTCCAACGTGTTTAACAACCGGATATGGCACCGCATGTGGTACCGGAACTGGTACTGGACGATCAACAGGTACTGGAACATGTCTTTCAATATGTACTGGATACGGTTTAGGTACAGGAACCGGATAAGGCCTATCAACTGGAACAGCAACTTTCACTGGAACAGGAACTGGTACTGGTCTATCAACAGGAACCGCAACTGGATGTGGAACTGGGACAGGAACATTTTTAACGACTTCCGTATGAGCGTGAACATGCGCGTGGGAATGGGGAAGATGAAGATGTCCATCTAAAAGGTGTCCATCGAAATGTCCATGGTGGATATCGTCGTGGAGATGAACATCGTGATGACCATGTAAAGCGTGGCCGTGGAAAGCATGGCCGTGAAAAGCGTGACCATGAATAGCGTCACCATGAAAACTATGCGCGTGAATTCCATGTCCGTGAAGATCCAAATGATCCGCATGTCCATATCCCAATCCTAAAAGCCCACGCTTTTCATGTTTCTTTTCGGGGAGTTCCTCACCGAAAACCGTACCCAATACCAAACAGATTAGTACCTTAAACAAAAGCAAAAAGAAATTCTTTAATTTTGGCCAAAAAGTAATCTATTTAATTCAAAAAACGTAAACCGTATCGACGGCATCCGATATGAGGCAATCGAAGCGGCAGTTTTTTTTCAAAAGGATCTCGAACGGTGCCATAAAATACTTTCACCACCTGCCTCCGTTTTACAATGTCACCGTTTGCATCCATAATCAGGCGGTCGGCATTGCAAAACGGAAGCTTTATTAGCGCAATAGCTTCGTGCTAAGAACAATCGTGAGGTTGATATGCTGAGGATTAAAGCTATATTACCAATTTCAATTGAAAACAAGATTCTATCTGAGAAGTGTTAGCAGGATTTTGTAATATATACAATTAAGAGAAGGGAATTTATTAGAGTAAAACGTCGGCTTCGGAGATAACGGACAAAATATTTTTAAGTCATACTATTAATATTATCTATTTAATACATTAGTATACTTAAATATAAATGATATAAATCCAACTCTGGTTACCCTTCAAGTTGCTCTATTTCATGCTCATAGATAAAGTCGGGGTATTCCCAGAGCTGTCTATACGATGTATAAATCAATTACGGTAGTTCTAGTTTTAATTGTTGTTCAGCATTAGATTCTCATATCTTTTTCATTGAACTAAAACTAGAACTAACACTAGACCTAGAACTAGAAAGTTTCGGGTTTAGCGGTGCGTCTAAATCTCTAAAAAGTTTTCTAAAAACGGCTAAATCCGAATGTTTCTATTTCTAGGTCTAGTGTAAGTTCTAGTTTTACTTCAATACAAATGTCCAACAATCTAACGGTCAATAACAATTAAAACTAGAACTAACACTAGACCTAGAACTAGAAACATTCGGATTTAGCCGTCTTAAGAGACGTACGGCTAAACCCGAATGTTTCTAATTCTAGATATAGTGTTAGTTCTAATACTAGTGTTAGTTCTAGTTTTAGTTGTTATTAGGCGTTAGATTCTTGTATGTTTTTCATTAAACTAAAACTAGAACACTAGACCTACAATTAGGAAGTTTCAGATGTAGCCATTTAGAGTCTTTAAACTGCAAATTAAGGACTTTTATTTTCAGTAAATCCAAATCTTTACAATGGTTCCAAAAACTTAAATCACTTTTTCAGCATTTTTTTGAAGAATACTAATAATTCTTTACGTTTTTTAAATAATATTGAAAGAAAAAGCTTTATCAACTTTGGAGTCTTCCAACTATATATATATTTTCACTGAATCTTATTGAACTTTTATTACTTACCAAAGTCCTCATGGTTGTATCACTTAATAGACCAAAGAACTTCAGGTCGAATGTCAACTGACTTGGTGTATTCCTCCAACTAAATTATATACAAACCTCCCCCACTAGAAAAATTAGAATAGTGTATATACAATACAGTCAGGGTAATCTTGATAAAAACTGATGTAGGAGCTGAATGGCTTTCTCCACCTCCTCCTCCTCCACGTTCTTTGCGTAGCTTCCTTCTTATTGTTTCACCACATCGGAGCTTCTTCTAATTCTGCTCGTCGAATCGATTCAATAAAACCTAAACGGAATATCGCACGTACGCGACTATGTCATCTAATGGGTCTAAATTAATTCAATCGAAAACGTGTTTTATCAAAATGTATTAGGTATTTGACTTTCTTTTTGATTTGGAGTGATTTAGGTTGATTTTGGTATCAATTATAGCACACCCATAATTTTTTCATCAAAATAACTTTTCAAATTTATTTAAATAGCCGCCGATTTTATTTTCACGACCTTTCTTCGTTTCACCAACTTTTCCCAATAATTTTTCATCATGTTAAACCTACATTTCTTTTCCCATTGAATTTTAATAAGAAGCCGAATACGAATAGAATAAATCTTCATAATTCCAATAGATCCGTTTCGTTGTTTTTTATTTTCTTGGGAATTATTGATGTGATCTTAGAAAGTGACTAAATATAGGAGAAGCATAAAGTTATTAATTGAATCCCTATAAGTAGTAACTAAGTGGAACGATCGAGTGCACGTTACCGCTTCAATGATGCAATAAATTTCTTCTTCTTCTAGAAGGTGCAAGGTCTCTATTATGGAGTGTTTGAAAGTAGCTTAGTTTACCATATCGAAGCGACCGGTACGTTCTAGCGTACGATAACATCTGCAATAACTGCACCATGCATTTGGAAGAAAAAATTTGCGTAATACGATTTTGTGCACTTCCTGTTTAATTTGTATATCGTAGTTTGTAACAAAAAATTCGTTTTTCATGATACAAATTGTAAATATTGAGTTGTATTAAGGTATGATTTCAAAAAGTTACGTATTTATTTCCTATAGTTACTACAGAAAAAACTATAAATATTTATCGAAGCATTTCGGTTTGTACGACTGATGAAAGCGACTTGGCGTTGTATTGGGAATTTCAATGTGAGATTTATAGGAAATGTACTAAATAACATATTTGGGGCAATCCGATTTGACGATCGCAATAAAAAACCTGTGTAATGATTTATTCTAATAATCCACAAATGTCAAGTGGACATTAAAAGTGAAAGGATTGAATGTATTGTTAGAAAAAAAATAATCAATCTTAGTACTGGAATAAAAAATTATTGATTAAAAAACAGTAGTAAAGATCAGAGTTAAGATTTATTTCATTAAGATAGATTATTATAACCTCTAACATTATAATATTATAACACATACATGGAAGATGAGATCAATAATTGATTATGGTGTACTTATGTTAATAACAATCTGCAATACATAATTATCAAAAATGGTATTAAATCAAGTATTAAATCTACATCTGTGAGTATTGTAGATACAAATTTAATGAAGCAATTTAACCTTCCTAAAATCAAATCTATTAAGACAAGAACCACTTAGAATTTGGAACTTTAATAAATAGATATTTTTGATAGATACTTTTGATGATGCAGTTATTGAGAACTGAAGAATTGCTTCTAAAGTTAATTTTTCGTAATCAAAAACCTTTCAATTTTGAATTGTTTTGTGATGATCTTGATAACATTATGCTTCTTCTTCATCTTATGATATTGGGTCTACTAAATCCACCGTATATTATTACTTAATTAATGCTGAGGAACTTGATAATAAGCTTTGTCTTCAAACCACTTGGTTATCAGTTGTAGTTCTTGCGAATATGAGTTTGTATAAACAAACATCTACTTACTGATTGATGGTAGTCAATAAGAACATGAAGTTAGATCCTGAACCAGACATACTATCAGCGGAAATGGGCATTACAAATCAAGGATGTGAAGAAATACCAGATGTTTCGCTGGGTATCGCTGGTCTCCGGTTTCGAGAAGATTGAATTTGCTCTAAGAAAGACCAGAAATAATAGGACGCAGAATCGGTGGTCCCTGCTTGCTCCAGAAAATAAGAGTCTGTTTTAACCTCTGCCTGTTTAACAGTACAATACCGAGTAAATGGCATAACGCCATGGCAATATAGTTTCACAAAAAAGCCGACTAGGATAAGACAATAAGCCTTCTGAATCACCTCTATAAACTATTCTCAAGAATACTAATCACCAGACTTGAAAATAAACTAGAACATTACCAGCCACCGGAACAGGCGGACTTTCGTACCGGATTTGGAACCAACGATCACCTGCAGGCTATTGGTGCTGGCTTTTGTTGACTTCCAGAAGGCTTTCGATAACGCTGAGATGGGCGCGGTCTTGGAAGCATTAAGAGAATGCCGCATCGATAATCGATACTCAAAACTAATTTACAACATCTACAGAAAAGCGACTATGGTGGTATAACTACATGATGGGCCAAGGCAGGGTGGCACGATGTCTCCTAAGCTATTTACCACAGCCCTGGAATATGCATTCAAGAAGCTGGACTGGGAGAATAAGGGCATAAACATTGACGGTCGAAGGTTAACAAACTTACGCTTTGCGGATGATCGCTGATAATCTCGGTAACATTAAACTGATGCTGCGTGAGCTGGAAGAAGTGTGTGCATCGGTTGGTCTAGAAATCAATATCTCTAAAGCAAAATGTATGACCAATCTGGTTCTCAGAGAAAACATTGTGATAGAAGAAAAAAAAATTGAACTAGTGGATATGTACACTTATCTTGGCCTTGAAATTAAAATCACAAGAGACAACCAGATCTGCGAACTAAGGAAGAGAAAAGTCCTCTCATGGGCAGCATATGGTAAACTCAGAGATGTGTTTAAGAGCAACCTACCAATATGTTTAAAAAGAAAAGTGTTCAATCACTGCGTGTTGTCGGTCATGACCTATGGGGCAGAAACACTGACCTTGACCATAATATCTACCAACAGGCTTAGAACAACAAAAGATCAATGCTCGGACTATCGCTAAGAGATCACGTTAGAAATGAGGACTTGCGCCGAAAAACAGGCGTGACAGACGTAATTAAGATCAAAGGTGGACGAAAATGCTGTTGGAATGGAGACTTCGATTTACTAATAACTGGATCGACGAGATAGCTTTAGAGACAAAATTAAGATCTTGAGAGTTTGGTTTAATGAACATCATTAATTTGTTGAATACATTCGAGCTTTCTACGGAGAGAACCAGAAACAAAAAGTACAACTTGGTGCTATTTATATTTAATTATCGCGACTTGATTTGTCTTCTTTACGGTTCATTTATGATATTCGTAGAAGGGAGCTGATATTACACTTGCATTATAGTCATAATGGCTTAATATGGGACCACAAAGAACTCGCCACAAAATTATCTTGTACAAATTCCACCTTATCCATATGACAAAATTAGTTTCAACTCAGCTGTTAACCTTACATAACCTTTTTGCTCGGGTTACATTATTTATTATAGTAATTTAGAATGTATTCCATATTCTGTGGGATTAAGATGTGACACATCATCTTCAAGATTAACATGATATGTATTATATCTCATAATTATTGCATGATTGCCTATAAATCATAAAAGATGGAATATATCTCCAATAATTGGTAAATGTATTAATTCATTCCTGTAATTCATTAAAGATAGGTAATGTATTGTAGAAAAACTTTATGTACTGATTATTACCAAGGATTAAATGTTTCTTTATCATAAAGTACCTCTCTAAAACTAAAACCTCTCTCTTCTTTTAGAGCGATTTAAGCGAATTATAAATTAAAAACAAACAGAAATAACCCATGTGGGGACAGGGGGTTTCGTACAATCCGGCTGATGTGTGTACCAGACTGTACGTCGAGCCTTTATTTTACCTACATAAAGGAATAAAGGCGCTACGTCCAGTCAGGAACACACACCGGCGCAATCTTTTCCGATTGGAAGGGTACTTTTTTATTTAACTCGCAATAAAAGGAAAACTGTGCGGTAGAAAATGTTGATATATGTTATATAGAAATGTTCAGTGATTAAAATAAACTTTACCTTAATTTTTTTCACGCGAGATCGATATCTTTATCTAAAGTGAGGCCTTGACTTTTGGAACGGATAGTAGAGAAAAGTTAAGATGCAGCTTATCTCCCACTAATTATGAAAACACTACTTCTTCTTCGGAGGTAAGACGCATTCTATTGCTCTCATTATAAGTGAAAAGTTACTAATAAGCCATTAAAGATTAACTACGTCTTCTGTCCATGAGAAGACAAAACATTTACCCAAGACTTACCAATGATGGAAGACAGATTCAATCTTCTTAAGGATTAAAATAAAATATTTCAACATGATCAACAAATCTAAGCACTTAGTATGAACACCTTCAATTATTAATATTTATTTATCACAAAGAAGATTATAAAGATGTAACATATCTTTCAATTGACATTGTGTTTCACGTTAATAACAGAAAATACTCTTCCCCTTCACAATATTGGTCTTAATCTTAGGATTAAGGTGGAGAGGGGCTCATCATCCCAACGGGGATCCCCCTCCGCCTTCAAACATCAGTTCTGATACTAGATCGTCAAGGTGTATGTATTAAAACATTAAATGATAAAAATTAATTAATGAGCTCGCATTAATCTGCTTTAGACTTAAGAGAATGTGCTACGCACATCAGGATGGGGATTGAAGGGAGCCCTTCGTCCCAATGATGATTCTTCTTATACAGGTTTTCAATTTTCAGCTGTTTAATTCAGATGTCTATCAGTTAGTCGATTCTTTCTTTCCTGACGGTGTTCGGGGGATGATGCGCATCCATTTCACTTTTCTACTCCCTTAGTATACTTGTCACAAAAGTAAACATTTTTAGCCATGCTGTTTCGCTGGCTATCATACGCCCAACAATTGTGCCAGGCGTTATGTTTTTGCTGATTTCGGTTTCCAACTCGTCTCGAGCCACTTTCCATCTGTGGCACTTGAACAGAGTGTGCTGAGCATCGTCGTATTTAGCGTAAAGATGAATCCGAAGTTCTGTAGGACGCCTCTCCTCTGAGTAGTAAGCTACTATCTATTAGCCCACCTAGGATTTGAATTTTGATATAACGGAAGGTTGAGACGCAGTTCAGATTCCTGCAATGAATACTACATTCCATCTTCTTCAGGGTTAAGAAGTTCCACCTTGTGTTATCCTCAAAAGTATTGCGATGCAATACATTTTGTGTAATGTAAAATTAATTACTCTTCTTTCAAGAATAAGATTCATACTCTTTTCTCAAGATATGGATGAAATATTTCTGCGTCTCAGTATGTAGTTTTTCTATAATCCATGAAAGATTGAGTGTATCTTTAGGTAGCAGTATAATGTAATCAATTTTGCTCGGAATAGATATTAAGACGATTTGGTTTTAAATGATATTTTCTCCAATTTTTCAGGATTAAGATGTATTTCATCATACTCCAGTATACAGTTCATGAAAGAACAATACATGTTTACATGTTAATTGAGAAAATACGTCATCTTCCTTAGGATTACCATGTCTTCAAGCTTCCATTATGTCCAAGAATAGAAAAATATTAGAAACTCTTATAGTTCAAAATGTACATTTACCTATATTACTCAAGATTAATACCTTACATTATTATTTAAACATATACCTAAAGCAATTAAATCTAAAAAAACCATCCTCTTAAAATATTTTATCACCTGCAAATGTCTTTCTATTTACCAACCCAATTTCAACACTACTTAGCATCATTTTTATAACAGTTCTAATCTATGCAAATAACCATGACGAAAAAAAAAAATAAACAAAAATGTGAAGAAAAGAAATATTTTAACCAGTCACAATTATTTAATTATAACTCATTCAATTTCCTCCAACAATTTAAAATAGAAAAAAAAATAAATAACAGGAAAATTATCTTAGAAACCGAACGCAATGTATTGTTTACTCTTCAATATGTCAGTGACCGTATATTCAAAATAATACCACCATTGTTACACAAGGTTGCGTGGAACGGTTAAGTTAAATTAGCGTAACTTTCCTAAAATTGTCTAGCATTACGTTTAATGTCACGGTCGTTGGCGTCTCTTCTTTTTTTTTCTTTTTTTCGTTTCCATTTGAAGAAAATTTACTGAAATTATATCAAATTCGAAACGGTTTATATTGATTGATTTGAACGACATTAAAAAGAAATTTATTTTCTCTTATCTCGAATCTTATGGAACCAGAAGAAAATTCTCTCTCAACGTTGTTGTAGTGGTAGTAGTTTCTTCATGTTCGCGACATCCATAAACATTCGCTACGTAACTTGCTCCAAATGGTCACTATACCCACTTACATAAGGGAGTGGTCACTTTTTTCTTTTACTTAAATGTTACGTTTTACTGGTCGTTTTTGTAGATATCGCAACAATGAAGAATTATTTTTGAATTTTTAAAAAGCTTAAGGTATTTGAAAAAGGTGTGAAAACGAAATAAATGAAAGGGAATTTTAAGTATTTAAAAGAAAAAGTATTACAAAAAATAATGATTTTGAATGATCTCGTATTGCACTGTTTCTTCTCTAGAAATGTTTGTCTCAATAAACAGTGAAAGTTGCGTGGACTCGGAGAGTCACAGCATCTCTGAATTCACGCATCTGTAGCCGTCGTCGCCGACTCCTCCCTTCATCACTTCCAAACTGGAGGTACCAGTTGGTGAGCTATATAAACCAAAAGTTTGGTTGAGAAAACCAACAGTTCGTTCGGATACACAAACAAGATAACATGAAGATATTTCAGGTAAAAAAATATCTTTTTTGAAAAAGATTTGATTTAAAAATAAATCTATTTTAGGCTATTTTCGTAGCTTCGTTGGTTCTTGGAGTTCTATCAGAAGAACCATCCAAGAAAGAGAAACGAGGTATTCTCCATGGATCCGGCGGATACAATTCAATCGGTGGAGGATATAGCTCTATAGGTTCATCTTATGGAGGATACTCTTCAGGTGGGGGAGGATATGCAGTTGGAGGTGGAGCAGGAATTGGTCTCGCAGCTGGAAGACTTGGAGCTGGTGGACTTGGAGCTGGTGGACTTGGAGCTGGTGGACTTGGAGCTGGTGGACTTGGAGCTGGTGGACTTGGCGCTGGTGGATTTGGTGGTGGTTTAGGAGGAGGTGGTGGAATTACCCAAAACACTCAATCAGTAAGCACCGTAAACCAAGCAATCCCACTTCCGGTCCAAGTGCCAGTTCCAGTCACAGTTAATCGAGCGGTCGCAGTTCCAGTCCCTGTTCAAGTGCCAGTTTCCGTTCCAAGAGCCGTTCCTGTTGTGGTTCCTCAACCCGTTCCAGTAACAGTAACCAGAACAGTGCCATACGTCGTCGCAAGACCAGTTCCAGTGCCAGTACAAAGACCAGTCGCAGTTCCAGTACCACAAGCAGTACCAGTTTCGGTACCTCAACCCGTTCCAGTCGTTGTTCCACAACCTGTTCCAGTTAGAATTAGTACTCCAGTAGTCGTTGCTCAACCAGTTGCTGTCGCAGCGGGTCCAGCTATTGGAGGCTTTGGAATTGGAGGAGGATTCGGAGGAATTGGAGGAGGAATTGGTGGAATTGGTTTAGGAGGTGGATATAGTGTTGGAGGAGGTGGTTATGGAGGAGGATATGTTGGTGGATTCGGAGGAGGATATGGTGGCCATGGTGGAGGAGGTTATGCTATTTCTTCTGGAATTGGTTTGGGAAAATACGGAGGGATTGCCAAAGCTTGGTAAAAAATGTCTGAGATATTAATGATTAATGATCTTTTTAATGATGGGAGATGTAGATATAGTGATTTAGATCGTAACATCTTTTTATTGTAAATAATTTTGTATTTTTATTGTATAAAATAAAATATTTAATGTTATTTTTTGACTTTTACTTAACAGAAAATCATAACCTTTTCAAATGTCATTGAACGTTATCTTTTGACTTCCCTTAATTTTAATTTTGTTACTTCTAGTTAATTTTAGAAGTTTTATCATTTTCAGTAATGATCCAAAAGATCGTGGTAAGAAATTTTAAACTTAGCTAAACCCAAAACTAAAATGTATCCAGCTTTTTAGTTTCTTCCTGATTCTTTTGTCAAATAACTCAAACGAGTACCCAAAACTCCCCCAAAAACGGATTTTTGAAGATGTCAGAAATAATTTTGATGTTCCAATGGAGGAAGATCAAGTTTACGAAGAAAATTTTAAACATCTTGGTCAACAGAGGAAAATGCCAGTAAATGTTCCTATTACATTTTCAAGATTTATACCGATATCAATCCCACCACCTCCTATTAAAGTTCAAAAAACCTTACCAATAATAATAACTCGCCCAGCACCAATAAATATCCACGCAGGGTTAGAGCCAAAAATTTCTTTTCCTGGTTATAGTGGTTATGGTTATCCTTGCGGATCAAGAATTGAATTTCCAAGATCAAAAAGGACAACAAATTAATTTTAAATTTAATTTTCATTTTTAAATCTTACAACCTGATATCACAAAATTTAATGCAGATAAACAATAGGAAAAGTAACCCCATCACCCACACTCGTCATAACTGGTATACACCATAAACACCAATTATAACCAAACACTTCTAAAAAATTATCGCAAGCTCCCAAATTAAACGTAATATCTTCAGAGTATTCATTTGGTTGCATAACTTCCAAAGTGGTGTCATTGTTTAGCAATAACGTCATGTGGAAAATGAAGAGGCAAAAATCAGCGATCCCAGCACAAAAAAGAAGAAATGTTCTGCAAAAGAGTGGTGATTAAAAATAATTTTTTTGATTGTTTTGCTTACAATGTCACGTATTGGACTTCATTATACTTGATTTCTTGTAAAGAATGGAAAAATTCTAAAACGTATTCAGCTGTTGTGAAGGAGTAAAAGAAACAATAAATATAAAGACTTATTAAGAGCAATATAAAGATTTTGTAATTTCCAAAACCCACGCAATTATTAACCCAAGGGCAATGATGGTCCATTTTTAAAATACATCTTCCACAAGATGAACAATGATGGGTTCTATCTGGTTTTATTAAATTACATTTCAAACAATACCTTAAAAAAATACTTATTTTTAATTAATTTAATTAATTAAAATTTCTTTTACCTAATTAATCCACCCTTTCTTGTATACGTTCTTATCCTTTTTCTTACACATAACGTTTGAAGGAAATTTCTTAATTCTAATCTATTTTTAGATAATTTATCGATTTGATCCGATTCGTTATATGTTAATCCATATTCGTCGGGAACATCTTCAGTTTGAACTCCGATGCACGCAAAGTAAAAGACGGTTAAATTAATCGCAAAAATGTGGTAAAAAACTAAATAAATCGTCCGTTTGGTTGTTGTTGGAACTTTAAAAATGCAAATTTCCACCACGTAAACGTAATAGGAATAGAAAAAAATTATCACCATTAATATTGGTACTGCAATTCCCATTAATTGGGTGTCAATGTTTGACGTTTTTTGTCATATAACATTTTTATCAATCATTTCATAATCATTAATTAAAATTTCAATCAAAAAAAATCTTAATGTTGTTATCTTAAAATAATTTGTATCAGAATTTTTGGAAAACAATTATTATTTAAAACTGTGGCTAACTAAAGATGGTATCCGTTTCCGTTCTGATTTTGCGAAAAGCCGGATACCGGATATCCGGCCGAAGGGGATGCCGATTATCCGGCATATCTATCCGACCATTATGATTATAATTTCTGGTGTATTTCTGAAGTGATACCCTATATTGCTACATTATTGCGATATTAGAATAAAAATGAAATTAATAAGAAAGCTGATAAGATATGTCAACTTATTTGGATCCAAGATACAAAATCAACTTTTTTGATACCTGATTCAACTAACGAAGCAACTCTAAAAACAGGATACTATTATTAATAATTGATGATATTTCCATAAGAATTCTTCTAGAAATTAATTTTATAGCGAATTTTGAAAGTTATCAATGAAAATTTCATCAAAACTTCAAATATTGTTTTCTCAAAAACTAAAGGCTATTTTTCAAAATGGGTTAGTTCATTGGAAAGAGGACACTTTTATTAACATTTTGGGAAATTTTCATACTCATATTCCAAGAACTGGATTTTATACGAATTTTTGAAACTTAATCGACGAAAATTGCAAAATTCGAAAAAATTATCGATCATTTCAATAATGTATTTCTTAAAAACTAAAACCGAATTTTCAAAACAGCTTATTGCATTAAAAAGAGGATATTTTAATTAATAATTGGTGACATTACCACAAGAATCCTTCAAGAAATAAATTTTATAGCGAATTTTGAACGTTATCGATGAAAATTGTAACACCGAAAATTTTATCAAAACTTCAAATATTGTTTTCTCAAAAACTAAAGGCTATTTTTCAAAATGGGTTAGTTCATTGGAAAGAAGACACTTTTATTAACACTTTGGGAAATTTTCATACTCATATTCCAAGAACTGGATTTTATACGAATTTTTAAAACTTAATCGGCGAGAATTGCAAAATTCGAAAAAATTGTCGATCATTTCAAAAATTTATTTCTCAAGAACTAAAAGTGATTTTTTAAAACGGCTTATTGCATTAAAAAGATGATATTTTAATTAATAATCGAAAGTGATAACAGCGACAGTTCTGTTATTAATGAATGTGATGATGAATTACAAGCAAAGAGAAGAAAACTAGAGGAAACTGCAACAAGAGATATTATATATCGTATTGGGATTGTTACAGTGAGGTTCCTAATGGTAAATAAAGTTGTATTCAATGAAAAAAGTCCTATTGGGATTGAACTTGATTATTATCTGCACTGTCCAACACCTAAAAGAGATACTAATTCCTGTGAATGGTGGAGTACTAAGTAATAGGTTTTTAATATACCAAAATATTTGGTAACTATCCGGTATCCGGGCGGATTTTAAAAAATTGCGGGATATCCATTCCACCACTAGTATCCGTTATTTAAGAATTAAGAGTTAAGAAATTGTTCATGAAGTGTCTTACTCCAGATCTACTGCAATGTACAAAAATGTTTTGCTTCTAAATCTTATCTTTTACTCGAGGTCTCTTGCAAATTGTTAACGATGAAACGAATTCGGGAAAACGACGTTACTTCAAATTATAGCTGTATATAGCATACCACATGCTATAGCTGGGGTCTGTATGTTGCAAACCACAAATAAAAAACTACATGCCATTGTTTTAGGAGGTGTGCTGTTAAATACAGCCGCAATACAGGCAGCATACTGTAAATCATAGCTACCAACCAACTGCTATCCTGAAAAATAATCGAAAGTTACAAATTACAAACTGCAAGCGATTAGTATATACCGGATACTGCAAAGTATAGCAAAAGACTGAAAACTGCAGGTCCAGATTGTAAACTACAAATCATAACTGCAGAGGATACACCACAGCTCAGATCTAAAAACTGCAGAATGAATACTAATCACAAACAGAATTACGAAAAGGTCACAATTGATTGACCAAATGCCTTCGATTAGGCATCAACTACCTACTCCTAATTGTCCCCCAAAATATCTTTCATTTTTACCAACTTGCAGCTATTCTCAATACCTTAAATCATTAAGCTCCCAGTTGCATCGACTACTTTTCGCCTTTAAATAATAACTAGCTGCCAATACTTGTTCATTACTTCGAATGCCTCTAAGAAGCAAAAATTATTTCTCAACAATCAGGAATAAAATACAAATGTGGAACCCGACCTGTAGTAGTTATGCGAAGAAATCCATGCTTTAATCCTGAATCGTGAGACCAAGAAACTAGCAGAAAGAAAATGTATAAAATATCTACATTACTCGAATGATTATTAGGCATAAATTAACAACAAACGAAACTGTTGCAGAAAGTGGTTACAGTTTTTGTCAAGGCAAAAATAACGCAATTTAACTTATAAAATTACCATAGATTTTATGCTGTAAGAAAATATCTGGATTTACACTGCCAAAACTTTGAATTGTAAGGAATAGCTTGGAATTACACTGCAAAACTCTAAACTGCAAGAAAATGTTTAGAAACATAATAAAAATTTATTGTTTCACAGAAGGTTGCAATTTAAATTTACCTAGTCCCTTCCCCAGCCTCTCCCTGTCTCTATACGTCTTCTTGCTACCCCCATCCATCTCTGTCCATCCGTTTATTCCAGCACCTGCCACCAATCCATCTCCTCCTCCCTCAGCACACTACACTTCACCAGCAGATGGTGTAAAGACTCTCCTCATCCTCCATCCGATATGTATTGGCTCTTTCTTCATTGCCACATCTAAACCTAGCTACCAACCTCTTCCCCTCCGTCATCAGGTACTTCGGTAGCCCCTCCGCTACAATTTCGCCATATTTTGGCTTGTACCTATATTCCCTTATCTCCATCCCTCTCTCTTGCATTCCCAAATCCCTGTCTCTGCGTTCCAGCTGTCTCAATCCCTTCCTTTCTTTTCCTGTTCACTTCTTCCGTTGAATATCTCACCCTTTCTCGCTGCCCATAATGACCCTTTCCTGCCTCAATCTGTTTGTAGCACTCCCCCAAGATTTACTACACAATGCACGCTTCCTCTCGTCCTCTCCTCAAAGCCTTAAAAAAAAGCCTCAAGCCTTATCTACCTTCATTTCCTCCCTGAGTATGTAAAAGAAAATATTTACAATTGCACTGCCCAAAGTTGATTGATTTTTTTGTTGATCTTTGTTCATTAATTTGGGAAGGATTCTCTGTATGATTTCTTCCCTACTTTAGTTTAGTGCGGAATGTTTTCAGTGGTCCGAGTTTGTTTCGGCCAATTGAAACCATTGTTTAAATTAAGAGCACTCGAAGCGAAGTGTTTAAACTTTCAAACGGAATAAAAGACTAAGAGTTAGTAATGAGCGAGGAAGAGTCCCAAAAACAGAGTGCGGTAGAGAGTTCCAAGAGTGGAGTTGAGTGAATTTTTTGAGTTGGAGTTCCAAGAGTTTTTCCATTGGAGTCCAGAGAAGTAGTTCTGCGAAATAAGTAGTTTCCAAGGAGTAAGATTGTAACGCTCCCAAAACGAAACAAGGTATTCTAGTCCAGTGTAGAGTAGTCCAGAAACCAGAGTAGAAAAAGAAGAATAGAATTGAAATTTTCAGTTAAGCGAATTTATTGTTGAGAGAAACCCAATGCAAAATGAGATTAGAAACACTTTGTAAATAATTTTAATTAACAATTGTACTAATAGCTTACGTTCTATTTGCTGGTACAACTTTTGGCGTTGTTGAGAGTAACATTTGGCACGCAAACACAAGGCAGCTATTCCAGACTGGGTTATCGTTGAGGCGCAGAACTACAATGATTTTCAAGATAATTTCAATTTGTATCAACCTGCGAGTATAGTATATCTAGATATGCTTCCCAATCACGCAATAAAAAGAAGTGATGAGGGGAATTACTTTAGAAACGACGGGTTGGGAAATTTGCGCGTTGCAGTGATGCTAGCAGCAACTGGTGATGGGGAAAAATTGCCGCCATTATTAATATTGAGAAGAAAAACCATTCCGAAATTCGAAAGAAGTCTTTGTTAGGGCGCAGCACAGAGTATGGATGATGTTAGAATGGTTAATACAAGTATGGAGTCGTAAACGCCGTCAATAATTGCCCTTGGTTCAGTAAGCGGACTTCTTGTCGTGATACCTGGTGGAATGGCATCCATACAACAACCTGTGGATGTGTGTATTAACAAACCCTTTAAAAGTAAAATGAGAAAGCAATATTTAAAAAGGATTGCAGATTTTGTTCGAGAATTAACAAAAACGGGAATTAAACGGGTTAAGCAGAGCTTCTGAACTTACCCAACTGTTCGCCATCAGTTCTNTACAAAGCGTCGTTGAACCGCTTCGATGCGATCACGATAGACCGCGTACATAGGATTCCACACTATGGAACCATAGGATAATACGCTATTAACAAATGCCATATAAAGGGATTTAATGCTTGTAAAATTGGTAAACTGTCTACTTATTCTGATAATAAACCCTAGGTTACGCAGGGCTTTCGCCACCATGACTTCGATGTGAAGGTGATATCTCAATTTGGCATCAAGTATAATGCCAAGATCCTTCACTCTGTCAGTAGAGATAATAGGTCTACCATTAAAGTTGTAATTAAAATTAATAGGATAGCGTTTCCATGTAAACGTTATTTTTTGGCATTTGTCATAGTTCAAATAAAGTTTGTTAACGCGACAGTAATCATGTAGACAATCAAGGTCCTCCTGGAGCCTTAGGCAGTCATGACTAGAGCTGACTCTAGTAAATATTTTATTATCATCCGCATAGAGCAGGAATTTGTCCAGTCCAGAGAAGTAGTTCTGCGAAATAAGTAGTTTCTAAGGAGTAAGATTGTAACGCCCCCAAAACGAAACAAGGTATTCTAGTCCAGTTCAGTTACGGCGGGAGTCCAGATGTAGAGTAATCCAGAAACCAGAGTAGAAAAAGAAGAATAGAATTGAGATTTTCAGTTAAGCGAAGTTATTGTTAAGAGAACCCCATTGCAAAATGAGATTAGAAACCCTTTGTAAATAATATTAATTAACAATTCTACTAATAGCTTACGTTCTATTTGCTGGTATAAGTTTTGGCGTTGATGAGAGTAAGGTATGGCTGTTACGCAAACATAAGGCAGCTATTCCACACAGTCAGGCATCGCGCAAAAAAAATTTAATGCTAGCTAAGGTTGGTTTATGCGCTGAATGGGGTTATCGTTGAGGCGCAGAACTACAATGATTTTCAAGATAATTTTAATTTGTTTCAAACTGCGAGTACAGTATATCGAGATATGCTTCCCAATCACGCACTAAAAAAGAGGAGATGAGGGAAATTGCTTTAGAAACGAGTGCTTGTGAAAAATTGCGCGTAGCAGTGGTGCTAGCAGCAACCGATGATCGGGGGATATTGCCGCCATTATTAATATTGAGAGGAATAACCATTCCGAAATTCGAAAGAAGTCTTTGTTAGAGCGCAACAAAAAGGATGGATGACGGAAGCGCTGAATGATTAACACTAGTATGGAGTCGTAGACGCCGTCAATAATTCGTCCAATAAGACGTCCTTGGTTCAGTAAGCGGACTTCCTGTCGTGATACCTGGTGAAATGGCATCCATACAACAACTTGTGGATGTGTGTATTAACAAACCCTTCAAAAGTAAAATGAGAAAGCAATATTTAAAAAGGATTGCAGATTTTGTTCGAGAATTAACAAAAACGGGAATTAAACAAGCTCTGCTTCTGAACATGCCCAACTGTTCGCCATCAGTTCTTGAGGGCTGTACGAATGGTGAATTATGCACAAACTGCTCGCAATATGTTTTTTGGTGGCTATGCACCTTAAGAGTTCTCCATACACTTTAGAAAGTTTTAGACAGCAAACCAAATCGATAAGCTCTATGTGTTTTAAAACCCTATATTATTTTGTATTGAATTAAATAATTCTTAACATAATTACATCAAAATTTGTTGAATTATATCTAAGTTAAACTTATTATTATTAATATAGACAATACATATTGTTGAAATAAAACAAATCATATAATAATTATATTTGTTAATGAATTAGTTTGTTACAAAAGAAAACAACAACAATATTAATAAAATAACTAAAACTTGTTCACAATCATCAATGATTATTTTTCATATAATGCTCATAAAACTGAAGGAAAAGATTTCTACTTGGAACATGGGCTTTTAATTTACTGCATAACATAAAAATTCCAGACAATTTCCTATGCAACGAATAAATTTCTTCTGGAGGCGGACATAAACGTTGACTAACAATTGTTGGAACTAAACTTTGTAATCTTTCCGTTGTATTGTGTTGGGCAAAATCATAATTACCTTCACATCTAAATATTTCGCCCAAAATCATAACAGCATCAACGTGCGCATTTTCCATTGACTAAAATTAAAATTAATTTTTTTAAAACTTACAATTTTTCAATAACTTACTTTGGTTTCATATCCAGTTAAAAATCCAATATCTCTAGAACCTTGTAAAACTGATTGTCGATCATCATCAGCGGCGGCTTTAATAATCTTAATGTATCGATCAATAAATTCTTTAGAGTATTCTCGACTTGCTCCAAAATCAAGCAACAAAAGTTTCTTATTTTTAGCGTCATAAAGAAAATTAGCCCAATTTGGGTCAGTTTGCATATATCTAAATTCGAATAACTCCCTCAAAATTAACTCCAAGATTTTTGTTGCAATAAAATCTCGGTCTTCTTGACTCATATCTTTGCATTGATCGACGGGGACGCCTTCTAACATTTCCGTTGTAAAAACTTGTTTAGTTGAAACATCTTCGATTACATCTGGTACGAAATAATCGGGATATGGTTTTAATAAATCTTTAAATTTCTCTGTGCATTTTGCTTCTCTTTCGTAATCAACTTCCCAAGCTAATTCTCTTTTAGCAACCATCACTAAATTATCAACAAACATTCCTTCAGGAAAAATATTCCAAAGTTTTAAGACGCCAAATAAGTTATCGATATCGCTTTCAATTCCTTTAGCTACACCCGGATATTGAATTTTTATTGCAACTTCACGTCCATCAGGCATTTTACCCCAATGAACTTGCCCGATTGAAGCTGCAGCAAATGGTTTGTCATTAAACTCGGCAAATTTACTCCTCCATTCATCACCTAACTCTAAAGTTAATACTTTCTCCAATTGCCATTGTGGCATAAAATCTGCTGATTTTCGAACCCTTTCTAAAGCTTTAGCTAATTGAGGATTAATCACAGAATCGTCTTGAATACTTAAGATTTGACCAATTTTTAAAGCAGCACCACGTACTTTGCATAAAGTATCAACAATTCTTTCCATATTAGCTTCGGTTAAAAATAAATTTGATTGATTTTGATTGCCCATGCCTAAAGATCTTCGTGTATATTCCGCTATAGTTCCTAAACCTAATCCAGCCGCTAAAGAACCAAAAGATACCATTCTACCAATACGAGATGAAGGAACACTTCGTTGTTTTGATGAGGGACTTAACTGTGAATTATAAAAAAAATTAAGAATGTTATGACAATTTTATTTGGGAGTTTTTATTACAGTTTGGAATGATTTGGGATTAGGACTTGCTGTTATTTTTTCTTCTACTTTATCTTCAATTGTTGAATCTTTCTTGGCTTCTTGCGTTGTTTCGTCTTTTTTATCTTTCATTAATTTTTCCATTTTTTTCCTATGTTCCATATCTAATTTCTTTAACAACGCTTTATCTCGAGGTGTCAATTTGATTTTAAATCTTTTTTCTTTAACTTCACTTTTATCCTTTTCTTTCGTTAAATTATTTTCAACCTTTTTCTCGTATTTTTCTTCTCCTAAAACTACCCGTAAGTTTTTTGTAATTTTTAACTCCCCACAAACATTTCGTTTCATCGTTATTATTAAACGTGTTACTTGTAATACTTGTTAATGCATTTTTTAGTGTTAAACTGACCTTCATTAACAGTTGCAGCAGATGTAGGCGTATAATTGATGTATTCTCGAATACCATAAGCTACAGTACTAAATCTTTCAATAGTTTCATTAAAATTCTTAACAATATCTTCCGATGATTTTGGTGAAGCCTTATTAACATTTTTAGATACATCTTGAATGAGGTTTTTTATGCTGGAGTGTTTCCAAATGTATTTTAACTCTTCCTCTTGCAATTTTACGCCGGCTTCGATAACGCTTTGAACACCACGTAACACTCCAAAAAGATCTTTTGATCGTCGCGACATCGCTGTTGTTATTAATTATTATTATTAATGGGTTTTATTAACATTATTTTATGTAAAAAGTGAAATTTCAAGACTTTTGCGTCACACCGTACATATTAACCCGTTTATGCCAATAATTGAATTTGATTTTGCAGGCAGCAACACGTTTTAGTAAATATGTTGAACAAATAATGGGCCCTTAAACGGGAAAAAAAGTGGAAAATTCCTTCCGAAAAAAAAGCGAGAAAAAAGGAAAAGTCACATTCTATATTTAAAAAAAAATAATACACAATATTGAGCGATATGTATAGCCCCAAAAAATCCCAAAACAATTCCAAAAAACAATCAAAAAAAAAAAAAACAAAAAGAAAAAAAAAAAACTTTTTCCCAAAAGTTCCAATATTGGAACTATGAGCTGCACGGGACCATAAAGCTTTTTAATAATTTCAGATCCCTCACAACAGCAGAACTCATTCAAGTAATGGAAGACGTTTTTATCACTCCTCCAGATGATGGTGCTGAAGATAGCGGCAATGAAGACTTCTGCAACGACATCAATAACTGAATGATCAATAACTGGATAGCTTCAAGCGGAAGCTATGGCGAAAATGACAAATCAAGAACGGAGTTTCAGAATTGGAGATAGCGACACTGACGAAGAGTCAAATAGTGACAACGAACCTTTGTCAGAAATACAAAAGAAACTAGCAAAAATCCGATCTTATTTCTGGGTTTCCGAACTTTGAGAAACTGATACAATCAGCACCCATTCCTTATGATCTGGTGAAATGCTTTGAGCTTTTTCTTGATAAAGTGCTTTTTGGCCATACTACTACTATCTGCCTATTGTGTTGTTCCAAGATGTAGAATGTGGTGGGAGCTAGGAACCGAATCTTGCAATATGGCACTAGTGAATTCTATGAGAAGAAATAGATTCGAAATGATAAAAAGATAATACTGTGCAGATAATAATAACTTTTCTCTGGGCAACAAATTTGCAAAACTACGAGAATTGATGCAAATGCTTAATTCAAAATTTTTAAAATACTCATAACTCCAAGAAAGGCTGAGTGGTGATGAAAGTATGGTTCCATACTTTGGTAAGAAAAAAAAATTTTTAAAAGGAAAGCCGATACGATGCAGTTAAAAGATGTGGTGCCTCCGCGAACCTTTTGGGTATCTGATGAACAAAATGTACACAACACCGCTCTTCTTGGACTTTACACAAGCTTTCGATCGAATTTGATGGGATGGATTGAAATTCAAGATCCTTAAACTTGATTTACCACAATACCTCAAATTAATCCTTCTATCTTTTCTGACAAACCGAACCTTTTCCACCAAAATCCACTACTGCTTCTCCCCCAAATCATCAATATGAGCAGATGTTCCACAAGGCAGTGTCCTGGCCCCCATTCTTTTTAATATTTATATGCACGATATCACCCAAATTATTCAGAATGACATAGCTATATTTGCGGATGACACAGTCTTATTTACAAAAGATGAAGATCAATTAGATAACTCAACCTATGGAATTTAGACATTAATGAACAAAAATATGCAGCAAAAATTTTTACATTAAGACATATAAGAAACCCTCAACAATTACTTATCAACGACAAACAGATAGAGTGGAAAAACAACGAAGAAGCAGTAAAATATCTAGGGATTCATTTGGATACAAGACTCACTTAAAAATAGCATATCAACTTGTAGCTAAATAAAGGTTATGGGAGACTAGCTGAATTATATAGTATCATAAACACGAAATCTTCCCTTAAAACTGAATGCACTATTCTAATTTACATCTCGTTAATATGGGGAAATCCGGCAAAATCAAATCGGAAAAAGTTGTGTGTACTACAAAATAAGATACTCAGAATAGCTGTGGACGCTGAATGGTTTATCACAAACAAGCAACCACACAACGAATTGGGCATGAAAACGATTCAAGAGTTTATTTCAACGAAAACCAACAAGTTCCACGAACGACTACACATGTGTGAATCAACAGAAGTCTATAATTTGGGCAGAAGAAATATTCACAGGCGATTGCAACGGAGATTATCCCAAGAACTACACTTATTGTAAATTATCTTTCCTCTAATCCAACCCAACCCAACCCACAAGGTGCTTAGGACAGAGAAGGCGACTCCTCATGTTGTATAGGACATTATATAGTATATTGTGAAATAATAACATGTATAGCTCTAGAGCTACTCTGGTAAATAAAAAAAAGTAAGAAGGAACCAGCATTTGGTGTAGGAGAGTCTGCTATACTTGGACTGATAAAAGTCCTACCAAAACAAACTAATAACTCATTTACAGGAAAAAGATATGGATGTACAGGAACTATCAAATACAATAGAATTGAAAAGTGTCCCATAATACCTTCAAAAGTGGTAGAAAAGGACAGAGGTGTCTATGACTATTGTACATATGTTGCCAATAAACTAACCATTACAAGCTGGCATGATAATAGAATAGTTCTGATAGTGTCTGATGTAGTTCTGATGTACTTATGATTCTACACTTCCAGGATGGCAACTATATAAAAAAAGACTTGGGTAAAAAATGGAATATTTGCATTTCTGAAGAATAAGTAGTTGTGCAAACAAAATCGCTGTGCTTTCTGTAAAAGAACCAGGAGATAGTCTTGTCAAAAATGTAAAGTCAGCCTGCATGAATCCTGTTTTGTTCACTTCTACACAAGATAATGGACAATCAATAATTCCAACACATTTATTGTTAAAGTTTATGTTGATTTGATTGATTTCATTAAGAAAGTATATGGTCTTGTTCATGCCCATTGTTTCATTAATAGAACATTCAAAAAAACTAGAACCAAATAGTATTTTCTTAAAAATAATGCTTGAAGTAAGTTGCAAAAGATAAAAACTACACCAAAATGACACTGGAGACACAAAAATCTAAAAGAAATTAATTCAGGCATAAACAGGTTAAGAAAAAAATGTAATCTTCTTTGTATAGAAAAGTATTGAAACTCCTTTAATTAAAATTTGATGTGTACCTGTGTTTAAAACAAGTATGACAGCCATAAGCGACGTTTTTATTATTAGATTAATTTAAATAACCGAAACCATACCATATTTGGGCGATGAATCGCAGATGATGGAGTTATGGTGATTTCTTTAGTTAATATTTAACGATGATGAATTTCGTTAAAAGCTATAACATTTTAACGTTTGTTAGTACAATTAAAGATATAAAAAAAGATTTTTACCTATTCGAAATGAGAAAAACTACCGAAATGAATCACAGATTTCATTAAAACATTGTTAGGTTATGTCATCATTTTGCACAATAATTTATTTAAAACCTATTTCCTTACAATTAATTCTAATCCCCAATTAATTTATTAATACATAAAAAAGAAAAAGTAAAATCTAGTTTATTTAAAATAAAATTTTTTGAATTGCGAAAATAAAAAAATATTTTCTAGTTATTTTCGTTTTAATCTAGTTATTTTAGTTCTTCGAGTTTGAATTGTTGACATCGTTGACATCTGTCTAATTTTGAGGTTAGACCACGTTGTATACCTAATTAATATCTACAATCTAATTCAATTTTCCAGTTTAAAACAGAAAAAATGGAAGATAAACGATTTGCACACATCGCAACCGATCCAAAATTCAAAAACATTCGTAAAAGCGACAAAAAAGTTAAAATAGATAAACGTTTCCAGTCTATGTTTAAAGATAAACAATTCAAAGTGAATTATACCGTTGATAAACGTGGAAGAACTGTTAATAAATCATCTAACACCGATTTAAGAAGATACTATCATATATCTTCAGGAGAAAGTGATTCAGAATCGGAATCACTCGATGATTCTCCATCTGAAAACGAAGATTTAAACTTAAAAGAAGATGGGGATAAAGAAGTTACAAAAAGCGTTAAGCAAAAATTAAAAGATTTAAGTGTTGATTATGCACGAGGCGAATCCACACTTTTATCAGAAAGTTCTTCAGATGATGAAGAAAGTGATAGCGAGATATCAGATACAGATGATAAAATAGAACATAAATGGGGTGAATTAGATGCTGATGCTGAAAGAACTGATGATTCAACATACAGATTGGCTGCTTGTAACATGGATTGGGATAGAATAAGAGCCGTGGATATAATGGTTTTATTAAACTCTTTTGTTCCACAAGGTGGGCTCATTAAAAACGTTAGCATTTATCCATCCGAATTTGGAAAAGAAAGAATGAAAGAGGAAGACCTTAAAGGACCAATAGAACTTGTTGAAAACCAAGAAAACGATGAAAACAAGGATGAAAACGAAGAAGGCTCAAAATACCATATGGAAAAGCTAAGACAATATCAATTAAACAGATTAAAATATTATTATGCTGTGATTGTTTGTGATTCTGTGAATACAGCAAGCAAAATTTATAGTGAGTGTGATGGAATGGAATATGAATCGAGTGCAACTAAAATTGATTTAAGATTTATTCCTGATGATATGGAATTTGATGATGAGCCAAAAGAAATTTGTGAAAAATTACCAGATATGGTTAAATATCAACCTAGATTTTTCACTACAACAGCTTTACAACAAGCTAAAGTTGATTTAACTTGGGATGAAACTAATCCTGATCGAATTGAGATCACACAAAAGCTTGCTAAAGGAAAATTAGATGAAATTGCTCAAGAGGATCTTCAAAATTATTTAGCATCAAGCAGTGAAGATGAAGAAAATAACGAAAATGATGATTCACAAAGTGATGATGATGATGATGATGAAAAAGAAGAAAATAATGATCCAATTGATAAATACAGAGCTTTATTAAGTGAAATTGAAAACAAAGAGAAAGAAAAAGATAAAAACGACGTTCAAATGGAAATAACTTGGGGTATTGATTTGGAGGAGAAAACAGAAAAAATGGCTAAAAAGAAATTGGAAGAAAAAACGGAAAAAACACCGTTTCAAAAATATTTAGATAAACGAAAAGAAAAACGCAAAGAAAAGAAACAACGTAATAAAATTGATTCAAATGAAGATAATTCAAATTTAGAAAGTGATGATGATATTCCCTCAGATATTGACATGAATGATCCTTATTTTGCCAAAGAATTTGATAAACCTGAATTCAAAAAGAAATCACAAAAAAAATCAAAAGCAAATCGAAATGACGAAGTTAAACAAAACAAAGGTGATTTAGAATTGTTATTAATGGACGAAGATGACACAAAAAAGCATTTTAATTTTAAAAACATTCAAGATAACGAAAACGAATCAAAAAGTAAAAAGAAACGCAATAAGAAGAAAAACGAACAAGTTACTAAATCCGATGATTTTGAAATTAACGTTGAGGACGAACGATTTTCGGCTCTTTATACAAGTCATCATTTTAATATTGATCCTTCAGATCCGCATTATAAGAAAACGAAAGGGATGGAAAAGATTATAAGTGAGAAGTTAAAACGAAGGCAAGAAGAAGATGGCGATGATGATGATAGGAAAAAGGCGAAAGTTGAAGTTAAGAAGAAAAATGCTGAGTTAAATGTTTTAATAAAATCTGTTAAAAGAAAAACGGAAGCTTTGAAAAATAAAAAAAATAAATAGATGTAATTTATTTTTTTGGTATTTAAAATTTGTCTTATTAAAACATCCACCTGTACAGTGTGTTAATTAATTATCATTGCAAGTATGCAACCAATATCACAGCGCAATACGCATTGTACGGAAATTCCGTATTGCAATAAAAATACTGTGAAATTGGTTGCATACTTGCAATGATAACGTCGGGTACGATTATTAACTCGCTGTAGTTCCCAAATTTTACTTAAGTTATAAAACATGGAACTGGAATACTTCATTACCCATCTTTACCTGTTGTAGGTACTAAAAACGTTGCAGATCTCGTTATTTTAATGATTGAGTCTACTTTGTCTTAAAGAATATCTAGGTATTAGACTAAAAAGCCCGTTATTATTTCGTGTTTTCATCAGTTATGAGATAATAATTGTTTGATAGGAGGTATATACCTTTCAACCACCTCCAGATGGTGTTTGGATCTTTTTATTGACAAAATGAGAAAATGGCTCAATGAGGGATGCAAATAGACTTGAGGACCTTGACTTTGCAGACGACATTTGCCTGATTTCACAGAGATTTTATGACATGAAGCTAAAAGGAAGGTAAAGCTAAAAAATCTGAAAGATGAAGCAGCAGGAAAAAAGATCAATTTTCAAAAAATGAAGGAGTGAGGATCAATTTTGTTGAACCTAAGATAACAGCGAATGGAAGAGACTTGGAATTACTTGAAAAATTCGTGTACCTTAGAAGCATTATTGGGAGGGATGGAAGATGTGAAGAAACGAATACAGAGAGAAAATGAAGTCTTCATGTAATTATACCCTAGCAATGTAAAGTCAGTCCTCTTGTATGAGTGTGAAACACGCAAGGTGACCAAGGAAATGTCGAACAAATTACAAGTGTTCATTAATCACTGCCTACGATGCATTATGAACGTGAGGTGATCAGAGGTGATATTAAATAAAGACTTGTCAGAGAAAACGACCCATTTGTGACCAAATCAAGCAGAGGAAATGGCGTTGGATTGGCCCTACGTTAATGAAGCCTCAACGACTAGTTGAGATGTCAGCGCTGCCTGGAACCTCCTTCGAGCACAAAGACGAAGGCCCAAGAAAGTCACTAGGAGCGTCAGAAAATAAATCAAGTTATGCTACATCCTCAATGATCATATCATTTCTTATCTAGCTAATTCAATATTAAACGCTTTTGAGCATTTAGGCACCGAATTGATCACACAGCTTCAAATAATGTCTGTGTAGTCTCAATTTATGTGAGGTTTTGGTTCCGGCATTGTCAGAATTGATTTTTTTAATAGAAAGTTACAAAGAGGTTGAAGAAATTGGACAAAAGAAAAATATCGAAGAGGAAGAATCGAAAGGGGTAAGTCCATGCGCTTACGAATTAGTTTTCAAAATAACAAAAGGGTTCTACACAAGTGGCTAAATTATTCTTCGGGTTCCCTTTATAAAACAAATTTATTTCATTAAACGTTGTGTTGTGGAAATGAAAATAACTACTCGGTTAGGAATGCTGTATTTTAAATCTAGAGAAATTCAAAAAATGGATGAACTGCTTGAACTATATGATAGCATATACAGATTGGATGAGTATGCCTTATGTTAGGTTGATAATTCGTAAATATACCGATGCGACGGAAGACATTAAGAAGGAAATTTGAGCAACATTAAGCCAGGGCATGTTAAACCTACATAAATTCTAAAAGCAGGAATCATAGAAAACAGTTTGCAATACGTCTTTAAGAAATCGAAACTAATATATCGTCGGTGACACAAGAAAACCCCGTAACTCCATTTTGACACACAAGAAAATTATAAAGTAAAGTTATATTTTTTATATTTAAGATACTTTAAAATAAATTTCTTTGGTGTTTTGTCGCTTTTTATCAAAATTCGATTGATAATACACAAATGTGCACATTGAGCTTCGCTGACGACCAAGCAGGATGCACATGACCTGGAGTTTATGTTAAAAAGACTGCACACAGACTACACAAAATGGGGTTTGGAATCAGCATTGGGAAGACTGAATACATCAATGCCCAATTCCATAATAAAGCCAGAAAAGTGGTGCGAGCACTTAGTTATATCTGGTGGGATAAGCACATAAATCGGAATAATAAGAACCTTATTGGAAAGACTATGGTTGAAAGTGTATTAACACATGGCTATGAGGTTTGGACGATAAACAGGGAGTTGCAAAATGTCTGCAATGAAAAGTAGCATAAATATACAGGGTTGAAAAGAGAGGTTTGAGATAATATGGTCATCTGTTACGCATGAAAGAGGGGAGATGGCCCAAAAAAATATACCAATGCGCATCACCTGGAAGGAAAAAAAGAAGTTTAAATACATTTTTAACCAACAATTAGCAAAAATAGTGTCATAAAAAATGTGATGAATGGCTGATTTCAGTTCTTGTTGGAGATGATTTAATGACACAAATATTATTGGAACACTAAACTTTAGCTTGTATTGCACAGATCCGTCGGGGTCATATTTAACGGCTCTTAAGCTGGCCATTCATGGGCGTTCCATCTAGCCATATGGAACGATAACACTCCAATAGAGCTACGTGAATTTGGAATCCACATGTGATTGGAATGGAGTGATGAGACGAGTTGGAATTCCATCCGGACAAACGTCCATCACTCCATTCCAAAATGCTATTGCTCCAACTCATCGTTTTCTCATTCTATCAAATGAGAAAACGCGCAACAGACTGATGACACGATGGAACGTTGGAGCAATCATGAGTATCAAAGCCCGACTATTTTTTGTCCTTTTTGTGTACTAAACCTTCATAAGTCTATTAGGGATAAAATAGCTGTGACAAATTTGAGCTCTTCATAATTCAAACTTGTGGCTAAAAATCGCAAACTTGCGGCAAGCCTCTCATGAGGGCTAATACTTTCCCTCATATTGGTATCTATTTTCTGAATTAACGGCGTTACCAAACGAAGTAGTTGGAAATAACAGTGTTCATTCATCCTCAAATAATTCCTCCAGTCAGAAGATTCCAAGGTTAATTTATTAGGCAAATTAATATGAGTGTGTCTTCTTCTATTGTTTCACCCATCTTTTTTTTGGGTTTTCTCTTTTTTAAGTACAGACAAACAGATGTAGATAACATGAGAAAATTTTCATCCATATTGCGAAAATTAAAAAATGCCAGTATAGTACGAACTACTGCGGCAGAGTGATTGGAATGGACTGATTGAAATGTTCGTGAATGATCCCTAAAATTACTGCTCACTTTTTGATCACTTCATCAGAGTGATTTCGAGCCACGCCACTTCAATTGTAACGTCCATGAATGGAATGGCCAGCTTTATATCTGCGACAGTAACATCACCAGTTTTCATGCCAGGCCGATTTGACGAGAAAAACTTTAGTTGTTTGAAGCTTTTAAAAAAAACTGCGTGCATACAAATGGAATGCAACTTTCTCTGAATAGAAACTCCATTTGAGTGTGACTACAATCTAAGTATCTTTGCACTGTGATTTCAAATTAGCTTCGCAAAATTTAAAAGCGTGTCCTAACGTAGAATTGCGTTTCTTTTTTTTTTATACCAGTCTTGTTTGCAAAGTCCATATAGTTCACACTTGGATTTCCAGATAGCTTCTAATTACAGTTTATTTGTACGCTCGGCAATAATGTGATGTCATCATAAGTAATTCAATGAGAAAGTCCTCCAAATTCCTCACTTTGCACCATTCTTTCATCAGGGTCGTCGTCAATCGCTTTTTGAACATTACTCTTATTTTTAATCCAAGTCAATCCCATTTTATCGCCAATATCTAATGTTTGTAAAATAATTTTTTTACAAACACGAGTAGTTCATTTCCTACTTTCTAGTTGTATTCCAAAGAGGCAAAACGTCTAGGTTTATCAGATGTTTTTATGTGTCTAGTTCTATTTGGAGTAACATCTTTTGTCAACAAGCAAGTAAAAAAACGTTTTTTAACCCAACTTCTCTCCCAGAATTCCTTGAAAATGTCTTCTTTCATTGACAGTTTATAGTTATATCTTAATCTTCCACGTGACATATTCATTTTTCTTCTGCAAATGTAAACAAATGATTACGTGTTATTTTGGACGGCTAAGTGAAATACAACTTCTGTAGGGTTATAAGAGTGAAGACTAGCAATGTCAAAGACACTCAGAAATAAATAAGTAACATTTCAAAAAGCAAGAAAGAAAAAACTTTAACACCAAAACAAAATGTTTTTAATATTTTTTATTGTTTCCTGTTAATTTCGCATTTTAATGATTTTTCCGCTCGATAAAACACAAAATTTATTAAAAAAAAAGAGGACAAATTCTTTAGTTTAATGTATGTAATCAATATTTTTATCTATTGCACGTTAGTTTCTTTGTTAAATAACACGCTATTATTTAAGATGTCCTCGAAAATCGTCTCGATTTCGTAGCATTTCACAATTTTTTTTTAATTCAATTGATTATATCTTAAATAATGTACAGTGTGATGTATTTACAAGATTATACATATTTATAGAGTAAATACAGTTTATTAAAAAAATCATTTTGATCAAAAAAAATCTTGTTTTAATAATCTAAACTGTTAACACATTGAATGTTAAATTTCATCGGTTTAGAGATAAATTTATTTTTGAACAAGATTATTTTTATTAATAAAACTGTCTTTTGCGCTGGGAGAGGGGTATAATAAGAAGAAAACGGAAAAATATAACATCAAACACTTAATATTATGCCTTTTTAACTATACATGATATTTTTTCCGCGCAATTTTCTTTTAAACGGATTTTTTGGGAAGAAATAAGACCTTTTTGTTTTATACAACGAATACGGTGTTTATAATAGGATTAAATGGCCCTTTTTATGTAAATAAACTATTTAGTCGATTATAATCCAAGCATATTTAGTTTTTATCTAGTTTAGTTCCATTTCTTTTGTTTAAATACATCCAGATTAGATTCTTTTTTAAATTAATATGGTCACAATTGATGAAATTTAATTTAATAAATTGTTTAATAAAATTAATAAATTAAAAATTCCAAAATAAAAAAATCCTTTGGAAAAAATTAACCTACCAGTACAAAAAAAAAGAGAAAAACAATTTAAATAATCTAACAAATTTCTCTAATAATAATTAATAATCATAAAAAATATATATAGATGTAAAAACAAACCTATCTTATAGAAAAATTAAGATAAAACAACTCAAAAACAAAGTAAAGTCCTTCAAGTAACATAAATATTAATAGAAGAAAATCTATATACAAATTACTTTTTGAAAGAAAAAGGAAATCTCTGTATTTCGGAAAGAAAGGGAAAAAAATATAAAATAATAACTCATTTTTTTCTTCTTTTCCTAATTAATTAAACTTGACGATAATAGATACCCTGAGTAAATGGCGCACAACAAGACGATCACCTTCAATAAAAAAAATTTTACCCTCCCATTCTTGATGTTCTCGATCTCATCTGAGCCAAAGTTTGAGCCTCAGGGCGTCCACGCCGTTCAAATAGTACCTAAACAGTCGTTTATCCCGAACGAATCCCAACGCTTCATACAGTCGTAACGCAGGTTTGTTCGTTATTTCCGTTTCAAGCACTACTTCATCTGCGTTCCCAGCTATCATTTCTTCAATTGCCCTACGAACCAGCGTCGAACCTATACCATGTTTTCGAAATCGTTTGTCGACAGCCAGCATTGCTATATATCCTCGTTTAATTAATTTACGATGGACGTCTAATTTACATACGATCGCTCCTACACATTCATCATCATACATTGCCTATTAATAAAAAATTAATTTGGAAATGAAAAATAATTAGGAAAAATTCAAGAATCATCATGTGACTTAAAAATCGACGATTTTTTTTTAATCAATGAGATATGACCCAAAAAACACGTTAAAAATAAAAACAAAGTGTGGAAAAGTGTAGAATATACAGAAAAATCAAATTAAAGTTTCGATGTGACGTCACAAGCAATGTTAACCACGCATTTTCCTATTAAACCTGTTGACCCAACCTACAAATTGTTTATTTTATAGCCACGCACAAAATCAATCTGATAAACTTAAAAGTAAAGTTATTTTCACTAAACTAAGTGAGATTACAACGTATATTAACGGATGAAACAACTTGTTTTTCTTAGGCTTTCGATGCATAACGACTGACTACCTGTCGTTAGATAGACTGGGTATTAATACTAGAACTAACACTAGACCGAAAACTAGAAATATTCGGATTTAGCCCCACGTCTCTCAACACGGCTAAACCCGAATGTTTCTACACTCAGCGGTATAAATAACTGAAATAACTTTTGAACGTATTGGTCGATTTGAATAAGGGCTTTTTATTTGGAAGGTCTACCATTTGTCAATTTTCTGTAGGTGCCTTCCCCATTTTGGTGCTCTTCAATTTCAGCAATAGTGAATAACGCTAATACGTGTTTTCTTACTACACTTTGAAGCTTGCTGTGGGGTGCACCGACAAAAGAAATTAGTCCGTGTACAACTACAATTAGTAGCTTGTAGTCTCGTCTGTTCTAATCACTTCTGTTTTTTGTTCAACTTCCTATTATTGTTAACACCAAAGTTGCAAGCTCTAAAGGATAACGCAGCTTCTTCGGCAGCACCATCAGAAATTAAACCAAGCCATGGAAATTGACGAGAACATTTCAGTGACGTTTAGTGTCGTTAACTGTTGATAGACAAGAAAAATGCTTTTATGTCCTGCAGAAGTTACTCAGCCAGTGGCTTTGGTGGAAGATGGATGCAGCACTTGTTATGCTGCTTGTATTCTTGATGCGATACACAGTATGGTTAGTCGCGCCATTCAAAGATTTCGGCAGACTAGCATCAGGCGACCTGTGTCAGCAAGAAGACGCACAACCCCGTAATGATCGATATATTGTAACGACCGTGTTAAGAAATCGACATATCACAGTAGTTGAGATAAGAAATCGTCTGGAGCAAGTGCGTCGGGTGAACGTGAGTGAACGCATAGTAAGAAAGACACAGAGATCACAGAGATCAGCAACTGGACCACAGCTTGCTTCGAGAACATCGTGTTGCTCAATTACAATTTGCACGAGATCATGTTCAGTGGATCAATGCAGAGTGGCAAAACGTACTGTTCTCAGACGATCGAGGTCGGCTTGTACTCTCCAGATGGTCGAGAGAGAGTTTGGAGCAGAGCAGGAGAGGATGACCTGGATGATTTGGATATCAAGAGAATGGAATGGCCTGCACATAGCTCCGCTTTAAACCCTATAGAACACATGTGGGATATGCTAGGGAGACAAGTTAGATCCGCTATATAAACGCTAGATGACCTCTAGAAGAAGACTGGAGCCAGATTCCGCAAAATGAAATTTAAGCCTGATTCGAAGTATGCCTCGAGGATGAGGGATACCATTCAAGCGATGGAAGGAAATTGATTTACTTGTCACAGTTTAATTCAATTTTATCAACATCAATGACTTGCTTTAATTGCTGATGGCGCTGCACAACAAGTTGCGTTATCTTTTAGAGCTTGTAACTTTGGTATTAACAACAATAGAAACTTGATCAAAAAAACAGAAGTAATCAGAACAGACGAGACTACAAACTCCTTATGATTAAAATTAATTTCTTTTGTCGGTGCACCCCATAGCAAGCTTCAAAGTGTAGGAAGAAAACAAGCTTTAACGTTATTCACCATTGCTGAAACTGAAGAACGCAAAATGGGGAAGGCACCTACAGAAATATTGGCAGAGGTAGACCTTTCAAATAAAAAAAAACTTATTCAAATTCAACAATACGTTCAAAAGTTATTGCAGTTTAAAACTGGTCATCATTTTAGGTGATGCGTTTTTTATGCCGCTAAGTGTAGTTCTAGGACTAGTTTTACACTAGCACTATAGTGACAGTGCTAGTGTAAAACTAGAACTAACACCCTCTGCTTCATGCCCAACCAGACATTTGAGAAATTCGCACAGGTTTAAATGTTAATTAATCTAACTCAAAGTAGAATTTCTACACAAAATTCTAAAATAAGTCAGTAAATTAGATGGATCCAAATGTAACGTTTAAAGATCTTTAGTTTATAGATGGTAAAGAACGACATTTTAGTCGTTGTGCGTCAAAAACCTAAGAAACAACCGTATTTCACCCGAAAATATGCGTTTTAACCAAATGTGCTGCGAAAATATATAGTTAGCATGATCGATGACATCACAAAGTGACGTCACGTCGAAGGTTAACGTGATTTTTCAGTAAATTTTACACTTTTCAGCTTTTTTTTTATTTTTAAAGACTTATTTGATTTTTAAGGAAGATGATGATTTTTGAATTATACCAATAAGTAATTATGTTAATATTTAACTTACCAAGAAACATAAATTTGGCCAATTATGTATAAAGTATCTATAAGTATAAATAGAATATGGTTCTGATAAATCCTTTTGGATAATTTTCATGATCATTGGCATTTGTAGTTCAGAATCGTACTGAACATATTGTATTTCAGGATTTTCTACCCTATTTTTATCACCGTCAGATTCTAATTGAACAGATTTCTCCTCTAAATTCCCCTCAACCACCTTCTCCTTTTCCAGTTCTTTTTCTTCTTCCTTTCTATCACCATATCTTCCTTTGATATACGCTGTGATGTCAAAATCCAAAGATTCAATATCTTCTAATTTACATTTAGAGTCTCCTTTACTACTACTAGTACTCGCAACAGATCTTTCGGAGTCAGTTCTTTTCGTTTTTGCTTTACACTTAGTTCCGGTTAATCCACTTTCAATAGAATCTACATTCATATCCATTAAATCACAAACTGTGATATCTTCATGTTCGTATTTTACACTATTTTTCTCAGTTTGTTTGGTGTTTATGAGAGGCTCATGATCTTTAATTAATGATAATTTGTCGTCTTTGTGCACTCGTTTATCTTTTTTGGTAGTTTTCGTTTCCGTTTTATGATCGATACCATTCAACAATCCATTAACATTTTTCTGCTTAATGTTAAGTTTCTCTAGTTGATCCTCAATGTTTAATTCATTCTTTTTTAACGCCTGCTGGTTGCTGTTTGTCGTCGCACATTTTTTTCCAACACTTGGTTTAACTTTATTCATTCTAAATGTGTCAAATATGAATTATGGTCACTAGGTATGGATTATTGTATTGATGCGAACGGGTTGCGTTTTAATTTTTGTGTCCCCGTATGCGTGCTAGCTGTTGGTTTTGTATTTAAAAGAAAACCAAAAAGCGGACATCTTGATAAGAAAATGCAATGGGGATATTTTAGGTTAAAAACCCTTCCTTGTGTTATGTCAAAGTACGGATTTACTTCGGAAAATTTCGAAATTGGGAGTTAACTTAGTTAATTAATAAGCGTAAGTACGTACGTTTCGATTAATTAATGATTTTCAAGATTTTGTATAAAATAAAATGGTAATTTGTGGAAATTACGTAAAAAATTATGAATTGTCAATGACATAACCTATAAAAATCGTTGATGGAATGTTTTAGTTTTTTTAATTTTTATGATTTGGCAACACTTTGTTTTAAATTACAAATTCAAATTTATTAAAATATTTTTATTAATTTAAACGCACTTAAATTATTAATTAATTTAATATAATAGAAAGAAATAAATAAAAAAGTAATATCGTAAAATTATAAATATTTTCTATAAATAACTTCTTACACTTAACATTTCACAAGTAGAAAAATGAATGAGAAACGTAGTTACAAAAATAACTACCGTCTATTTCGATTTAACACGATACATTTAATAATCTTAAAATAAAACCCACTTTGACACGGTGCCACGAGTTGATATTTTTCCTTTAAACCTTTAAATAAACCGATGTCGATTTCCATTTCAGTCAAAAAATGTCCTTCCCTTCAAGAGAGGAACGCGCGAAATGTTGGGGCGCCCGCGACCAATATTGGGAGTGTCTCGACAAAAATCAAATAGGGGATTCAGCCAAAGACGGTCCTTGCGCGCAATTCAGAAAAATGTATGAACAATCATGTTCTGGACAATGGGTTAAACATTTCGACAGGAAGCGAAATTATTTAAAATATAAAGAGAAAATTGAAAAAGATGGGTATGAACCTTTAGAATCAGAGAAATGAGTATTTTGTTTTAAGTAGTCTTATGAGTTTTTGTGCTTAGTTCATTATTTTTTATGTATAAAAAAGCTTACCAAATAAAATTTGATTGAGTTGCATTTTCGTGTTATTAATCCCTTAATTTTTTGATTTAATTAATTATTAAAAAACCGTTAATTCATTTTAAACCATCAATTTGACAACAAACGTCAAATTGATGCATTTAAAAAAAACCACGCCATCTAACGAGTAATAATATAACTATAATATTGTTGCATATTTGTGTTATTAATACTTTAATTTTTAAATTTATTTAATAATAATTATAAAAAACCTTTAATTCGTTTTAATCCATCAATTTAACAACTAAATGTCAAAGTGATAGAGGCTGAAAATGACAAATTGATGGATTAACAACAGCGCCATCTAACGAGTATTAGTCTAATTAAATACTAAATAATTAAAAAAATTATGTATAAAGAAGCTTATTAAATAGAATTTAATAGAGTTGCATTTTTGTGTTATTAATCCATTAATTTTTAAATCTACCTAATAATTCGTTTTATGCATCAATTTGACAACATAAATGTCAAATTGACAGTTACAAAATAAACGTCAAATTAACGCATAAAAACTAACTCATTTTATTTAATGTTTTCCTAACTTTAAAATTAAAATAATATATAAATTATTAATTACAGGATTCCGAATCGAACAATTAAACCCAATGCGGGATATGAAAAAAGAAGGGTTTATACGGAGATAGTTTATTGTTAAACTTAAAAATCTAAATAAATGTCTATTTTTTATATACATTGTTTAAATTACCTTAAAAATATTTTACATGACTTCATCAGATGAAACGTCCTGGTTTAGGGGTTCAGACATTTGATTACAACTGTGATTTTCATTAACATCTACAGAAATGTTAAGTATATGTTTTCCAGGGACCATAACTAAACCTAAAATTCTAGGCTCTTCAACATCTTTAATAACTTGACCGTTTTCGTCAGTTTCTTCTGGTAAAAACTCGGAACACGCTCCTAAAATTATATTTGCATCTCTATCTGTGCAAAATAACATTCCTACTAGAACGCGTCCATCGGACATGGTTATTCGTAGTAATTGGTTAATCCAGCTTCGTAATTTAACAGCCCCCGGAGACATCTAAAAAATTTTAGGAAACGAAAAAATTATTTTGAATTCAATTATGGCTCTTATAATTACATTGACAGGTACGTCACTATTTTTACTTAAATCCTCATCTTCCGTAGCGGTCTCATCTTCATTATCTTTACATTTGTTATCAATATTTAATTTAGATAAAGATTCGGAACATTCTTCGATGACTTCATTGCATTCAGCCATTTTTTGGAGGTTAGAATTATAAATAAACGCATAGATAATGTATAGATGTGACATTAGCGTTGAATTTTTGTCGCTCAGCACTAGCGCCACCAAATGCTTGATTCCATACTAATATCAAATACCGCCAATTTCAAATGTGACATATTTTTTTTCTAAAAAAACTTTTCAGATAATTTTTTGATTTTGGGGCAATTAAGAAGTGTATGTTGTATACTTAAAAATTTTATTTAAATATTGAATGTTGTAAAACAAAAGTACAGTTTTGAACAGTAAAAAACTTAAAACTTAGACAATAAATCAATCTTAGATAATAAAGAAAAAGTTTTCTAGTTATAAAGTTTTAAACAGAAATAATAATAAATAAAATAATTGAAATTTACAATTACAATAGTTGGAAATGTTAACAATATCAGAAAAATTCACATTAATTCAGATATGTGCACTGTAATTTGGAATAGACACTTTATGTTCTATTTTGCATTATAATTTATGTTGAATAAAGACGTTTATTATTAGTATTAACAGTATTCAATACTCTTATTTAATTTTTTTGTTATTTTTCCTAATTCGTTTCCAATTTGAAACCTTTATCACATTCTGACTATCGGTTCATCCTAAAACGTTCATAAAATAAAAATTTAATGTATAAGTACAATTGTTACAACAGTCATATTAAAATTTTAACATTGATTTGATGTTATACAAAGGTTAATTGCTGTATATATAAAGATCCAACAAAATTGCTTACAATATGTTACTATGGTATTTTAACTAAGACAGAAATAAAATAAATAAAAAGTTATAAGTATAATAAGTATTATAATTATGGTATATTATTATATTATAACATTTATTTAATTATATATAATATATAACATGCATGTATAAGCCTGTAGGTACAGACCTATGTATAATGTTTATAATATATAAAATATATACATAAACTCATAATCTCTTATCATACCATCGGTAAAACTAGAACATACTATTATTCCTTATTACTATTCCATCCAACATGTTCCTTAGAGAAATGCTTTCCACCATGAACATTTCTGTAAATTCTCATGTCTTCATATTGCCATAATTCTTCCCATCCACTTAGTTAAAATATTTGTGGATAGTTTTGGGTTTGGAAATCGGTAAAAAGTTCCACACCGTTCTCTGCATTCATCCGTAGCGTAATTCCTTCCACTAATTTTCTATTAAAAAAGATGTACCTACATATTTGTCATTTTTAAATTACATTTATAAAAAAAGAAAACTCTTAAATTAAATGTACTTACCATAAGTAAAACTTCGGAAAATAACATCCTTAATAAAATACATAGTAACAAATTACTTAAAAAACACCGAAAACTTACAAAATTCTTAAACATCAACTTACACCAACAAACTGTCATTGTCAACAAAACAAAGCTTTCCTAAGTCGCCCCTGAAGTTGGTAACGATATAACGAACACTAGCGCCATCAATGCGTCGGTTCTATACTAACAATAACGTTCGTGACTATGTTCACAATGGTTAACCTAGTTCCTATTAAGTGCCAGGGGTATGAATAAACGTCAGATTGATTCGGATCATAAAAAGCGCCATCTAAAGAGTGTTAATATAACTATTTCATAAAAACCTGATTTTTTTTTTAAATAAATAAAAAAACTATGTAATAAATAAATTGAAATGAGATATTATTTTTTGAAAATGGTAAAAATGTTATTTAAAAGAAATATATATATTTATTTTATTTAATTTCTTTTATTATTTATGATTTGAAATTAGCTATAAACAATTCGACAACTATGAAAAATAAAAATGATAATATGAATAATTTTCTTTATTACATTTAATTGACGTTTCTATATTATGTTAAAGCGTTTTAATAGAGATTCTGAAAGAATTTATGTTAATATTCCATGAAAAACAACACAGCCGGCTTTCTTATCAATCATCAAAAAATGTTGCCTACATTTCAAAATTTGGTCGGCGTGCTTCACGCAGGTTCTTTAAAGAAACATCATAAATTCGGCATTAATAGTAAATTTCTGCACACAATGGTAAGTTTTTGGCAAAAACAGCATCAAATGATGAAATTTATATAAAAATTAAATAATTAAAACTGTTAAAATTGTATCTTTCAAATCAAACAACATTGAGGTTATGTAAGATATATCATTCATCGCCCTTGGATGTATTTTATTTTTTTTATATAGCACCATTACCAGAAAGTCGTCGCCCCATTTGCAACAATGCACCGTCTCCATCAGACAGTCATCAGATGCGCCCTGCCTATAGAAAATCAAATTGCAATAGTAAGCAAGACACATTTATATTATAAAATTTATCAAAGACCATTTTATAGTGTCGATGTTACTCAAAAGAAGCCAGAAGGACGTCGTTTTTAGCCAGACTTTATGACAACTTTAAAGAGGAAATGGCCAAAAATAAAGAAATGAAGGAATCGCTAAAAAAATTTCGTGATGAAGCTGAAAAATTAGAACAAAGTGATGCTTTAAAAGCAGCTCGACAAAAGTTTGAAACTGTAGAGAAAGAAGCTAGTAAAGGTAAGAAAGTTTTAATATTAACTTATTACTTCTAGAAATTAATTTGGTTTGTAGGAGGAGAAATGTTTAAAGAAAAATTTTCAACAATAAAAACTAAAATGCAAGAAGTAATTGAAGAGGCTGGTAAAAGTGATATAGCAAAAAAAGCTGGACAAATAACAGGTGACATAAGTAGTTCAGTAACAAAAAATATAAGTGAAAAAGCTCAAGAATTGGGTAAAACGGGTGCGTTTCAATCGATTTCCCAAGCAACTAAAGCAGTACAACAAGAAATGGATACCCAAAGTATACAAGGTAGAGTGTATCAAAGTCCGCCAAAATTACGAAAACGAACCGAAACGATGGGTCCGGCAATTAGTAAATTTTACGAACCTAACCAAGAAGCTACTGGAATCGAATTACACAAAGACTCAAAGTTTTATCAATCGTGGCAAAACTTTAAAGATAACAATCCCTATGTTCATAAAGTTATGGATTGGAAATTAAAATACGATGAAAGTAATAATCCATTAATAAGAGCTTCCCGTTTATTAACTGATAAAGTCTCCGACATTATGGGTGGTTTGTTTCAAAAAACTGAACTTTCAGAAACTCTAACTGAAATATGTAAAATTGATAATTCATTTGAAACTAAAAAATTTTTAAAACAATGCGAAGTTGATATTATACCAAACGTTTTGGAAGCGATGACGAGAGGTGATTTAGAGATTTTAAAAGATTGGTGTCATGAAGGACCTTATAATTTATTCGCCGTACCAATTAAAGAAGCTTATAAAAAAGGTTATAAAATTGAATCAAAAATTTTAGATATTGATAATGTTGATTTGGTTATGGGAAAAGTGATGGATCAAGGTCCCGTTTTAATAATAACGTTTACTTCACAACAAATTATGTGTGTTAAAGATAGCGCGGGAATTGTCGTTGAAGGTGATCCAGAAAAAGTGATGCGTGTTACTTACGTTTGGGTTTTATGTCGTGATCCATCTGAACCTAATCCAAAAGCCGCTTGGAGACTTCTGGACTTATCGGCGAGCAGTAACGAACAACTTTTATAAAGACAAAATTAATAAACATAAAACTAAAAACGAAGAGTATTTTTGAAACTCAACACCCACACGTACAAAAAGAAGCGAATCAGTTTGTATTAAATTAAAATAAAGGTTTTTCCATAGGTTGTTTGTTATGTAGGTTTTCCAATTATTTTTCTTTCTTTTTAAGGTTTTCTTTATTTACTTTTTCTTTTCATTTTGATGTCGGACGAAAATTTTTTTTTCTATAAATCGTCGATCTCGAAACGAACTCAAAACGGAAACCGTTTTTTTATTATCTTTGTGATCCTTTTGAAGCTTTAATTATTGTTTATATCAAACGAAAACTGATAGAAAATATTAATTCAAACTACTTTTTTTTTTCTTTTAGGGTGTAATTACTGTAATTGAAAAGAAAATAATTTATATACTGAATTTTTTTAAATAAAATTGTTGAATTTTAATATATTTTTTTTTTAATTCGCGACATACATAGCGGATCTAGTGGGGACAGAATAGATACATTTGTTGGCATATGCAGATGAACTGGTGGTGGCAACAGAGGCTAAAAAGTTGAAAGGGATAATGAGATCAATGGAGACATACTTTGAGGGAAAGGATTTGTGAATGTTGAAAAAACGAAGATTATAAAATAAAATTCTCCAAGGCTGAAAGACGGAAAAAGAAGAATTGTCGTACTTAAGTTTTACCTTTCGAGTGGATAATGGAGTAGGGGGTCATATTAGGCAAAGAGTTAGGAAGACAAGTAGATTATTGGCGCAGATATGGAGCTGGGGGAACGAATAATTGGGAGAGATTGGTGATGGATTGGTGAGGAGTGTGATAATGTATGAAGCGGAAATATGTGGATGGAAGGACCACAAGATGATGGAGGAAACCCAGGAGAGATATTGGAGGTAGCTCTTCGGGTTGAGCAGGTAGATTCCGGGATATAAAGCGAGAAAGAAGTTAAAGCTGGAAAAGATGAGGGTGGAAGCAATTAGAAAGGCGATAAAATACGAGGTTGGGCTGGAGCAGAAACTTCAACATTTTGCTAGAGTCTTAGAGGGAGGTTAAGACTGGGTTGGGGAATATGAACAACAAGAAAGAAACGAATATTATGCCAGAGATTGTGGAAAAGCAGGAACAACGTGCTCAGATGGAAGAGGGGAGATACAATAATAAGTCATAATAAGGGAGGAATTTTCAGGGTATTGGATGAAGGAGGATAGCTGTAATGTTCTTTAGTGCCTTTTAGAACTCGTTATACATGATATACAAGTGTTTCTGTAAGTCGTGGCATAATTTTAATCACAAATACTAAAGTCAAAATGATGACGATTCGTGTAAAAATTTTTGGTCTAAACTCAAAAATGGCTAAGATATATAGGCTATCAAAGTTAAGACATTTTTAAACATTAAATATTTTCAATATGCTTTGTCTTAGAAAGATAAAATTTGGCAAACAGTGCTATGTTATCATGATAAATCGTCTACGATCACGTTTGAAAATATGCAAAGGTTATTTCCTTAAAACTTTTTTATTAAGTTTTTACAATTTTAAAATTATTTTTGCTCCTACAAATTTTTGATGAAATTTTTGACGTTTTCGAGTTATTCATAGAAAGATTTAAGTTCGTTTAAAAGAAAACTGTCAAATTATTACTCAACATAGCATGAAATCTGGATTTTCTTCAGTATAATTATTCTTCAAATTAATGGTTATCTGTAAAAAGTACCTTTTTCTAAAAACGCAGCATCACTAGTACATTTTTCCATCATAGTATGGCATCACTGTACTTGCAACGGATGATGAGCAGTTTTAAATTATACAATTGCTGTTCATGTAGGACATGCCAAGGCATGTCTGAGTTCATGTCTGAAAAATCCAAAATGTTTTCTTCTATGGGAAGCTAGCGTAATAATAGTAGGAGTGTTATAATCTCTGTCTCAGCCGCTTCGACGAAGGTCCTATCACATTTAAGGCAAAGTGGTAACGGTTCAATCGAACCAGTTTTTTTGCCAAAATGGAGCAATTTATAATTGTTGCCTTTTACCTTCATGATTTCTATCATGCATTGCTGATGTGACCTTATTCACTGTATCATATCTTATTCAGTGACTCATTTGATTAAAGGCGTCAGTGACAACATGAATGAGTTGATCGATATTGGAAGCATCAGTTTGTTATTGGAGTATTTGTATAGCATTGAAATAACGGCAGATCTAGTACATTAGTGTCAGAACTGTTGTAATGTTGACACATTACGTTTATTGGAGTATATGGGAAATTTAACAGCTTTATTGAATAGAAATAGATGCACAACTATTAGATTGCGGTCATTTAGCTTCAATTACAGGCAGAAATTTATCCATTTATCATCTTTCTGCATTCATTCTTGGTCAGATTCAATGACCTTCGTCTCTAGAGTCCCAGCTGGATGATTTATACATCTACGTTTAGCTGGTTCTTGTTTTATAAATGGCCAAATGCCTAATTTTCCATCAAACCACTGATTACGGCAATTATCTACAGTGGACGAGGAGCAGAAAATCATAACCTTTGTTATTAATCTCTTATTTTTTCATGTTTGATAAGGTTCTATCTCATCGTGAACGACGTACTATTTGTTCGATGCTTTCTTTAGATAAAACCATTTCTCATCAACATGAATCATGGTTGTCATATTCTTAAAAATAGGTGCACCAGCAGCGATGTTATCAGAATCGAGCACTATTTTAACATACAATTACGCTGAAATGTGTTGCGATCTGTAAGGAATTGTTTTACTGCGTTGGAGTGAGGGTTAATTAATCCAGATATAATACTTCGCTGACTTGTGCTTTTCGACTTTTTTTCTGCGACGATGATTTAGTACCCGATTTAGAACTCGATTTAGTATTTTGAACATATCCGACGCATTATTTATGCTGAGATAAGTTTGAAAAATCAGTAACAAAAATTTTTTTCCTCTTTGTAACTCGATCCGGGGACATACTATATAATTAAATAAAAATAAATTTATAATTTTTCAATAAATTATATTTAAAACCCTATTCATTTACAGTTTCAGAACAACTGTAAATAAAAACATTTTATTTTTTTATAAAAAAGGAATATATTTAACAGAAAAAAAAATATAACCAACAAAATCACTTGGTTGTTTGCATTTCTTCTTCACTTCTTTTGTAAACCGCTCGATTGAACTATCTAATCCTAGTGACTCATTTAAAAAAGATGCCGCTTTTAGGACATCTTTTCCAGTTTTTGGCCGTCTTCTTCGCTCATAGCAGCTTTTATTGCATCTACTAAATCTTGATCTACTGTTGCGATATTAGACCCTTAAAAAACAATTTTTTATTAAGTAAAAAAAAAAAAAAATAATGCATTAAAAATTAACACATTTTATTCAAAAGAGATATTCCATGAATTTACCAGAAAAAAAAACTACGTGGACAATTAAATAAATTTAGCCAAAAATGGCGTTTCGTATTTTTGAAAGAAGACTTTTAGCATTATCAGCCTCTCGTTCTGCCTTTTTTTCAGAAGCCGAAATGGGAATTTCTTTTTCTGGACCTGTTAACAAAAAAAAGTGCGTTAAGTATTAGAATAAAACACACTGGTTTCAAAAACAACAACTAACATGAAAAAATGGACTTAACGCACTTTTTTTAAGTAACTATCGCACTCTTTTTTATAAAATAATAATGGAAAATAACACCAGAATAGTGTAGAGTATTAAAAACATGTTAAACTTATTAAGAAGGTTAATGTTTGAAATACTTTAAAAAGTGCGATAAGTTTTTTTTTTGAAACGCACTTTTTTAGAAAAGTAGTCACATCTTCTCAACAGTTCTAAAGTAATATGTACGTTTGAAAAAAAAATGGTACATACCCGAGAATTACTTACCATCAGTTTTCTTAGTTACTCCCAGTATCTGTCCGGGAGTATCAGTTTCTAATTCAGCATACGCAAGAAGTAAAGCTCTTTGTTTTTTCGATAAACATTTAGGCACCGTAATTTTAAATGTAACATAATGATCACCATGTCCGTATCCGTCAACTTTTTTCATACCTTTTCCACTTAATCTTAATCTTGTATGTGATGAAGTTCCTGGCATAATCTAACAATTAAATTTAATTAATAACCCATCTTTTATATAGTTATGGGAGGGAGGAATGGATATGGGAGGGAAGAGAGATTGGGGAGGTGAGAGAATTCACATATCTGGGGTACAGGTTCAGGGAGGATAGCAAGGACGCGGCGCATGTGAAGGAGATGGCTAAAAGGAGAAATAAAGTGATGAGGCAGGTCTGGGGATGGAGTGAGAGAGTGTTTGGAAGTGACATCAGAAAGAGAAAGATTATGTTTGATGGATTGATGAGAAGTGCAATGATGTAGTGTGTTAATTAATTATCAAATTTAAATTTAAAATATATTTAGATATATTTTAATAATTGAAAAAATGTTTTAAATATAAAAAAGGGGCTTAATTTCCGTCCTTTTATTTAAAATAATTTTTAGTGTACCCATAGATTGAAATTAATGTTGAAAGTAGTGGTTATTTTGATTTGTTTATTGACTTACCGCTTAAACCAACCGCTAGAAACAACGATAGTTCTGAACAGAACTGTTTCGAAAAATATAAAGGCAGCAAAAAACGGTTAAAGAACAAAGAAAATACAGAAACTCACAAAGCGTACGACAATCACAACAATAACGTACGATCAGCTGTCAACATCTGGTTACTAATTTAAAATTATCCAAGCTATCACTACATATTGAGATATGCAGCCAATATTACACAGGTCACGTGGGTTACGGTAATTAAATAACACAGTGTATGGGGCGGAGGTTGGAGTTGGAAGAGTCAGAATATTCTGGAGGACGTACAGAATCGGTAATGGAGGTGGGTTCTGGGTCTGGCGAGGGCAAAACCGATGTATATTGTGAGGGAGGAAGTGAAGGTGGAGGTGGGCAGAAGAGCAGTTAAATATGAAGAAATGATTGATAGAAGACCATACTGCGGGATCATGGGGGAGTGTTGGAAGGAAGTTGGGGAGGGGCAGATTAGAAAGGACCGGTTATTTGAAGGCAGAGATAAACAACAGAACAAGGGAAGGGGTGGTGAAGGGAGGTAAGCGACAGGGATAGGGACGTCCAGAGAAGGACGCAGATAAGATACAATAAAAGATATGGGGACATAATAACGGAGGGGTTTTCAAAATATTTGATGAAGGAAGGGAGTGAGGAAAGGAAGAGGCTGGTGCCCAGATAATAGAGTTGTAGTACGTTGAGAGGATGTAGGGAGCTGAGAGAAGAGGAAAGGAATTAAAAGCAGATTCTGGAAGAGGGGGGAGAAGGCAGGGGATGGATGAGGAAGGGGGTGATAGGGGAAGTTGAATTTGGTTTGTCATTTATTGTAATGGAAAGATTGTAAACTTTTAGTTGGCAATAAAAACTCTTATAAAGGTTGGTCCATTTAACGTGAGACTAGCCATTATCCCGAAAATGGTTCATTTTACATAAAATGAACCAAATGAAAGTTGTGCTGTGCGAAGGGGGAAACCATATGACGCTAACATTTTTTGATCTAGATTTTATTTTCAAGGTTATATGAAGATGACCAATTTTTTAAATGGCAAAATTTTTGTTTATTTTATTGTAAAATCTGAATCTGTGGATAAAAGTAAAGTAATTCAAAAAAAATAAAAGAATTTTACTGTGTGGTTTTGCCAGTACAACAGCAAAACATCTTTTGAAAAAAATTGAAACTTCTTCAGAAACAATTAACTAACGTTTATAATCTGGTAAGAACAAATAAGATTTATGAATTTTTAAACATTTTCCTAGCCGCTTCAATACATTGTCTTTAGTTCTTAATTCTTAGAATACTATTTAAGAATGCTCAACAAAAAAAAATCCAGAAGAGGTGCATCGGGTGATCTGGCTCGTCAGAAATACCTTTGGAAAGAGGTCTAAAAGGTTCCGACATTTCTCCCAGACACCTCCTGTGTCTGAAAATCGTAAATTTTGAAACACTCCCTGTATATCAAAAACGAAGAGGGCTATGAAAATTTGGTTTGCGCCATTGTAAGCTTCACAAAAAAGTAGCTCAGGTTCGCGATAGCCACAACTTTCTATCTTTCATAATAACTGAGATACCCTGCAAATCCATCGAAATTTGGACACCCTGTACAAGGTGTCCCAAAATTGAGATACCATATGTTCACATTTTAAAATAGGTACACCCCTTTTGTTGTTGCATTTATGGATTCTACGTAAATTCTGAGTATTTTTCATATAGCTGTCTTTGAAAAAATAGCAGTTAAAAAATACTGTTACTATTTTATTTGCCATAATAGAGTAAACTACGCTATTCTCTGTTTCTGTATTAATTTGTGACAAAGGTTTAATAATGTAATGATAACCATAAATTATGTTTTAACCCATAAGCAAATTTAGTATTTTAACATACTGTTTTAAAATTTTTTTTATACCTATATTTATTTTTCTTCGTCCTTCCGTTTTACAATTTCAATATTAATTGCAATTGACGATAAAAAATTATTTCTTTCTTCATCATTTTCAAAGCGGAGAAGGCTTATAAGTTCTTCAGAAAAATCTGTATTATTCCTTCATTTCTTGCTATGAAATGATGTTATAATTGGGTCTGAAGATATTAATAGTTTGTTTAAAATGTCTCTATTATTGCGTATTCTTGACATTTTTCTATAAAAGTTCTCTCTATACCTTCTAAAGTCTTTATTTCGAGTTTCTTGCCCATCTTCTGAAAGCAGGCCAATCTGGATACTTAATGATTTTATTATTAAGAGGGCATGCACAAGAATTTTATGTACTGCCACAGGCATATAATACCATTTCTTGATAATAATTTTTGTGAAATAAGCACCTGGTTTGGCATTTAAACGCGTCATTGATTTTCTTTTTTTATTACTGTGTGTTGGATAGGTATTTTTTAGGTGAGGTATCTGTAGACACCACCCTATATATAAGCCATTTTATTGAAAATGCGCAAATATGCGCAATTTATTTTTTTGGGAACGGAAAGTATAGACTTGAAACTACATAAAAAATCAAATTTCAACGTGGGATCTTGTGGGACTTTTTTGTAGCTTAAATTTAAGTTTCACATTGTAAATAAAATCTGTTTATGAACAGTGTTGAGAAAAAGATAAATAAATCTAGCATTCAAGAAGCTATTATAGTGTTGCATAAACAACACATATACAATAGTATAAAATTATAGTGAAATTTCAACTTTTAATATGTTTACAATCGTTTCTCAACATTAATCAAATGTTTTTGGAAATTGATATGCAAAATAAGTGTTAACTTTACATGTCATTTTTATCCAGAGTTGAAGTTAATAAAAAGTGGTTATTACAATATAACCTAACGTTTAATTATTTTACTTTCATCCATAGATTCACATTTAGTAATCAAAAACATAGGGTGTCATTTAAAAAATTGGTCGTGACCTTCATATGACCTTAAAAATAAGGTCAAGGTCAATTTTTTTTATCGTCATATAGTTTCCTCCTTCGCACAGAACAACTTTCATTTGGTTCATTTTTATGTAAAATGAACCGTTTTTGGGATAATCGCTTGTCTCACGTTAAATGGACCATGTATATACATAGTTATTATTAATTACCTGAAGGGTATGATCTTCATATAAACCTTGTATTCGAATAGTTCCACCTAAAGCTGCTTGTGAAATTGAAACATCTGCTTCTGTATAAACATCAGGCCCCTCACGTTTAAAATAATCTGATTTGTCCACCCTGAAGGTAACAAACAGCTCTTTTTTACCTAAAGGCATTCTAACAGTTTGTCCATCTTCAATTCCTGCAGGAACTGGCACGGTAACTTTTTTCCTTTGAACGGTTGATCCCTTTCCATGACATTCTGTACATTTGTGCTTGATAAACATGCGCGTTCCTTCGCAATACCGACAGGTTGATCGCATAATAAATGGGCCTCTTGTAACCGTTTCAAAACCAGTTCCATCGCAGAAAGAACATTTTGTCGCTTTTGTACCAGGTTCGCATCGGGAACCTGTACATTTTGGACATGTATCCACTACATTTATATGTATATCTTTGTTTGTGCCACGAGCAGCCTGAGCAAACGATATTCTAACCACAATTTCTTGGGCTTCTCCAAACCCAAAATTTGATTCAGTAAAATCATCGAATGATTTGGAAAAACCAGAATCTCCAAAAATTTTTCTAAAAAGTTCTTCTGGATCTATTGTTGATTGGTATTGCCAAGACTGACTAAAGCCTTGTGGTCCTGCACCGCCACCACTTCTTGCACCCATTCCTGCTCCCATTTGATCCGCAGTTGAACCCCAGGTATCATATTGTTTACGTTTTGAATCATCTCCCAAAATCTGATTAATATTTTAGTTCATTTTAGTCTAAAATTAACTATTAATATTTACCTCGTACGCTTCAGAAACAGATTGAAATTTTTTAGCAGCATCGGGATCGTTTTTATTCACATCAGGATGGTATTTTTTAGCTAATTTATAATAAGCCTTTTTAATTTCCGAGGAAGACGCATTTTTACTAACACCCAGTACTTCGTAATAATCTTTATCGGCAAAATAACCGGAACTCTTATGAAATTTTCTAACCTGAAGATCTAAAAAATAAAGTGAGGTTATGTCACCGCAATATGCGTAATATCACTTTTAACGTGATCCTAAGTAATCTAATTGAACCCCTTTCTTGTGGATGTGTCGTTTTTAACGAAAAAAATCAAGTACAAAGTGTATAATGGCTATAAAATGATGTAATACGATAAAAATTGAGGTACTTACTGTTTTGAAAGAAATTATTGGATACGTTTAAAATGACAGTTGTTGATCTCTTGCACTGGAGACAACGGTGATAACATCTTGCGGACACAACGATTTTAGCTGGCTTTACAAGTAAATTTAATTGATTCCGATTGAAAATTCTCGCAATGCTTCGAACAGTGGCCATGTTTTTTGACGGGAAAGACGGCCGCAAAAGCGGCAACTTTCCAATATAACATAAGAGGTTTGATGGGTTGCGGATGCCGAACACAAATATCATCAGATGAGGTGAACGAAAAATTTGACTTGTATGCGTCAAATTCGACGCTACAAACGATACTTGATTTATTTAAATTTGATATAATTAACAAGAATTAAATCTTTATTTTTTTTAGGTTGGCAATACTTTGACGTTTTACAAAAATTTAACTGTCATTTTTGATATTAAGGTATATTTAGGTTATGTAAATGAATTTATACCTATCCCCTATCCCTCGATTTACACGGTACTTATTTTACACGATTTATAAATTGATAATTTCAAAAAACTTGTAAAAATGTATATTCCGCTCCATATACGCCTATACAAAGATTTGATGGCATTTTTGATTTTTTTTCCTTTGGTACACTAATGAAAAGAACAGGGGAATTCCCGGAGTTCTAAAATATGTATATACACTTCTTGAACTGGTAAGTTTTCAACATTTATAGTTTTTATGGTATCTTTATAGTTTGCGTACATTTTTTAAGGTTCTATAATGTCAAAGGATTTGAAGAAGAATCAAATGAAAGGTTGTTTCTTTAGAAACTAAAATTCAAATATTAGAGAGTGCAGGAAGTTAGCCCCTCATTTTTTGCTTTTAAAATTTTGTTCACCATTGTTCTAGATTGTTCTAGAGTTGTTCTACATGGTTCCAAAGCGGCAAATGGAAAAAATAAAAACTCGGCGAGCAAACCGAAAAACTATGGTCACAGCAATCAACTAGACATTTTGGCAGCCAAACCTATTTTTAGTTATAACTTCGTAATGATATATCCCATTTTAATTTTTTAGAACAATAACTAGAGCAACAAAGAAAATCTGATTTTTCCAAAAATGGGGGGCTAGTCAAAAAACAGTTTTTTCGGTTTTTATCGCCGAGTTTTTATTTTTTGTATTTGCCGCTTTGGAATAATGTGGAACAACTCTAGAACTACTATGAAAAATTTAAAAATCAAAAATGGGGGGCTAACTTCCCGCACTAATATACAATATTAGACCGTCTACGTAATAGAGAAAGAGTATCGGATGTTGCTAAATTTTACGTTATGAATGTTTTGGACTGAACATGCGTTAGCTAGAGCAGAGTATTGGTGTGCTGTTAATAAACGTTATTTAAATAACAGCAAAACAGTTGAAACTCTTTTCACATTAAAAAAGAGCGACTATCCCAATACACCTTCAACAAAGTTTCTGGGTATTTATTTGGGGCCGCCTAATTTAAATTTTGCTGAGCATGTGCGGGAATTGGGAAGTAAGATCAGTAGAAACATCTTTATACTAAGAAAGCTAAAAACGGAGGTAACTTAGGAGGCGGTATATAGCGCGTATTATGCACTGATTCATTCCTTGTTGTCATATTCAATAGTTACGTAGGGTAGCAGTCCAAGTAGTGCTTATATCTTTACACTGCAACGGAGAGCGGTGAGAGTAGTGGGGGGTCTTGGGTACACAGAAGACTGCCGAGATGTTTTTAATAGATTAAAGATTTTGAATACAGAATGCGCTCTGTACGCTTTTGATAACAGGGGACATTTTGCGATACATGCCGATTTTCATGAGCATGATACTAGGAATAAGGATAAAATTTATAACAATTACTGTCGTTTATCCAAAACACAGCTTGGGCCAGAGTACTTATCTCGAGTGGTACTTAACAAGCTGCCGTGTGAATTAATAGGAGAGTCTAATAGAAGGATTTTTAAAGGTAGCTTAAAAAAGATTTTGTGTCAGAAAACATTTTATTCTGTGCAGGAGTACCTAAATGCAGGAATCGGTGCTTGGTTTTTGTTTATGCTAGTGTATTTATTAAATAAGAAAATGTATTTATTTGGACGAGTGTAAGAGCAGCAGCTTAGTAACACAATAAAGTATTATTATTATTAGCTTTCAATGAATGGTTCCATAACCAGAAGAAATTTACAAGTTTAGATTGCGGAAGCATGTTGGATCAACGCCTGCTGGAAAGAAGTATGCCCCGATGTTGTTGAAAGTGAACATGATGAATCACCAATAGAGCATGAATATTTGCAGATCACTGAGTTGGCTTATACCATAGGAGGAGTAGGTTGTGAAGATTTATCTGAGACAGATATTGAGCAAATAATAGCTGATAAAAATCTGAATGTAAATGACTTAATTATCATGATTCATAAAACAAACACGATGAAGACAATGATTCAGATGAAGAGCAATCTGAACCAGTTGCATTCAGAACAAGAATCATAAGCGTAGGACTTAAATTGGGAAGAAAATTGGGCAACCATTTCATACAATACGACACAAATGTTGATCAAGCTCTCCGATTCCAGCGACACCTTCGTAGATGCTTAAATAAATATGAAAAGGTGTATAAAGATTTAGCAAAAATATCTATGCAATTGTTAATTACGGATTTCATGACAAAGTCTTGAGATCTTCCCTAATTCGTAAACCATTGAGCCAGAATCGCACCAAGAAATCTCAAGTGATGAGAGTGACATCATTTAAGGGTCGTTTTGTTTTTTAATTTTTTGTTCCTAATATAAAATTAAATAAATTTGTACTTATATTACTTTCATGTTTGTTGTTTTATAAACTAAGTACAATTTTAAGTCTTACTTTTGCTTTCCTTCAATAAATGACTGAATCATACACATTTAGGTTGATAAGTGTAAATGGAAATTTGGATTTAATATAAATCAATTTAAATTCGTTAACAAATGTTTATTTAAAACACAAACTCAACAAATGTTTTTTATTCTAGGCGTTTACTCAAAAATTGATTTAACTTTTTTGAAAAATTGACGTTTTTATTTTAGGCAAACCGTAAAATGCGGCTACTACTTATTTGCTACTATTACTTATTAATTATTATTTAAAGCGTTATGTTTTATTATTAGTTTCAACATTTTGTGTTTTTCGTTTTCTTGTGCTTGTTGAACAATTCATTAATAATGACGCTGTATTGTCTTGAATTCTGCAATAGATAAGGGGAGCGCCATTTATTGCGCAATTTCATTTCGATTGACTTCCTTTTGATACCTGGCCAATGGACTAAAAACGCGCCGTCCAAAATCACAAATTTATATCCGATAAGGCACATTTCCAACATCTACAAAAAAATGATAAGTTTGACTCGGATGAGTCAAAGGATTTTAGCTTACCTGTGTCATTTTATCTTGTTTTCCTTCCCAAGATAAAGCTTCACTATATAAAGGATCCGTTTTACGACCTATATAAATAGGTTCCCATCTATGAAGAGGATATTCTCTTTTAGTAACTGTTAATGGCTATAACACAAATAGATAAATAACCTTAAAAGGTGTAAGTTAAATAATATAGTACTTTTATAATATCACCAGGATCATTTTGTAACCAATGTTGTAACCCAGGAAATTTTTGGCAATGAAAACAAATATGTCTATGAAAATAAACGGCTTTTTCATCCTTAATCAATTCCAATAATTCACTTTTACTCCCAGGAATCTTTTCGTATCGTTCAATTTCGAAGACTGGAACGACATAAACGGCGGACGGATTCTCGACGCGTTTTTTCTCTTTCAATTGGTTGACCATAAGGAAGAATTTTGTTGCAAGCTGGTCACTTGGTATCAATTCAACATCGCTAACCAAAATGAATTGAGTTTTTGCTGCGAGTTTTGCGGAATTTCTACATACGTTAACTGGATATGGAAGCTGATTTCTTGAGCGAAAAGTTATTTGAGTTGAGGTGTCTTTAAGGGAACAAGAAGTTATTGGTGTAAAAGTATTTTTGGAAGAAGATGATAATGATGGAATATATGGAGGATGTTTCAAGGGGAAGATAAAATGAACTGACACTCTCGACATGTCTGGAAGACATTGACATAATGTTACCAACTGGTTGATGGCGATTTCGGCGTCGGCGTCTGGTACAAACATCGCCAAACTTATGGGGCCGTCCCATTTTATTGCAATTTCTGAGATGTAGTTTACAAATTCAATGCTGGCGTGAGAGGCATACGTCAAGGGAACGGTAAGCAAACTACTTTTTCTTGCATCAATCACATTATAAACCACTCTATACGCACCTTTTTCACCTAATTCAGCACCAAATTTAATATCTTCTTTCTTATAATTAAACTTTTCTGGTAAACCATAATTAAATTTACAAAAACTTTGATTTGAAACAGGATAATTTTTTAAAAAACTTCCCGGTATTCTGGTAGTTATTTGAAAATTAATTTGTTGATAATTTCTTGTTAAAATCGACGGTCGACGATTTAATAAAATAATTATTGGTACTAATAGGGTGGTAAAAGCGATTAAGGCCAGAACGCTTCTGACTTTCGCGAGGAATTTGCCGCATCTCATCACCTTTTAGTATTTATTTAAAATCTATCACATGTTTCGATGAGGTTACTCGTTTTCTTTTAAATGTATTTTTGAGGTGATGTTGTTGCTCTCACATGTTTGGCGGGCTTCAAGGTACTGAGCTTGCGCCTCAAATGCTAAGGTTACACGGGGTTGTTTTCGCTTTGGAAACGAGGCGCGTTGCGGTACCTTAGCGTGCGTCGCGACGCTTCCTGGGCGTCGAATCGATAGGGGACAACGCGGAAACTACATCGATTTCAAAAAAAAAGAAAAATTTTCGTTTTACTTAACTAGTAATAAGTCATAATGAACATATAGATTTAAAGGAAGTTTGCTTATATTTCAAACATTAATACAAATCAGTAAAACTTAAAAAAAAACTTTAATATCATTATAATTGTCTACTTAGAGGCTTTAATATTACTTAAGATTTTAAAAAATGCCAGTACACTAATTTAAAATGCTTCGAATAATGCCCTCAAAACCATCTAGGGCGTAATTAGCATTTAAATTAGTCCCATGAGGTCAAATAGATTCGTGTATACCAAGTACACATATTAACCTGGCGAGGGTTGCTCTATATTTAAAGCTACCCTGCGCTTGATTAATGTATGTATCTAGAAATGCTCCCATAAAAAGTTACGCACAAATTTCAAAATTGTCACTAACCATTTTTATTAAAGCAACAATAAATTTCACATCAAGAATTCTGGGGCTATCTCGGACTTCGAGAAAACTATGACTGATTGTAAGAAGTAAGAATATCATGAAGTAAGGTAGATTTCTGTAATTTTGCCCATTTAATCTGTCTGATAAAAACATTGGTCCTATTAAATAATTGCCATTCAGTATTAGTAAAGTAGCAGTTAGACAATATGCCTCATTAATGCCATTGCAAAGGTATACTCCAGAATTCTAAGGACTTTCATTGTAGAAGAATTGGATGAGGTGCAGGAGTCCGCAAATAAAATGTCCTGTTTCACGAAGATATTGATGGATTTTTGCAAAAGTCTCTTTAGCTGGACATCTTCGATTCAGAAATGTTTCGGCATAAAGTCAAATTACTGCTAACATTTGCTCGCCCATATATGAAATGTATTTCTTCTATTTCTTCGTTAGTAGAATAACAAGACACATAAAGGTAATATCTAATTAGACAACGAGTTTGCTTAACTTGGATAAATGAAATTAAATTTTGAAATTCGCTTGCAACTTTTTAATGAAGCATTCTTATAGGAAGTTTTTTTACAGTTTTGTTCCGTACATTACGTTGGTGAAGTCTGGCTTAGTAATTCAGATACACCTGTATATAAATGTGTATGTAAATAATAGTTTCGATGAATTATTTCTATAGGCTACTGCAGGACAGCACCATAAGTATTGTTGATAATAAACCTGAACACTATTATAATGGAAACTTGTCACTTGAAGTCTATAGTATTGCGGAATACACTGCTTTCTAAACATGTTATTTTCTCAAGAACATTGAGTTTTCATTCAAACAATGAGTTATATGTATGTGTTGTAGATGAATTCCGTAAGAAATATCCAGATGTTATAATGCTTAATAAGTAGCAGACAACAGGAGAACATGGGGACTGTTCGTTTTGATAAGCGCAAAATAGATTGGATTTGTATCATGTTTAGGAACTAAGTTTGTGACTGTTACATATAGAAGAAAGCTGTTCTGCACTTTGTCACTATGAACAGAAATATTGTCGACAAATTAAATACGTTATGTTTCATACCATGACACACAGACGCAAAGTAAACAATCTAGAGTTTCTAGAGTGGTTGTTAACATCTATTCCTAACTGCTGATAACTTGAATGACGAAGGTTTTGATAATGAATGGAGATCATCTTGCTGTTTGGGTTACTCTTTATTGGAAGACATGTTTAGTTTGTTCATCCAGATGATGGATATTACGCCTAATCTTATGTATAACCATGAGTTTTACTTATTGTATGTTTGTAAAAATTCAGTAAGAAACTATATAACTTAAAAAAATTGTGATTTTCAATTATAATACTTTATCAACGTCAATAAAACTTAAATGCTATGGCTCTCTTTGTATTATACATATTCATATTAACACCACAACCTTGTGTATCAATTTAATAATTAATTCGATACCGATATTGTCGTATTCACACCGTATTGTCCGTACTGTCACTTTGTTTGCAGTTATAATTGTTAGTTATGAGGCTGTTGTCAGTGATATTAACACTTTTATAGTAAGTATTATTACCTGTCAGAAGCAGGTTGCAGATATGAAAGATGCAATTACTTTTTTGAGTGTGGAGTTGTAACCTTATAATTTTCAATTTGAAAATTGTACATTTTTTAAACAAGACCAAATAGTTCATGATAATGAGCTTATTGCAAAGTTGAAAATAAATATGCTATCAGATACTGTTTATCGTTTTGACAAATTTCTGCTCGATTCCTCGGATGTGTTAATATGGTTATTAAGGTTGATAAATATTGATAGCTGGAATGTTGTTTCTAGTGATAAAATCCCATTTTTGAGTTTTTAGCAATATTAAGTTTCAACTTTTAGAGTGCTTTGTTAAGAGTGTACCTAACCGTGTTTTTAGGTTGCGGGAAAACTAGTTGTGCGTAATCAGAATTTTTGATGTTGATGTTTTATTGTGTTAGTAATATCAAAATGCCAAGGATTTGAGTACTAAAGTAAATACTCACCATTCATTTGAGATTACTTATGATATATTGTTCTAACAGAAACGTGGCTTGATAAAAGTATTGAACATTCATATTTGTTTTATCATGAACTTGCTGTGATTAATGGTAACAAGGACTACCCATTAGTCCATAAATTAACTGGTGTTACTTTTGCTGATAGTATTTCTTACGAGCTGGAGGATCCTTTAGTATTACGCGCGGTATGGCATTAATAGGAGGATTATTATTTTAGCAGATTTTAATATTCCAAAGTTTTGGTGTGAGGACTTGCGATTGGATGTGATGTATAAGAATTTCTCCAGGACATTTGATGTGCAGAGTCATGATTCATGAGAATTTGTTGTTAAAAACTGTTAGTTTCTTCAGTACCAGTTGGTAGTCAATCTGCTTTTACATTATTCCATTACATTATTCAAATGTGTCTTAGTTATGTAATCTGGGACTACATCTATTTACATTATTTATTAACGATTTCGAACATTCTGATCTCAATATGGAATCGCTTGGATATTCAGACAATGTTAAACTTCTTCCAAAACTAAATAAGCTAGATGACTACCAACGTCTTCAAAACGACCTGGATAGATCGTACTAAACCGGACTAAATGGTATGTAAAGTTTGATTATAGCGTGAATGGGGATTTATTTTGAACGTGCCCACAGAATATCTTATCTTTGAGCTCTGTCTTTGTTTTGAGCAAGCTTCAGTTTGGAAGTTTGATCTGATAACAATCATAGTATAGGTATGTCACAATGTGATGTTGGATAGCATTTATTAAAGGTGTTTCAAATATCATCAAGACTTAGCACCATTAAGTTTCGATTTGATAGAGTTTAGATTTACTGGTTAGAGGTCCTTCAATGTCTGATCTGTTAATGTAAACTCTTTCTGATCTTTCGAAGTATTGCCGAAATAAATCCCGAGATTTCTGGGTTTTTCTATAGGTTCTGGAACGATATCCAAAAATTTCTAAATAATACCTACGATTTGTAGAGATGCATCAAGCCACTCTTACTCATTGATTACTCATCAATTAAAAATTTTCATATTCACTCAAATTCGCTACAATGAGGTATATTGGAAATAAAAAGGGTAATAAATAACTTTCATACTCATTTTAAACCTTTAACTCGCTGACTTGAAATATTTTTACGATATATGGAAGGTTTTTATTAAAGAAATTTTATTCTTGGGTTGAACTTGCCAAAATTTTTATGTTTTTATTAGATTCTGAGACATCTGGAAGCAAAGAACTCTTTCATTCTTGTTTTCTTTATAGGGGGTTTTATTTTATTGCGGGTTCTTGAAAAAGTTTTTAATCCTTTTAAGTAGTTAACTTTAAAATAAGGTCAAATCGTTTGAGTTCACCTTAACGATCCCCCTTGTTACTAAGTTGAAAGTGAACAGAACCGATGCATTCTGTTTGTACTTGTTCCAGTAATCGTGTTCAATGACCCGTTTTAGTATTGATTTAATACTTTTTCGATTAACAGTCAAAGAATCCACAAAAATGTGCCCTAGAAAGAAAATTTCTTATTTTGAAACATTATTATTTAATTTCCATGTTATTCTACTTGGATTTCCAGGAATTTTTCACCAAGTTATAATTATTACTACTTTTTTGTGTTCTCGAGAAATAAATTACTTAGCAGTCACGAAATGTGTGAGCGATGACCCCGAAATTAATCCTTTTTGAAAATAAAATGAACTCTTTTCGCTTTTTGTGTTGTAGATTCGTATAATTGATCCGGATTTAGTCTTTCCGGGAAGGAAGGTTTACCGGATTTCAGTGTCAAAAAGGTCATTTTTTTTTAATACTGCGCCCTGTCTGATTCTTTGTTTCACTACTAATTTGCTCAAAATTATTTTCGCTTTCCCATTGCGATGTCACGCTATGGTAAGGTGCGGCCCTACCAACTAGTTAGACTAAAACGTGCAGCCGCATTGACTTAATGACAGAGACGGATTTAACAAAAATTTGAAACTAAAATAAAAAAATATTTCATTGATCTGTTCTTATAATATTTTAATTTCATTAATCTGATTGATCATCAGATATTCCTCCGAGTTGCATTTAATTACTATTTTGTTATCTTCTAGTTTTTCCAGCATACATCAATATCGTTATCCGAAGGAACTTTTTTGACACCAGCATATCAGATTGTTTTTGCCGTTTCGCGCTTCCAGTTAAAGAAGATTTTTATTACAAATATTCATCAAGAGGTACGGCTGTTTCCATGGCTATACCCATAAAAATGCTAACCTCGATGTAATCAAAACATAGATAAGGGCAACTTAAGGCCGGACTACGGAAGCAATGCACGATAGCCTTGCTATAACTATTGCCGATGTTTAAAGCAGTTCAGGATGCGGGTCCACAGTTGTAGTTCATTAATAACGAAATGTAATTTCCTTTGAGACAGATCATCTAGCGCTGAAACTA